GGCGTTTTAAACTGATAAAAGTGTTTTATTCAATGGACGGGAATTAGACGAAGGTTTTTATTCTGTGAGCGCTGGTAACTTCATAAATCGATAGATTTAAATATGAGATTAATTTGCTATATCGATTACAAAGAAATACCCAAAACAGGTTGACAGCAATATAATATGAAGCAAAATATGTTAGCCTGGAATTTTTCACGTTCGATTAACTGCCTTCTTTTGTCGTAAAAATGTATGATTAACTCTTATAAAGCATTAAAGATTTTTGGTTTAAAGTCTTTATCAATACTTGTTATATTTGCTCGTATATACCTATTTTATTTATTTTATCTTCTGTTTTTTTTTTTAATCTGTTTTGACGACAAATTATGGTAAGGTGTGTTTATATTACCATCCGTTAATAAATCTAGTTAATTGTTTCACTAAGTATAACTTACTCTTGAAATTACATTGCGCGAGACCTGCATAGGTTGAAAAATTTCGACGACTCTTTAGGAGACTGTAGTTTAATTAGTCAGAGCAACAGTACGGAAGGCTACCGAGGCTGGTACAAGTTCCGTCCGTGCCAAAACTTCTTAATAACTACTTTATTATCTAATATTATCTTCTCTTTCTCTAGACGGTGATTGAATTAATGTAGTCAATATTTTTCCTATTTCCTTAAACTTAAGTATCAGATAATATACTAGCTGAGTAGTTATTTTGGGCATCCAAAATTGTTATTGCAAACTATTATCTACGCCGCTTGCGACCCGTGTTCGGGTCCCGTCGTTCTGACAAATGAATTTTAAAAGATTTTATGTCACGACGTAGAGACGAGACTTTTTGTTTGATAATTTACAGAAGAATCTTTTTTTAATACATATTTTTTGTGTAACTTGAAACATTTTCGCAGCGTACGTATTTTAAACCCAACATGAAAACTTTTCTCCATTTTGTTCACATTTCCCGCTGTATCTTCGCTTCTATTAGACATAGCGTGATTTTGTAGTTATTCGATAATTGCCCTAACCAATAAAATAATATTTTCCGTAGTTCCTGAGATTAACGCAGTCAAACAAACTCTTCAGCTTTATATATTAGTATGGATTAAGATGCTGCATTCACTCACACAATTTTATACAAATAATGTGAAGTAAGAAAAGTGAAATACATTAACATTTGAATATTCTTAGTAGATAATACTTAGTGTTATCGCGTATAACGCTGTAATCTTCTATAAATTACAATTGTAATGTTATATGCGTATAATAGGATACTTGATGTTAACACTTATCTCTTTGACTGTACATGATCTCATGATCTTATGTAAAGAATAAGTTTCAAGACTGTGTAGTTTTACGTCGATAAGATGTTTATATATTTATATACTTGTATAGTAGGACTTATATTGAAATTCTGTTCTTAGTACAGACATACATAACATTACGTATTTAATATTTTAAACTTCTTTTTTATAAAAAAATAATTTAAACACTAGTAGTAGTGTTTAACATTAATTATTAATTATAAAAACCTATGTATTTAATTACCTTAATACCAAAATCTATGCCAGTATTTTAACTAACATAATCTTAATAACTACTAGTCCGAATCTGAGAAAGGCTTTGCCTATATATTATCGGGCTGCGATAATCAATAGAAGGTAAGAAAAAGCAAAAAAACGAGAAAAACCATCTTTCTGTTGCGTGTTTTGCGACAACGGTTCATGATTTAAATAAAACACTTTAACAGTTTAAAACGCGATATATTAGTTAAACTTATTCGAAAATGAGTTTTAACTTCAGCCCGACGTTTCGGATGCTTTGCAGCAGCCGTGGTCACGGGGAGACGGGGACACACATTTTCAAATAAGTTTAACTAATATATCGCGTATTTAAACCGTTTTTTTTTAATTTAAATGTTTTTTATATTTAAAGTGTTTTATTTAAATGTTTACTACTCGCGTAAACTATAGACAGTTCATGACGTTAAAAAAATATTTGTGAAAGAATTATTCTTCCTTAAATAATCTAAAGAAAAGTTTACTAGACTAACACGCAAGAATGACATGACGACATCGTGGGTAACATTTAAAATTTACAAAGCTGAGGAGGTTTTTTGCAAAAAATTCTGAAAAAAAAAAGTTTGATGCCCAAAAATAACCATACCACGCGAACGAAGCCGCGGGCACAGCCATTACACAAGATAACACAAAAACAATATTACATCCTTTTAAGCAAACTGGAAGATCCAATAATTATTGGATTGGAGTTAATTATAATTACATGCGATATCCGCCTCAACCTGTCCGCTTTACGAACCATGAACTATGTTTTTAATGTCCAGTAGGTACATACTAGGTACGAAGATGATCTGATTTACTTTACATAAAGGCTAAACATCCGATAAATCACATAAACCAGTTTACGGATATAATTAAACAAAGCTAGATGGATAAATTATTACATATAATGAATGCCTTGAACTATAAAATCAACAAATATATGTTCCAGATTGATTGATATTGGCGATATTAGTGTAAATGTAAAAGTTCGTGGCTTGTACCTTAACTCTCCGGTAGAATAAGGCTGTGTACATACTTACAAACCAGAGAACGAACATAAGAATTAATGATTTTGTTACTAGTACTTCTTATAGTAATCTATGCTTATATTATAAAGGTTCCAAAGAAGAGTTTGTTTGAACGCACTACATTCAGGAACTACTGGTTTGAAAAATTATTTTTGTATTAGATGAATGATCAAGGAATGCTTATGGTTAATTTTTTGCGAACAATAGGAGCAAGCGAGAAAAACAGTGGAGTATTATATAAACGAAGAAAATTATGAGCAACTATGATTTCTAATGCTAATGAGGTCTGCACAAAAATGATGCCCAATATGCCCGAAAGCGCAGGCGCGGCTATGCATACAGTTTATGATTATGACCGGCTCTCTAGCCAAATGGGTTAACGCCTTAAGCGCGAGAGGTCCTGGGTTCAAATCTCAGGGAAACATAAAATTGTTTCGGTCGGGCAGGGCACAGAAGTCTGATCAACTACTTGCCTGTTAAAGAACGGATCAGTGAAACGGACTCAAAAATGTGTTAGCCCCACGCCCCACGAGGGGGAAACAGGATTTCACTTTTTTATGATTATGATTAAACTTTATGAATTAAGGTGTACTTGCAGATAAGGCCGTAAGAGACGTGAACTTTTTCTTGTTGAGTATGAGGCATTGACTGTGTCGAATTGACTTACCTACTAAGTTTTATTTATATAAAACTGCGATGTAAACTCCATCAAATTTTAAATATACATACAATAGGGATGCATATATGTCTTAAGTTGACATTAACATATTTTAATTTAATTTTCTAATTTATTATGATGGTAAAAATATCGATGCGTTATTAGTATTACCGTTTACGTAGACAGTAAATGCAGAAATAAATCTCTTATTTCTGCATTTTTATAACGTGCCCTTATTTCTATAAATAATAAAGTATGTAAGGAAGATACGTACGGAAGTATGCTAGGCTACATATTTATAAAAAATACTTTATTAAAATCAGATGTTTTTAGCAATGTTTATGTATTTATTTACAGTGTAGTGTTTTATCAATTAATCAACAGACAGACAAGCAAACATTTTGGACGATTTTAATTATTTTTGATTTTGAAGAGTAAAAAATATTATGAAGAATAAAGTACATTTTATTTTATTTTTTATTTTTCAAAACGCAAAAATATTAAGAATTAATGGTGTCTTTAAGTTTTGTGTCATCAATTTATATTAACAAAAGACTAATAAATCAATGGAAACAAACATTCAAAAGACAAAGTCCATGTAATATTTGACACATTCGCTCACTGGTGACATCATTAAGAATTCTTATGTTACTTTACTACACTCTGGTTCCCTTATATATAAAAAAAAATAAGTTGTCTAATATATTAATAATGTCTTCGTTGCGTTATTATTAAGGCTGTATTCCACTGATAGGGAATAGGATAGGTAGTAGAAAGAGCATGATATATTTTTTAATAGAAATTAGAAATATTAATTATATGTGTATTCTATAATATCTAAAAAGTCAGGAAATTCGAATTCAGTTAGCATCTAACATAATTACAAAAACAGACCATTAGGAAACGCTGTATGTTGTGCAATAAACATTAACAAAATAAAATCATAACATTATTGAGCTTTTATTTTTATAAGTGGAAACTTAAAGAGTAAATTAATGTCGAAAAGATGCGTGAAATCCCGTTTCCACCTCGTGGGGCATGGGGCGAACACATTTCTGTGTCCGTTTCACTGATCCGTTCTTTAATAGGCAAGTAGTTGATCAGACTTTTGTGGCCTGCTTGACCGAAATAATGTGTTTGTTTCCCCGGGATTCGAACCTAGGACTTCTTAATTCTTCTTCAATGCTAGGCAATACGGCTACAGAGGCGATCTGTCAAAAAGATACTGAAAGAATAATACAAGTCCAACGATATTCTAAATCGATAATATTGTCCAGTAGTTTGCGTACATTATACGCGTTACATTACAAACTACTCTTGTCTTTTGTTCACTGTTTTCAGCCCAATGATGAAGCATGCAACTAATTTTACAGACTCTAGACTGTAACTTTCTAATAAGGGAATATTTAATCCTGAAAATCAAAGCATTCAAAATACATATAAAGCAAAATATCTGCCCTTTTAACGTACTTCCCCAATATGCGTATACGCCTATGATATAACTTTATGGACGGTACCTGACCTTGGAATTTATAATCAATAAAGCAAAATTTGACAAGTTCAAGAAGTAAATCACATTAGCACGTCGATCTTCTGAATTTATGATTTGATTAAGCGAAGATTGACCATCTGCTAATGAATAGCTAATTTTAAATTACTCATTATAAGGAGAACTAGACATTTTATTTATTAGACCAAAAAAATCGTATATATAGCTATCGGTTATTGGTGATATCAGCATTCGGGTGAAATCGGTTTGATAACAACAATGCGTTCCTTCGTGGTACGTAAAAAATATTTAATATACTCAAAAGAAAACCATAGATGTTTTATAAACATTTCAAGTGATTAAGTGAAAACTTTTTTTTAAGTTGTTCCTTACTGTTCTAATTAACAATAACGTAATTATAATAATAAAAGCTATAGTTTTACATACAAAGCTAAGTAGAATTATATTGTATAAATAAAACACTTTAACTGTTTAAAACGCGATATATTTTAGTTCAACTTGTTTAGAATTAGATAATTATTTTTAACTACATCCAGTCTCCCCATGACCACGGCCGCTGCAAAGCATCCGAAATGTCGGGCCGTAGTTAAAAACTCTCAAACAAGCCTAACTAAAACATATCGCATTTTAAACCGTTAAAGTGTTTCATTTAAATGTGTACTACTCGCGTAAACTACAGACAGTATTTAGAATAATATTGTGTTCATTTGATTTTCAAGTTTAGAAAGTTAGGCCAGTCAAGTTTAAATTGAGTGTACATTAAATGGTATTGCTAATATTTTATACAATTTCAGGTTTTATTCCTAGCGTTCGCAGTTGCTTTGGCAGCTGAAGAACAAGTGTAAGTACTTTATTTTATTCTTGAATTGTTAAAATAAAACAATGCCAAAGAAAGAATTAGTGTGGAAAAGACATAACGCAATGTGTAATACGTTTAAAATTAGTGGGACACACTTTTGGGTCTCTGACAGATTTTGTAGAATAGGTATTGTTTAGACGTCCTAGAGCTTTTCATTATGCGTTTACGTAATCAAACCCAGGCATATAAGCAGTAAAATGCTTAAAATGAAAGTAACTATTTACAATAAAATATAAGTATGTTGTTTTAAATAATTCTAGATCGTAAATTCTTTAAAACAATCATTTTTGACTACCTCATGCGATTTTGAAAGTAGTAATAACACCGCGTATTCATAATTTTTTAAATATTCTCCTCTGAGAAGATGCAAGGATAGAGTTTAATTAAAGGATTAGATGGAGCTTAATGGAAGTTAAAATACCAGATACAAGTTTAATAATAAATATAATATTTTCACTTATAGCAGCACAACTGTCCAGCCAATCAGTCGTGCCACCGCCACCGCAACCGTCACCACATTGAACCCGTACAGGTTCTACTCTAACCGTTTCAACCCAGTTGTTCCCAATGTAGGACGCTACGACCCTGGTCTCTACAACCCCGGCAGCTACAACGCAGGCGCATACGATAACTCTGGACGTTACGTCCCAGACAACTCTGGTGCTTACAAGTAAGTTATAGTATTATCTGTAGTGTACGCGACTAGACACAATGAAATAAAATAGTTTTAACGGTTCAGAACGAGAAATTTATTGGTGGTATTAATTTTAATGATGCAAAGCATCCGAAATGTTGAGCCGTGTCTGCAGTTTACACATTGAAATAAAACAGTTACACAACAACAGCGAAATTAATAAGTTAACTTAATGATAACCATAAAGCAAACTTGTCAAGCCGTTGTTAAAATAAATGAAAATAAGTTATATATATTTCGCGTTTTAAACCGTTAAAAGTAATGTTACGATAAAGGATTTAGATAAAAATAAAAGAAGCAGTTTCTAAAAATGCCTTAGTAACGGAGATATTTTTTTTTTAATTTCAGCGGGGACCGTGGTGACCGCGGTAGCGCTGGTGGCTTCTACTCTGGTTCCTCTGATGCAGGAAGCGCCGGTGGTGCTTACGTACCAAACGCTGAACCTGTTGTTCCATACAAGCCAGAAAGCAAACCAGTTGTTAAGTAGGTTTTATTTTTGTCATAACTTTCTTATTTGAAACATATTAAATTTTTGGGGAGTAATTTTCTCACAATACCTGACATTACCCCTTTTCAATTTTAGCGTCGCTATCAACGGTGTTGTTGAATCCGAGAAGGTCGTTACCACTGCTGCCCCCGTCACCGCTACCGTACCTGTGACCACTTTCGCCCCTACAACCGCCGCCCCTGTCACCACATTCGCCCCTGTCACCACAGGTGCCCCCATTACAACAGCCGTCCCCGTCACAACAGCTGCCCCCGTTACAACAGCCGTACCTGTTACTACACCAGTTGCAGTCCCAGAGGTCCCGGTTACCACATCCGCACCCGTCACAACAGGGGCACCCTTCTATGTGTCTTCAACTCCCTTCTACGTCCCCAGCACATACAAGCCATACAAGCCGTTCGTGCCAGTAGCCCCCGTTGCCCCCGCTGCCCCCGTTGCCCCATTTGTCCCAGTTGTTCCTAAAGTAGTGGTACCCAACCCCTACAACTACGGCAACGAATACAACTACGGAATCGTCCGCCAAGAAGCCGACGTTCTCCCTGATGCCTACCACTACTTATACGAAACTCAGAACCAAATCCTCGCCGAAGAGGCCGGCCACGTTGAGAAGATCAACAATGAGTACGAAGGCATGAGGGTCAAGGGTTTCTTCCAATATGTTGGTCCCGACGGTGTCACCTACAGAGTGGACTACACCGCTGACGAGAACGGTTTCGTTCCAGTCGCTGCTCACTTGCCCAAATAAATTTAGTCTACTTAGAATATTTACTATTGTACCTGCTTATTTAAATTTCTCTAATGGGCCATAAAGAATGTGATATACTCAATAAAGACTACTAAAATACTGTGGTGTTTCCTTCAATTTCTATTTTAAACTTTTGAATTGAAAAACAAATCCGAAAGTAATAGAATTACGCTAGTTATTATATTAAACAAAATTAAAATAATAAAACATAGACTCATAGTTTAATAAACCTGAAGCGTAGAACCTATGAAGTACCTAATAAATATTGTAACTTAATGTCGCCTCCAGTATATATTTTGACACTGATAATCGAATATTATAAAACAATTGTTGGAACGTTAGTGTCAAATCTTAAAACATCTAACATATTGGCATACCATTTTTTATTGTGATGTAAGCCCATTACTGTGTAGATGTTTCAACATTATTTAGTTCCCGAAATAATGTTGATTCATATATATTCTATATAATAATTGATTGTCTTATGTGGTATTTTATAAACAAACCAAGTTGAATCCTTATTTGCCAAAGTCACATTGTAGAGTTAAACATATAAAAAATACACATTGTTTATTTTTAATCAATTAAAAAATCCAATTACATAATCTGTAAATACAACAGTAACCGATAAAAAAAGTTTAATAACGCCAAGGCAGGTCAGTCAAATGCTTTATGACTAGGGGATTCACTAACAGTCACTTACTAGCGTCATATTTATACACTCGTATTACACATAATAAAAGGGTAAAACACAGCAGTCAGTCTCCCCGTGACCACGGCTGTTGCAAAGCATCCGAAAAGTCGGGCCGAAGTTAAAAATCATTTTCAAATAAGTTTATCTAATATATCGCGTTTTGAACCGTTAAAGTGTTTTATTTAAAACACAGCAATGTAGCAATTCGACACGCGGCGGACACAAACCCACGCCCACAGCGATCCTTGCAAACCTATTGTATTAAATTGTACAACATTGTAGCGTGATTATACGGGTTTTATAACGAATTAAATATTGTAAGTTTGTAACCTGTGAAAAGTGGCAACGTGTAATATGTTATTGCAAATGATGGCACTTTATATACTAATACTAGCTGTGTCAGCGACATCGTCCGAGTAGAATAATATAACTCTATCATTTTAATTTTTTACTCAGAGACGATATATATTAAGACGAGGAGGAGGTTACATAAGCAAATTTAGATGCCCAAAATAACTATTCTACGCGGACGAAGTCGCTGACAAAGTTAGTAAATTATAAATCTAATCAGGTTGCAAAATTTAATGCGACGGTAGCTTATATGATGACAGCTGCAGCACGGAACGCTGTGTGTCGGCGTTCAAAGTCCGCCCGTATCGTATCTTTTTTAATTTAAATAGATTTTTAATTGACATGTGAAAACATTAATATTTTAAATAATATAGGGTTATTTTTATTTATTATGAAGAATAATAAAGAACATAAAAAAGGTGCAAAGCTTATACTGTTTTAAATATATAAACAGCCATACATGTTGGCTTAAGTAAAATGTTGTATACAAAATAGGCATAGCATTTTGTACGGTACAAACAACAAAAAACGCGCCTTTTGCTTTTTATCAAGCTTTGCTAAATTATTTTAGATAGGATGAAGGTTTTAAAATTTTAGAAAATTTTAACTCAAATTCTATATGTGCGTATTATTATTTATTTCATACAAAAAAATATATTTATAATCTTTTAACTTACATTTGATAACTATAACCTTCATTAAAATACAAATCAACGTAGCCAAGTCGTAAACATTTTGCTAAAAACTTTTTACCGTTTGGGTTCATAGTACAAGTTACACACACATGTTTTAATAGAATGGGAATTTCTCAATTTTTTATATAGTAGCCAGTTTCATAGTGTATTGATTAAACTTGATGCGTTTTTGAATAAATGTATTATATATATAGATTTTTGTAACAGAATGTTCACAGATAACATTCGTTATTTTATTTATTTTTCACATACTGGCATAATATAAATTAAAAAGTCAATTTAGCACGAAACGTGTCAAGTCCCGCCCGTGTCTTTTTTTTTTTTAAATCTAAATAAATTTTTCAATTAACATTTGGTAGGCTTGTCTATGCCCCGAAATGAATCGTCATTGGTATTACATATGTTATACATCCCCTTTGATTAATTATTTAATCACATAACAACGTGTGTCTTTATTATTTAGTACAATTGACAGCAACATGTTTTATATTTTAAACATATTCTTCTCAGGTCAGGTGTAATGCGCGTTTCGATTTCAGTCATTTCGTTTGAAGTATGCACAGCCATAAGAGGTCGACAGCGCAACATAATAAGACTTAATACGATGGCCTATATTATAATTTTATAGTTTTAAAGTTAAGCAAATATTGGATTTAACATCTTTAACAGTTTAAAACGGGATGTTTTTGAAATCGAACGCCCGACATAGTCGCGGTTAACATAAATTGCAAATAAGTTTACTAATATAGTTCGCGTTTTATATATCCAGGTATGAATTGCCGCTAACGAGCAATTCGTATGGCAAACGTACCTGGCAGTACATGTTACCTCTGTACTTGAACGACTTGGACAGTATACGCACGACATGCTGTTGATAGGCCGATAGATGCAGGGGGATTTTAAAGAGCTTATAGACTAATATATCTTAAGTACCAACACATAAACCTAAAGGTTTCTTTACCGGTTTATTTTGTTAAACAAAATTATAATGTAAAAGAAGTTAAATAAAATAAATAATACCGTCAAAATATTTTAGTTAAATGTGTACTAGTCACGTAAACTAAAGATACTAATTATGTAAACATTTTTATATGACCTTAATGAAAATGACTAATAAGTTTTCATGTTTCCGGAAGCTGTAATGATTAAGAAGCCGAAACCACTTCAAAGTAGGTAATTCCGCCCTTATCAGTAATCTTATAAATATATTATTTATTCAAATACATCACACTAGGTTAGTCGGTGGCTATGGAAATATCGTAGTGCCATTAAAAGCTACCAAGAGTAAATTATGTATTCTTAGTTTTATTATTTTTTTAATGTGCTTGAAATATTTTAAGAACCCAGGAGGTCGTCTCTTTCTCAGTCTTAAAAGACTGTCAAGTTAAAATTGTAATTTTTGTATTCGAATAAAAATTGAAAGGCACATTCAAAATATTGTTCACCTTTTTAACGATAGAGAAGGAGAAATACCCCGGCCCACAGCATCCAAACAAGACGCGCTATCGACCTATTTTAGCTTTGTATATTCGGAAATCCACAGACTAAAACCGAAACTTTATTAAACTTCACGGCTTTTTCATCTGTGGACGGCGGTTCGTGACTCGTACGGAACTTCAATATTCCTACCAGCCATTTAATGTTCCGATTCCTAGACGAAGTCCAATATGTTTCAGAAAAAAAAAACGATTAAAAAATGTTGGAACTTGTAGGGATCGAACCCTAAGCCGTTGATTATTAGCCGTACATTACTACCATTATACCAACGAACCCATCAAAAGCGTTTTGTAACAGCAAAAGTACAGACGAATGTTTTTGCCATTTACTATGTAACTAAGTTTTTATGTAGAAAGAAGATGCACATAAAGAATTATCTTCCAGCACTTTTACTTTATCAGCTTTCAATATGTTACTATCTGTAGTTTATGCGTGTAGTAGACATTGAAATAAAACAGTTTAAAACGAGAATTATATTAGGTAAACTTATTGAAAATTATTTTAAACTTCCGCTCGACGATTCGGATGCTTTGCAGCAGCCGTGACCACGAGGAGACTTCACGTAATTTCCAAATAAGTTTACCTAATCCACATCGCGTTTTAAACCGTTAAAGTGTTTTGTTTAAATGTTACTGTCTTGTTAGTCTAGTGGTCAACTTGAGATCAGATCATAAGGCCCATGGACATGGTCGTAATGGTAGTTTGGAATATTCCCAGCAATTCAGAATTTGAGTTATTGGTCCGGAACTTTAAGTCTTGGATCCTGCTTATCATCACTCTTATTAATGAGAAAACTTGTGCCTCAAAGTAGACTATTTGTAGGGGAACTATTCATTGTTTATATATCCCATAATTTTTATTTTTTTTAATTTTGGGGTGTTTTGTTTAATATTATCATAATTATAATTATGGGAACTGTTACATTGAGATTTTAGAGATGAGATGATGATGAGAGAGAGATGATAGAGAAGGACAGACCAGCATGAGTTTCAAGGATAAAAGGCAAAATACCCCAGCCATTTACATTTGAAGGAGATACGCTGTCGATCTATTTCGACTTTGGATATTTGGAAATCCACAGACTGAAACCGGAATGCGACTAAACTTTACGACTTTATCATCAGAAGACAGTAGTTCTTGACCCGGGCGGATTTTCGATTTTTCTACCACCTATCTTATTCCAGGCGAAGGCCAACATTTTTTATCCGATGCTCTATAATATTTTGCCCATCAACTAAAGGTTAAAGGACGCAGGTAATAAAGTTATAGTTAAACAATTATGTATAATACTTACCCCTAGTATACAAACAACAATTTTTGAGTAACCAAATTGTCTCCAAAAATCGACATAGTTCATGTTATAAAGTAAAACCTGAAAACTAGAATAAACTAGTCCCGACAAATTTTAAACTTTAAATAATAACTTCTTTTGTTTAATTTAATTTTTCTGTTTTTAAATATGATTAATAAATTAAAGCAAATTTAGTAATGCTCCTATTATTTTTTAATTTTGTTTCAATGATAGTAGAGATTCCTATACACGACTCATACAATTACACTTAATTGGAAGTCTAGTGTTTTCACTTAAAATAATAAAATAAAAATATTCTTTATTATATTTTAAAAAATAATTAGATTCGTCAAAAAAATTTTTTTTCGTTTGTCTGTCTGTTCGTCGTGATTCTACAGAGTGTTCAAAAGAGCAACATAACTGAGAAGAACACCCAAGAAACTCAGTCTGGCTTTTTAAATATGTCTAATAAACTTATACATTTTTGTAAATTTATTAACAGGAATTAACTCACTTACTTTACTTATCTAAAAATGCATTGCATGCAAAAATGCACAAAATGCACAATATTTCTAATTGAACGCGATGTGTCAGCCCCATGTCCCACACAGGAAGACTGGATTGAAAAAACTTGTACTTCGTTAGTAAAATTTGATGTATATACTTTGAAAAGTTTTAAATAATTTACGACTAAAGTAAATTATATTTCCCGTAAAAGTAAAACAAAATAATTTAAAATTTTAAGAACAAATTAGTGCATACATTCTAATTAAATGTCAAGAAAAAATATGCAATAAAAATGTCCATTATGAAGATTACACGGAAATTTAAAAGATTTATACGTCTTTCACAAGTGTACAGACATGAAGGATGTGTCCACTGAATATTGTACAGCTCATTAGACTAGCGAGGAACAAGACATAGAGAATCACATTATAGAATTAGTCGAAAAAAAGGTATAAATAGACATTGGTGTTTAAAATATCAACATTCAGATTGTCTTTCTGTAGATAATCGCAACAATGCGCGTGTTATTGGTACGTATCTGCGGACGCGCAGCGAATTTGATTTCGAAAATTAATTTAATATATAAAAAATAAATAATAATAAAAATAGCTTTTGTGAATGTGGTGTGATATTGGTGTTTCAGGTAGTGGGATGTGCTTTGGCTGTTGCCTTAGCAGCTGAAAATGACCAGTAAGTATTTTTCAAGTTATTACTGAAAGCTCAAATTCAATTTTACTTGAAAATTCTAATATTTTCTTAACTATTAACAAAATTAATAATTACATTTTGGTGATTAAATATTATATAATAATTATAAATATGTTCTGTCACATAATAATTCACACATTTACCCTTGTTTCAGACTATTTCCAACAACTTTGAGACCATTCCGGTATTCCACATTCGCCCCCACCACAACCTACAATCCCTACAAATATTACACAGCGCGTTACACACCTAAGTCTGACGCTGGTAAATACGATCCCGGTAAATACGATCCAGGTAAATATGACGCGGGTAGGTACGATCCTGGGAAATACGACGCAGGCCGCTACGACCCTGGTCGCTACGACCCCAGCAAATACGACAGTTCTGGACGTTACACGCCCGACAATTCTGGACTTTACAAGTGAGTAGTATTCCTATAAAACCTATGTCTAAAGAAAATAGTGTTCTAACTAACACTATAATATAATAAAATTTATGTGATAACGGTAGAAATATTTAGATTTTTGCTGATTGGACATTTAATTATTGTTAACAATCTTTATCAAAAATGATATTTCATTCAGTCAAGTTCAGTGAACATTTACTAAGTACGTACTTCTGGTATATGTGTAAGTTTGTAGCGCACACTGTAAAATAGCAAAAAGAAATTTAATTCCTACATCTGATTGTGTTAGATTTTGCTTAAAAATGGGTGAATAAAAAAGTATTGTAAATTTTAGCGGTGACCGCGGCGACCGTGGTGGCGCTGGAGGATTTTACACTGGCTCCTCAGACAAGGGAGGTCCAGGAGGTTTCTACGTAGGCTCCAAAGATGACATCGAAAAGTACAGGCCAGAAAAGGATGCCGGGTAAACATAAAATATAAGTCCATGATTCATCATTAAAAAATAGCATAAACGGAAAGCATATTACATTCATGACCATACATGACTTCTTAATCATCGAGTGCGCAATATCACTTCTGTTTACCCTTCGTAACTTTATGCCGTACAGACAATGGCAATAAAGTTGTGAAAATAATGGTTTTGATGTCCTTATGAATTCATAATTGCATAAACAGCTTACAGTTATTACATAGTATTAATATCTGATTGTAATAAAGTCATTACCGTATCCCACTAATAAGATGTAAAATTTATGAATTTAAACATGAACCGCCCCAATTTGAGTTAATTTCAATTGGTAATACGCTAATGACCTGTTTGTGTTTCATGTTAATCTAATAGCTATAAAATGAGCGCACATCAAACGAATCGACCTGTTCACCTTATTAGACTCATTAATTGAAGAAGCCTACCGGCCCATTAGTGATGAGGATCAATTTTACGTCCGTGTAACTGGTTCAAGGTAAGCAATGGTTGAACTTTTCAGAGTTGCAAGCCCAACTGCCGCGCCAGTAACTACAGCCGCCCCGGTCACCACCGCCGCCCCGGTTACCACCGCCGCTCCAGTGACCACAGCCGCCCCTGTGTCCTTTGTCAGCTCAACCTTCGTGCCCATTACCTACAAACCAATTTACAAGCCGACGCCCGCACCTGTGATCCCAAAGGTCGAGTACCCTGGTACCTACGACTACAAATACGGAATTATCCGCCAGGAGACTGATATTCTTCCCGATGGTTACCACTACCTATACGAAACAGAGAACAAGATCCTCGCAGAGGAAGCTGGAAGGATCGAGAAGTCCAACGACTTCGAAGGCATGAGAGCCAAGGGTTTCTTCGAATACGTTGGACCCGACGGTGTCACTTACAGAGTGGACTACACCGCAGACGAGAGGGGATTCCTGCCAAGCGGCGCTCACTTACCATAAGTCTCATCTAGAATTTAATAGACCTACACATGTACCTAATCGATCCCTGTACCTGCTAATATTATTTACTCATAGATTCCGTTCAGTATGTAAATAAAACGCACGTTAATTTTAACACTCTGTTTCATTTAATGTTAATACTGCCAAAACCTTTTAATCTTTAAATGATAGAAGTAAGTAAATCTCGTTTAGATGTTATTTACGGCTTGAATTTCCATCAAGCAAGCCCCATGCCTGACTATTTTCCTATGGGATAAAGATCGTAACGAGTGATTTGAAATTTCACATAAACAGTGAAAATAATTAAATATTTGTATATTATACCTATTAAGAAAGAATACATACAGTAGAGTACCTAAGTAACGTAGTTTATATATATTCTCATAAACTTATATTCTCCTGTAACGGTAAAATGTTCATAAAAACCAGTACGTTTTCCTTGCGGGGGGTAGAGCTTCATTTCTTAATTAATGCAAACGATCTTTAATTGGTGCTACTATGTATATGTTTTAATAATTAAATAAAAATACAAATAGATCTAGTAAGTTTCTATATCTTGTCGTTTTATCAAATTTTTTGCAAAATTAATAGTTTTTCAAGTTTAGTGCGACATATATTATGCTAATGAATATATTATAAAATACTCAACACGCACTATAACTACATTGTGGAATGATAATATGGAAATTTAAAGATTTTATAGGTTTATATTTTAAAATATTTTTTAATGTGTGACTGTTATAAGAACAAATGTAATTTTCAACGTACCATAAGTACGTATTTAGACCAATAACACCCTTCTGATAAAGGGAAGTGAGACTCTGTTGGCCCTATTTACTGTATCACTAATAATAAAAAAACAGCAAGCGTAGTAAATTTTTTACACTTGCCACATCGTTGGGCCAGAAAGGTTTGGCAGTCAAGCCCACAGAGTTATGTGAACAGAAAATCTATTTGCTAGAAATCTATGGATTGTCCAGCTGTGGACAAAGGCTGAAAAATATATATTTTTAGTATTCAATTTAATAACCTATATTTCCATATAATCCATATGTATAAACACAATTAAAATGTGAATTTATTCAAACTGTTTTTGCTATAAACTTATCCTAAATCCGACATCTCATTCCATGGGTCTTTATGACTTCAAAAAACACAGAAAGTCGCAATTCCAATCCAGTGGGCAGAGCTAGGTGGAAGTCCTTAGCATGGTCAAGAATGGAAGAAGATAGGAAAAGGACAACATATTATTCGTATCAGAAGTTAAGCGTAAAAAGTTGTATGCAATTGTTAATAACACTATTTATATATGTGGTTTTATACTGTAATATAAAATTTCAAATGAGCAAAGCTGCTGTTAGCAAGATTTGAACGTCCTCACTACCAGGAGCAATAAAATAGTAATCAGATACGCCTGACTCTAAATACCTACAAAGCTTGTATCGTTATTTTCGCTTCTATAATCGTTGCAGGAGTAAATTTATTTTTTTATATACCTTTCATTGATTAGAAGATTGAAACTTTGAGCTTGTCATAATTTTTACTGACGTAAAAAGGAGTAGCATGACTATTGTTATAAATTATAAAAGTAGAAATGGCAACATGCATAGGTACATTCCAAGATGTTTTTTGACAGTTGCTCGTTTGTTGATCTTATCATAATGTTAGCAAGGGATACGATCCTCAGAAGTTAAAGTTTATCTGGAAAATGTAGAAATAAAAAAGTGCTAGAAATATTAGTATTTCATCCATTCCACGAACTAACGACTACAGATGAAAAAGACGTGAAGTTTAATCGATTTTCGGTTTGGATTTCTGAATGTCTAAAGCTGACGCCTGAAGATTGCATGCACATCTTTTCGATGTTCTATCGCTGGTGTAGCTTCCATCAACTTTATTTTTTTATTGTCTTCATCTATACTAATACTATACAAAAGCTGAAGATATTGTCTGTTTGTTTGTTTGATCACGCTTATCTCAGGAACTACTGTTTCGAATTGAAATTGAAATTCTTTTTGTGTTGGTTAGAGCATTTATTGAGGACAGCTATAAGATATAAAACATATAGTTGTAACTACTAGGAGCGAAGAAACAACGGTAAATGTGAAAAACAACGGGCATAATTTATTCTTTGAGAATATATATGAAATAATGATTCCTCTTTAAATGATCCACTCATAAAATTGTCCACAACAGTAGATGTCTATCTTATTAATTACAAGAACGTTAGCACGATACTGACGTTGGGATTAACTACCTTAAATTTATAGAGTTGAACAGGATGTTTGTAAAAACAAATTTTGACGCCCCGATCACTATTCTACGCGGACGATGTCGCTGACACAGCTAGTTTGTTATAAGAAAGATACATTTTGGGGTATTTACACAAATTACCGTCATTCAACAAGATTTATTGAATTTCAACATGTTTTTTTAATGACATGTTTTGTATAAATCAATTATTATTAGAAATATTTGAAACGAGTAGGGAGCTAACTATATAGATTCAGTTAATATATTACTTTACTAAGCTTTTTATTTACTTTAGTATTGTACTGTTCATTCTTGTTTTACTATAATAATATTGCAAAATTGACTGATTGATTTTCAGTTGAGTAAAACTTCACGGATTTTATATCTGTGGACGCTGTTTTGGGACCAGGATCTTACCCCCCCATCTAATGTCCCGATTGTCAGACGAAGTTCATCAGATTTTTTTTAAATTTGATTAAAAGTAATGAGAACCGACGAGTTACTACAATTAGACCAATGAACAATGATGTTTCAGAAATCAATTCATAATTTTTGAAAACTTTATTATTTTTTGCATGTTATTGCACATGAAGGCACTATATAATTTAAAAATCAAAAATAAATTGAAAAAATTTTCGACTCGGGCAGGACTTGAACCGGCATCGTCAGCATTCCATGCTGTTGCTCTACCAATTGGTAAAATTGTTTCAGTTTATTTTCGATTTTTTGAATTACAATTCATAATTTTTGAGATATACTGTAATATCGGTATTTTTTTACGGGTCACGAACTACCATCCGCAGACTGAAAACCCTTAAGTGTTGTCTGCGTTTCAGTTTATTCGCAAGTATAAATGAAATCCTGTTTCCCCCTTTTAGGGCGTGGGGCAAACACAATTCTGTGTCCGTTTCACTGATCCGTTTTTTTAACAGGCAAGTCTTTTTTTAAAGACTTCTATGCTAGGGCACAGACCTGACTGAAACATTTTTTTTTCTTTTTCCCTGGGGATTCGAACCTAGGACCCCTCACGCATAACACAATGCTAAGCAATACGTTTAACCATTTAACTATAGAGGCAGACATTCGCAAGTATGCTACGAAAAATAGGTCGAAATCTTGTTGTAGGGAGCTTTTCACATTCCATCGATAGAACCCAATCCTTGTAAGTATTTCTCTGTCATAAAAGAATGTTGTAGATAACGGAATTGTGTTAATTAAAATGAATAATTATTACAATTGATATGTTTTTTTTTAATTTTACCATAATTTTACTAGACATATTTAACTAACCGACAGTCGTTCCGTTCAGAAATAAATGTCAAAAGCATTAACCAAGGATATTTGTCGACATAACTAATTAAAATACAAATATGATTTATTATTTATTAAAAACTTATCGATTCCGCCGTGAAGTCGCTCTATGATAAACAATATGAGTTGATATGTAAATTTGCTAAAACTAAAGCTTAAATAATCATTTTATCGTTTATAACGCGGTATTCCGCTACAAGACGTCCAAACAGTAGCGTAAATATCGTGACGGGGACAATTAATCTCCTTATCTCGTATTGTTTAAAACGTTTTAACATTACAGGTTATTCATATTAGTTTTAAATACCAATTACGATGGCCATGATTGAAGGGACGAGTTTTAGGTAAACCTTATAAATTTACAGTATTAAATCAACGTAAAATTGAATTAAAAAACTCGCGTGGTAAAATACCATATAATTAATGACTTATAAACCGAATTGAGGTTATAACGTATAGCCAATATAAAAATAAAATTCCAGAACATTTCTTTGCATTTAGCGCATCGAATTCCTTGCAGCGACACCCCAGTCAATCGTGTTTGGTAATATACAGACAATATTATTACTCAAGGATATAAAAGAGGAATTCTTCCAAATTAGCCCACTATAGCAGACTTAACGTCAAAATAGTTCAGTGTATTTGAAAAATTATTAAGTGTGAATGATGACCTGACATTTGCGTAGGTAGTTTTTTTTATTTTGTATTTTAAGCGAAATGTCACAAATGCGATGCAAATGTTATGATAGAATTAGCGATGTCCGGATTAATAGTAATATTTTATGTAAGTGAATATTAAACAAGGATACCATAAAAGGAAGATCGTCTACGCATTTAAAAGCGAGTAGTTCGATGGCTACAGCGAGCTGTATCGCATCCTTATTAATTCGTTAATATTTATGCTAATTGTAATCGTGAGGCCGGTTGTCGGAACGTGCAACCTTAGAGATCATGTTATTGCACTTTATGGCGGGTCGTTTTCACGCAAAGTGATATGCGAAGACTCGCGGACATTTTAATTACGAGAGTTTCTGGTATGAGCTGGCCGCCTCTTAGGTAGTTGGAAATTAAGGGGAGCTTTCTCGTTTAAATTCAGTGTTCAGTGAGTGACCGAATAGATTCGAAGCGGCGTTAATGTCACGAGCTATGCTAATTCTTTTGACCGACCTTGTCACACCTGATTTTAGGATTCTGATCCACTTTTGGTACGTCTCGAACAAAATTTATTATACATCTAAATGTTAATTAAGGCAATGAGGAATAAGATATTTTGACGAATATTGGTTGTTATCTTTTAAAATACTGCTCACTTATGACACATTATCTGATCTAGTTTCAGATCCAAAACATAACCTGTGGAGTAAACAACTTGTACTGGTTGCGTGAAAATACTATTATTAGCAAAAAAATCGACAACAAATTTTAACTCTGCCACTGATAACGAACCATGAAATTTGTTTGGGAACTTGTAAGTACTCGACTTTAATTGATAACATTGTTATCGGGTTAGTTTCGTTTCGTAATACGAAAGGCCTACCAAAAGTATTAAATCAAATATAGTACTTGTAAAGTTTTAATTCTTTTTTTTTTTCAATTTGTGATTATGAAATGTTAATTTGTTGTTTTGTTAGTGTAATCTACGTTTTAACTCCATTAAATATTATTAAGATTTAGCGCTTAAATTGTTTTATTGTAGTTCAAGTGTATTTATATATAAAACATTCTCAAATTCCAGGCATTTCTGGTGACATTATGTACGTTAGTACAAGGATCACCCTTCGATGATGGCAAATACAAGCCTAAAGTATATGACGAATACGACGATGGAAAGTACTACAGGCCTCCCACTGAGGGAAAATATGTCCCAGGCGATGAGGGGAAGTATATGTATATCTATCAACAAGGAGTCTACCCCTATGATGGTACATACAAGCATCTAGGAAGGGGCGATTCTAATGACTATATCGGATTCCAAATATACGCACCGAGATTTCCCTACATCCATAGGATAATTAAAGAGCTGATTAGCACGTATGTGTCGCCGGACATTTTGGTGTTCAGCGAAACGGAGACCGGACAAGTGTTTGATAAAGCACAGTCGCCCGAAGAAATTGCAATGAAGTGTAATTTAATAAATCCGGGGACAAAGAACAGTACGGAAGCTGAAGTTGTAACGCAGTACGTATTTTTCATTATTAGTTTTCGTGGTTCGCAGTAATTTCAATTTCATATACAAACTTATTGAAGCAGACAAATAATCTTTATTTATATAGACTTCTGTGCCTACTACTATTCATTTATTATGTCTTGATACAATTATGTTTCCAAGGGAATGCAACCCATGACTTATACTGCATGCGTTTATCTCTTGAGTCACCGAGGTTGTAGTACTTTGGCTAACTTATATTTAATCGACTCTTATTATACCAAATAACTTATTAGTTTTAACCATCATTATACTACGACTACCATAGTTCTATTAAAAATAAGTTTAAATGTAATAAATACTTAGTATAATAATTATAATATTAATATCCTTTACTTTTGCCGCGATGTTATAATATCCGCGAAAAAACCCGATGTAATAATGCCCGGGATATGTATAAATTTTTACACTAAACAGTTCATTTTTTAGCAGAATTTCGTTTAGTGTTATGCTATTTATTTCCTTCGTAGAGATTTAACGGGAATTTGTGCATTTGTATTCACGTAAAGCTGAAGAGTTTGTTTGTTTTTTGAAACGCGGTAATCACAAGAACTAGTGCTTCAAATTGATGCGAATAGGGCAAATAAATGGTGAAGAACTTGAAAAAAAAGAATCAGTTCAAATATTCATCTTTGAGAGCTTCTGTTGCGTGCAATGCGAAAACGGTTCAAGAAATATGCATGAAAGTATGTTTCTTTTTTAGTGTATGCGATTAAAGCGGAGATAGGCTCAATAAATTCAGTAGGCACTATTCTAACAGTACTTGTATTCTCTATAACTGTGCATAGAAGATTAAACACCATAGATGATAGACCAACTTTTGTCAATGATATTATGATGATTTCTTGTATGGTTTTCACTACGAGACCATTCCGCCATAGTTATAACCGTGGGGAAATGTTAAACAACAATTTTGATTTATCGAAATCAGGCTTCTTCTTCAGCCTACTGAAGGCGCCACATATTTCTTCCTCTGGTGACCTTTCCTTATTCCGGTTTGAGGTCACGGCTCAAGAACTTGTAGGCAATTATTAATATTAAATAGTGCAGAAGTTTATGATGCCGGAATTGTATCAGACACACAACTGTGAATTTTTAATCTGTTTGTCACACAGTTTTAAGATAAATATTGACAAATGTGAAGGGTCAATTTTGCTGGATCCCACCCGAGTCTACAAGCTATGTACATTTCGAAATGTATTTAAAATAAATCTTTTTTAGGGTTTAAACCAATTGCACCTTTTCCGGGAAGAGTTTCGAATGTAGAAATAAATTAATATATAACACGAAACTCATTCATATATAAACAGTTATATTCGAAAATGATCAGTTGTAAACCGCAAATTATACTTTCAAATATATAATCGTTACTTGAATACTTTACTTGCTTATTTAACATTGTCTAGTTTTTCACGTTGGTTATCGCGTAAGCTACGAATGTAGATATCAGTATGGCTAAGTGAGAGAAATTAAGGTTCTAATTATTAATTTCTTTATACGATTACAAAGGAATCTTCTCATATTCATTGCTTTAAGCTTTGACATAGTAACAATTAAATGTTGTACCTATATGGTGCGTGCGCGTTTAATTTCTTTCAATGACCGAGGTAAATAGCCGTCCATTCAATTCGTCAACGTGAATATGGGTATATTATGATAGTTATTCGATAATATCGTTATATATATTATGATAGTTATTCGATTTCCAAATGTCCTAAGCCAAAATGGGTCGACAACGTGTCTTGTTTAGATGCTATAGGCTGGGGTACATCGCCTACCATCAAGTGAACCGTATTCCATGTCTGTCCTGCTCTAGCATAAAAAAAAATAGGAAAATGTTAATATGTGTTTGGTGTGTAATATAATTCATTTCCAGGCATTATAATCTGTTTGGTTTATAAATCGAATTTAAAAATTACAGATACCCTCCCATGATGAAGCTTGAAGATGGTGAACAACAAGGCACGTTGTACAGCTTTAAGGGAACCAAGGTGTTGAGCAAAGTGGAAAATTCACTAAAGACTAAATTAAAACTGCAGTACGAAGTGTTCGTGAGGGTAGTTGAGGAAACTGAGCTTTAATGACGATTAAAAACTGATGTTATACAAACTGTTAGCTGGTGTTAATGTTATACGAGTGGAAATAGGATTATTGTAAATTATAGTAAAGTATTTAAGTATTTTTACGTTTGTTTTATTGATTACTAACTGTCGCCTGTGAAAAGTTCTATGTAAAGGAGCATCCTGGAGCCTGTTTTTGCGGGTGTTTTTTTGGTTTGCGTTTTTTTTTTTTCCTTTTTTTTTTTTTTTTCCCCCCCCCCCCGCGGTTTGCCCCCCTTTCCCCCCCCCCGGGGGGGGGGCGCCCCCCCCCCCCCCCGGGGCGGGGGGGCGGCGGGGGGGGGGGGGGGGGGGTTCTTTTCTAGTTTAACTAATATATCGCCTGTAAAGTGTTTTATTAAGATGTGACATGTTTTCACACGAAATTAAATTAAGGAATAAAAGTTCAAAATCGCAAAACAACTCGATTACTAATCAGACATTTGTTTATGCACCCAACTTAGACTATAAGTCTAATATTAAGTTTTTACTTCACAATTATTCAGACTATGCACAAGTAGAGACAGATAGCTTTATTATTAGACCATGACAAAACTGTTGCTTGAGTAAATTATATCTGCCTTAACTTAAACTTAGTGCAAAAATACTTAAGAAACATTCATTTAGAATAAAACCAACAATTGCTTAAGGATATTAAAATGGGTAAAATATTGTTTGAAAGTCGTTGAGAAGTTTGTGTAAGTAAAATATTGAATTTAAAAAATGATGCTATGTAATGTGATATTCATACCACCACTGTACAGTTGGTATATATTATATACTAAGTACATATATGATATACCAAGATAAGAAAGCATAAAGATATACAAACTAAAATGTGTGATCAATGAAATGATGTATTATATAAAGCTGAAGAGTATGTTGTTTAAACGCGCTAATCTCAGGAGCTACTCGTTCGGTTTGAAAAAGTCTTTTTGTATTCGCTACAGCATTTATTGAGGAAGGTTATAGGCTGTAAAACATCACGCTGTGACTAATAGAAGCGAAGAAACATCGGGAAATGTGGAAAAAACACTAAAGATAATCAATCTTTCTGGGTTTCCGATGCGTACGCAGCGAAAACGGTTCAAGATAACAAAAAAATATGTATGAAAGAATTACTCCTCTTTTATAGATCTAAACAATGTTTACGACACTATATATCTATCTTTTAGAATTAACTTGCAAGAACGACGGGACGCGACCGGCGTCGTTGGTAATAGCTTAAACTTATAAAAATAAAGAAAGAAAGAAAAAAAACATGTATGCCCAAAATTGCTATTCTACACGGATGAAGTCGCTGATACAGCTAGATTTAGGTACTATAAAAAATTAAGTGTTTTCTTCTACAGGGAATTTTACTCCGTATCATTTTGTCGTGAATAGAAAATGTATTTATGTATACATGACTTGAAATCCAGTAACTCAAGGTGTCCCGGATATAGATTTATTCATTGTTAATCTTTGTAATTGGTGTTACTTTTTGTTGAATTAATAAAAAACTATGAACTCTAAGGCTTTCTATATTAATATAAATAAAAATACATTTACATCGCACTATAGTTATTAGGAATCATCGTTAAGAATAAATAAATGTGACATATTTGCTTATTGGACATGTACATTTTTGTACCCATTTTTCTAAATAACTGCTATTTGTTTTTATGGTAAAGGAGGAGACACAGAGATGGAAGGTCAAATACTTCAGCCATATAATTTTGATAAGATGCACTGTCGACCGCTGTTCGCTTTGGATATTATATTTAAAGACTTTTCTGCAAGGCGTTTCAAAATTACTAGCGTACGGGTTATGTCAGCGTTTGAATAAAGAACTGCTGAAGAGTACTTTTCTTTCAGTTTCAGATTTTTGAATAATAACGTAAGTTTTAGTCTTGTAACTTGACGAAATGAAAGGTTTTATAATGTTTCTTCAATACCCTCGGTTCTGTGAGTTTTACTCTTTTTAACTTTGTTAGTCTAAGTCTCCTTTTTTATTTTATACTCTTATCCTATTTCAGCACACTGTTGGCTGTAGATTAATTACTAAATGTATGTCCCTTTTTACATGCTAAGCATCAAATTTGGTATTCTTTTATGAGTAACGTTGTAGTTTCCTGATGGAGTCGAATTAACTTATAAGTTTAATATTTTTAAACTGCATATTTATGAATCTACAAAGGTATTATTATACTAAAGCTGTCTATCTACTGACAAATAAAAAAATGTTATTTAAAGAAAAATTATATTCTTCACCATATTCTTTTTTGTGCTCTTTACCATTTTTTTTTTTTTTTTTTTTTCCCCTTTTTGTAATTTTTAGCGTTAAGTATGTTTAACGCATGTATACTACGTAGCTGTAGGAATACCAAATAAACAATAAATAAATAAAATAATTAAGTAAATATTAGTAATTGAAAGCTCTCGCACCTGGAATGTTTTTTTTATTAACAAATAATTAGAGTGTGAGCAAGTGTGTTACTAGTTTATTTCCACATCTACGAATCTTTGTATTTTTTTATTTGGTAGTTTTTTTTGTTGGTATAAATTTTATTAACATTAAGTACTGTCTGTAGTAAATGCGAGTAGTACAAGTTTAGTTAACTAATATGATGCGTTTTGAGCCGTTAAATGTGTTTTAATTGAATTGTATTGACGTTCGTAATTGTGTACTTAGTACTATCACTAGTGCTATGAGATGCCCCACGATATGGGAGTCGTGGATTCGGGGCCGAAACGGGTCGTAGGATTTTTAATTTTTAAAATATTCTTTATGATTACTCAAATGTTTATTGAATGGTGTCGAAGGGTAGTGTTACAATTTGAGACCTTGAATCCCCGAACCTGTAGAATGATCGATATTTGTGCATGGGCGCGATTTATGAGGCAACTTCGAACAGAACAATCCAAATACGTACATCCAGCCAATGTCATGCTAACAAACAGAAGATGTAAATTACTTTTTCTACTTATATGGGGCTCTTAATCTCCTAATAAATACTCTATTTCGAATCCTACGACTGTATAAAACGATTCGATAGATTTCAGTAGATATCATTGTTCCTTCGATTCTGGTCCAAAAAGTATTATCATGAAGTGTATAGTGGTGAGTAGAAAACCTTTATTTAATATTAATATAAAGATATTTTAATATTGAATTTTAAATACATGGAATTCGCTTAAATCATATATGTAGTTTTGTTCACTATTTCATTTCTTAATATTTGTGCTGAAAAACCGTATTATCCTTTGAATTTAATATGGTTAGTACACCAAAAATTTTATTTAAATACTAAATTTCACTGAAAAACTAGCATTTTTGTTAATATTCAATGTTTATAATTGATTTGCTCCCCCTGCAATTCTTTTGAGCAAGAGATAGCTTTGTTGTTCACATTTAACTTTTTAATTTTTTTTTTTTACAATTAGTGTAGCTTAAAGAAAATCCACAGCACTTTTTTTAGAATCTATCATGCCAAACGATCGTACATTTGCATCGCAAAAAATCCCACGAAAGTATTTGCTTAATCTGATCTAAGTACCTACTTAAGCAGTGTTTGAAATCTGAAGCCGGACAAGCGGGCTTGATAATCCATTGCGTAACGAATTATTCAAACTCACATAACAAATCACAACTTATATAACTATATAGATATAATATACGTAATTTATCATTCTTTATATTATTATTTATTTAAGTAAATAACGCCTTTTATATTGTACAGGCAATCGTCCTCGTCGCTGTATTCAGCAGCGCAAAAGCAGTCGACGATGGGAAGTACCACCCGGAGTTGTACGGCAATGAAGGAAAATACAAACCGGTGATCGCCAGTCAGTATTACGACTACTTGAACGGACGCTACAACAATTACTACGGAAGAAACTTCTACAACCCCGTGTATGATCCATTCTACTATAACACGATCAGACCGTACCAAGGGCTGGTTGCTCCTTTAGTGAAAAGGTAAGGGTTAAAAAAATAATAAATGAAATAATTGAGTCTACCTCGTTACCAATGCATGAATGTTAAAAGTCAAGATTATCTTCTTCTGTTACTACTTACTTTATAGTTAAATTTTGTCGAGCTCATTGGTTTAATGGTGTCAACGTATAATACCATTCAAAAGAATCAATATCATCAACATCATCATCATCGTTCCAACATGTCACTAAACTATTTATTGTTTTTCTGAAACATGTTGATCATCGTTTGGAAATTCAGTAATTAAATGGATAATAGGAATATCGTGATTCCGCCCGATTCACGAACCACCATCCTCAGATGAGAAGCCGTGAAGTTTAATAACGTTTCGGTTTTCATCACTGGATTTCCGATGATCCAAAGTCAAATTAGGTAGACATCGCATCATCTTTAGATGGCTGGGGTATTTTAACTTCCATAACAGATCATGAGGTTTACCTGAGGGATTGCTTGTCGGGCCTCCGTTATCATTAAATAATTATATAGTAGAGAGCCTAAATATTAGGAATGCTTTAATATACATTTTCGATTATCCATGGGACGGGAAGTACTTCTTCTATTACGCTTTGTCAAAATTTGCTATATTTTTACGTAGAATATTTTGTAAACACTTTTGCTCTATTTTTCTATGAGGCGTTTTAACTTATCACTATTATAACTGTTTGATAATTTTCGTTGTTAGGCGTTTTTGAATATAAGAAAATAATTATAAATCTCATTATATTTCTAGTGACATCCCCCAAGTTGTAGTAACTGCTCGACCCCCAATTGTTACAAGCACCGCGGTACCCGTAGTAACGACACCTGTGAAATACGTCCCGCTATACGCAAAGCACCAATACCTCGACGGAAGGAGTGCCAGAATCGTAGCACAGGACAGTGATTCGTCACCAAGCGGTTACCACTACAGATTCCAGACCGAAAACGGAATTGCCGCAGAAGAGACTGGCAGTGTTGCCACGTCCGTGAACGAAGGTACTAGAGTCAAGGGATTTTACGAGTACGTTGGAGACGATGGTCTTACCTACCGTGTAGATTATACCGCCGACGAGAATGGGTTCCACCCCACTGGCGCTCATTTACCCTGAACTGAAGAGTACAAAACTTATTCCGTTTCCGATGTATTAACGAAAGTATTAAATTCGATTTATTAATTTTATTTTAACGTCTTTTATTTCACGATACAATTAAGCAGAGCGCCGTTAGTTTATTGGCATATATAAGGTCATTAAACAATATGTGAAGTAAACCAATGTTGTAATTAGTCATGGTTTATTTTGGTTTGAAACTATAAAGCTTTTATTATTGCCGAATCATTTTAACTTATATTCTAGAACAAGCTTATACCTCGTTTTTGCTTGGATGGTAATTTTACAAAGACTATAAAAAAAAGTAAGAAAAGTTCCTGTAAAGATATGACTGACCTATAGGTAACCTTTAAAATTGTGTTTATTACGGATCCAAAGGAGCTTATTTTACTCTTAGTAATATTATTTAGCAAAAATCATGTGTGTGCAATCTTAATGAATGAAGGAAAGACACACAAACACTTTGTCTGTTTGTCTGGATAAGTAAGTCATGGTCTTAACTCTAAATCTCATAGTCAAATTAAAAATGTTTGAAAGGTTACAGTACAAATTAACATATTAACGCAAAGAAGATAACTATGAATATATTAGGTGTTAGGTGTAAATTTGACACAAAAGGCGATTACAAATAATGAACAAGCTGCTTAATTGTCTAAATTTGTATTCTCGCTTCATGGCTTCGGATTTTATTACTTTAAAATTGATTTCATGACGCATACTAACTATACGTTATAATTTTTACGAGCGATATCACTTTTAATTCTTAAACCATTAGCAATACATATCAGTAACTTAAATACATTTATTTTTTTATCTCTAAACGGCAGCTGTTGGTCGTGTAATCGAATCCCGTACGTTTAAAAAGTTCTCCAATCTTTAATGATTTTTATGTGTGTTTACATAATAGAAGAAACGAAAAAAAATAAGTCTTATAAAAACAATCGTTTAAGTAAGTTGAGTGCGAAGTAAATTGAATCGAAATTAAAAAAATAAATGATGCAATTTTATACCTACTATGCAATAACTTACAAACTAGTATGTAAAGAGAAGAAATTGAAGGTACAGACGAGGTATGGACCCATACCCTATCATAACGTGCTGTTGTTGTTACCATAGATATAGAGAGCCGGGCCAGCATTACGTTTTCAATTTCTACAATTATAGTAAGAAGTTTGTAAATTCATATAAATAAAATATCATTTGTGTCTCTTTGTAATTTATTTATTGAAGAAATCACTCATTTCATTGCACATAATGGCACTATAGAAAAGTCTAACATCAATTGAAAACAAAAATCGATTCGGGCAAGACTTCAACAAGAATCGTCAGTGATCTGTGCTGTGGTAACCAATAGAGACACGGTAGCTCAATTGGTCAAGTCCTGCCCGAGTCGAAAATTTTATCAATTTATTTTCCATCTTCAATCTAAATGTCACGATTACTGAATGAGATCAAGTTTTTCAAAAAGCTTTAAAACTACGAAGCGAAACGGATACAGTGAGGATAACACCTAATTATAATAACGATGAATCATAAAAGTCCGCATTGGTATTTTCTTAGTCGAGCGAAAAAATTCGCCTATCTTTATTGTCTTATTTATAGTTGAGATTTACATAAAACATTTACGATGATATAATTTAAGGTTTTTAAGATGTCATCTCGGCTTCAAGAGATATTACCACAAAAGATAACCTGCCATAATGTTTATTCCGCGTAGGATCGAGTCAATTAAAAGTTCATACAGTACAGTAAATTTTAATGAAATGTAAGCGGTTTTCCTTTATTATACCACCACAAGGCACCAGAGCCTAATAAAATTTTGTTAATCCCACAAGCGACATTCCGGTGTTCTTTAAGGGGAAAAATACATAATTGCGACTTTACTCTATGTGATTTTATTTACACTTGTGCCGCGTTTGTTTGAAAGTATTCATTTAGTTCAGAATTCAAACTGTCCTAAGTTGGAATCCTGTACAAACATGTTAAATTGTGTTTTATTAAAATAAAACATTTTTAACGGTTTAAAACTTTAAAAATACTATATAACTTATTTTAGATACAACCCGACGTTTCATATCACCAGTCTACCCTGTCATCACGGTCGCTGCAATTGCAAAACGTTAGGCCGTACTGAATTAAAATAAATTAATATATTTCCAGTTTTACATGGTAATTTTTTAAATTGTACTACTCGCGTAAAGTAGAGACGATCCTTAAATCATGCTCTACCTATACCTTTAGACATTTGTGGCTTGCTGGACCGAGTGAAGTATGACTTTCCAAGTTTCGAATCCAAGACCTTCCTATTCTTCTTATTCTGGGAGACTACTTGTAAAGGCAGCCCGGGATACGAATCTACTGGATTCGTATCCTCGCGCTTATCGCAACGCAACATAAGCATTGACGTAAGGATGTTGTTATTCCTTAACCAATTAAAAACGTGTTAGCTTATTACTAGATATGTTCTCATTCTAAAACAAGTAAAAAACCAGCCAATTTTAATATAACATTAATCAATGTCTAAGGCAGACGATCTACTTTAATATATTTAGGGTAAAAATCTCGACCTTGGATTGGGACGTCAAGTTTTGACAACAAAATGGAACTTTGCATAATAATGTTTCTGGTATCGATATTGGAATAAATCAACGATTAACTTAACGCTTCTTGATTTCATTACTTTAAGTTATTTAAAATATATGATGATCAAAAAAATATATGTAAACAACTGCTTCGTAATCTACTGTTAAGTACTATCAATTGCTCGTCATGATTACCGAGATTTTTTTATTTATGATAGAGGACATGGCATGGCGTTCTCTTAATAGCTGATACACCCCAGCTTATAGAACCTAACTTAATTTAAAAAATTTAGCTTTGGATATTCGGAAATCTAAACCGAAACGCGATTAAGCTCGACTTTTTCATCTGTGGGCGGTGGTTCGTGACCCGGACGCAAATTGTATATTCGTAGCACCCATTAAGTACCTAGATTTCCAGACGAGGTACTGCATGTTTTAGTAAATTTATGAAATGAAAATTTATGAACATGATGAATCTGGTGGGAATCCAACCCACGACCACCATCATTAGGCATACATTGCTCCATTAGACCAGTCAAACATTGGTAGCCTGGAGCTTGTAGGAGGAGGTCCCTCTAAGGACATTTGGTAAGCTGTAAGTCCCGTTTATCCTCAGTAATTTTGCCAGGGTAGTTAAAGCCCAAGTAAAACACTCTGTAGTTTACGCGAGTACTACACACTGAAATAAAACACTTACAAAGTTTAAAATGCGATTTATTTATTAGTTAAGTGTTTTATTCAAAAATATTGAAAAATGTTTTATTTAAAAAGGAATTTAATATTAATATTAACTTCTTCTTTTTCTAAAGTACCCAGGTGAGGTTTATGCCGTTAATTTTTAATATTATGTTATGCTGATAGGGACACAACACATTATCACATACCTTCAGTGTATAACAGGAGATCAAACCTGTAATCCAGCGATCGAATGGCTCATTGGCTCATGAAACTAGACTATATGGAAAAAAACACATTATATTGTCACGAGTCTTGTTTCCAAGTCACTTTGTATCAACAAAAAAATCTAGACCGTAATTATGTGTCATCCCTGGGATTTATTGCATAACTTAAAATACCGGTCTCGATGGTTGGAATTTGAAAATTATCTACGTTTAATATGCACTTCTTAAAATTTATTCACTCTTCTGTATTCCTAATGTATAATACGACTTATAACATACACAAAAAGAGAACAATATATTTGTTTAATAGTGTGGAGATGCGCTGCGAGATCAAAAAGATTATGATTTATTTTATCAAACTAAAGGTCGTCTTTTTAGAATAATAAAGATATGAGTAATCATGTTAGTAAATTTTCACTGTCGGTTATTCCCAAAAATGCTCGAAACCGAAAAATTTCTGTAGCCTTTGTGTCTACCATGACTGGTTCTGTCGTTCAGTAGTCGATTAAACGAGTTGCGTCCGCCTTAAGAACATACGGTCCTGGATTCAACTCCTTGTAATCTTATTAAAAATAATTTATGTATTTATATAATATCTAAAAGAATTGTGTAAGCTCTATGAAATACTTTAAATGTTTGTATAATAATATAAATCATATGTTAATAGACACTGTACCTAAATGGTTAAACGTGTTGCCTTCGAATACCGGTAAAACAATAGATTGTTTTGATGGGGCAGGGCATGGAACTAAATCTAGGACTTAAAGACTTTTATTAACTCCATAAAACAAAAACCACAAAAAAAATTAACATCGTTATTCATTATAAATATTTCTTGAGGCCTTGACAGAAGGCATTCAAATTAATGATGATTTAAACTGGCACTGACATTATGTCTAATATCATAGTAACCATGTTATTAAAATAACCTAAAAAATATTTAAATGCTAAATTATTGTTGTACACCATTAAAGGAGAAATGAATAAATATATATTTTATTCCATAATAATATGAAAGCTATCTAATACTTATTGTTATTTGGATATTATTACGAAATTACCTGATATTAAATTTCACTAAAACCGGTTCAGTAACATTTACCTGATGTATGGATCGAAATAAAAAAGATACAAAAATAATTCCTTTCAAAGTTCGATTGCTGTTTTAAAACCGAATTTCATTTACTAAAATAATGATTTTATGTCTTAGTCAAAACTTCTTAGTTTAAAATTTATAACAAAACAGTGTACTTAGTTTAACAAGAGAGACAGTGACAGTTTTCTTTCAATAAATTTCATGCACGCGGATCACTTGATGGAACGTGAATTATTTCATTCATATAACATCTCAACAATATATTCGGAACTCAACTGAAATTTTATAAATTGATTAGACTCGTTAGACTCGGTGGTCATCGAACTTACGATCTGATTATTAAAAATGCATTGTTACCATAAGGGGAAAGAGCCCTTGATAATATGTCGAATTCAAACTTCAGCTGATCTCTAATTCTATTATTATATAGCCTGAAATAAAAAAAAAAGTATTTATAACGCAAATTCAGGACTCAGTGGGCTCAATATATTTATTACTTTTATTCACTCATCAATTTAATGCCAGGCGATCATTCAGTGTGGCTCAAAACCGTGTCCGCCATACACAAAGAAAACGGATTTAGCTCACAAAAGTAAAATCCTTTATAAGTTCTATAGCAAACCTTCTATAAGTAATGTTGCTTGTACAGAAGACTTGAATTTAATTAGTCATTATATTAACCGTTGACATATTATATTTTAAGATGATTGATGATTTAAAATAAAAATATTTTTAGAAATCATTTGCCTACTACTTAAATACTATTCTCTCCTTGATCCAAATTACGGTTTAAGTAAGGCTTTTATATGCTAAATCTATGACCATTTTGGAAATATTCGCCCACATCTAAGAACATCTCACATTATTCTAACCCGAAATCAACTTGTTAAATTACTGTGCTTTTGTTCTTTGATAGATATATTTGGTATTCATTTAAATAAAACACTGTAACGGTTTAAAACGCGATAAATTAGTTAAACTTGCAGCTCTGGTCACAGGGAGACTGTTCCTGCATAGCATCCGTCGGCCCGAACGTCGGGCCGAAGCTTAAAATCACTTTCAAATAAGTTTAACTAATATATTGCGTTTTAAACCGTTACAGTGTTTTATATAAATGTGTACTACTCGCGTAAACTATAGACAATATGTTTGGTGATCGTTTAAAACACATACATATTTTTCTTAATTAATAATTACGAATGATTTTATTATTAAACATTTTGCTTTTAAACCATGACATTCGATCTTTAGACTTAATTCTTGCTTTATAATATAACCTGTGGCGGATCTAAACTACAGGACTTTAATGTAGCACTATTAGTTCAATCTATTCACAAACTGTTAAAAATCTGTGAAGTACTCTCTAAGACTAACATGTACATACAGAGGAACAGATAAAACAAATTTAGAATTTTTGTTTCGAGTCGTAGTTAATTGTATTTAATAAACACAATTATAATGTTTTTATTACAGTATGAATTAGTGTTTTGACCACTCTAAGCAAAACAAATGTACCACACTTGCAAAACTCAAAATGATTGAATACTATTTAATATTACTGAGGCAATAAGACAGAAAAGTTGACCTTAAACACAAAAAAATCGATACGGATGAACCTAGTATTATTGATTAATAAATAAACCGTTCCTTTGACTCGAAGCAAATATTTAAATATTATTGCAATTCGCAACTTAAAGTGGGTGGTTCTTTGAGCCATATATAAGCGCGAGCGGATTTTTTACCCGCATTCAAACTAGTTCAACCAAGCTAGGCAATCTTAAAAAATTCAAAATGAGATTCGCCGTGAGTAACTCTGTATAATTTCGTTTTAATATTAAGTCTCGAAAACAATTATTAGATACAAAAAAAGAAACAGGAATAAAAAAAATCTTTTACCATCTTTTGTTTGTAACACTGTAATTAAATAATTGAAAGACTCGAAATCGAATTTTAAAATAACTTATAATGTAACAAGTGTATTCTTTCTTTAAAGATCATTGCAGCGTGCGTATTGGCTGTCGCCAGCGCCCAATTCAACCAGGGACAGTACTTCCCCCAGAAGGAACAGGCCGGTCAGTACAGAAAATACAACCAATACAACGCCTACAACCCATACAACCAATACAACAACCAGTACAACGGCCGTTACAACCAGTACAACCGTTACCAGCCCTACCAGTCCACCTACAAACCCTTCGTCACTTCAACTGTCTTCCCCACCCGCCCATCAGTGACTGTTACTGAGGCTCCCGTTGCCGTCAGCGAGGTCAAAGTACCAGTGGTTGTACCAGTTGTGACCCCCGCTCCAGTCCCAGTCCCAGTTGTCCCCATCGCTAAGGTAGCTTCTGACGCTCGTTCTGCCGAGACCGTGAGGTACGGTAACGAAATCGAAGCTGACGGTGCCTACAACTACTTGTGAGTACATATTTACTATATTATATTAAAAACTGTATATAATCTGAAATAGACTTGCCCTCGCAATTTAAAATACACCATTATATGTAGCGAAAGACGATTAACGATGTAAATTACAAATTTTAACTTATATTTCTTGTTTAAAATCGTACAGCGTTGAGGATTCGAATAATGACATAGACAGTAAATTATAAAATTTGCGATTGGAAAGGTCTTTATGAGACGCTGAGAACGTTTCTATTTCAGCGTCTCATAAAGACCTCATCCTTACAATATTAGAGCAGGAAAATGGTATATAGAAATCCTCCAATGAACTATATAAAAAGGAACACTTAAATATATAACATCACATATAATAATTAAAAAACAAAAGACAAACGTATAAAACATGAAATACCTTTTAACGTAAAGCAGATAACCTAAAAATCAAAGAACCAAATATTCATGGGTTGTATTTTTATAAATGTATAATACTCATTAACTTTTTAATACAAAGACAATTATGCTTTATTCAATCTAATAATTCTTTGCAGCTTCGAGACCAACAACGGTATCGCCGCCCAGGCCCAGGGTATCCCACGTGCTTTCGGTGGAAACCCCCCAGTCGTCCCTGATGTCGCCCAAGGATCTTTCTCCTGGACTTCCCCCGAAGGTGAAGTGATCGCCATCACCTACGTCGCTGACGAGAACGGATACCAGCCATCTGTAAGTTAATAAATCTGTAACATGTACGAGTCAAAGTCTTTTAAAATGTATCGCAATTAAAATATTGCCAGGTCTAAATCTCTAATTGACTAAATTTACGTAAATATATAAGATAACAAACTTATATATAATTATAACAACATTAAATTATGTCATAAAACTTATACTCTTATCACCATCATACTTTTCTCATGCTAATTGGAACATAAGTGTTAAATTCTTAATTATATTGTGCGATAGTTTCACGTATAAAATATTAATTATAATGGCGGAGCGGCAAAACTTCAAAACCGATCTAAAATATTTTTTTATTTTCAGGGTAACGCCATCCCCCAACCACCAGAAATCCCAGCCCAGATCGCCCGCGCTCTGGAGTACATCGCTAAATACAACCCAGTCGCCCCAGTCCCCTACGCCAAGGCTTCCGCCACCGCCTCAGTCTCCAGGAAGTAGATACCACTTCCACCATCTCACCGCCCCTATAGAAGAGATACATACCTACAAACTAGTGTAATAAATATGTGTAAATGTTTATAGTTTCCTAAAAGCCCTTGTTGCATTTTTTGTTACCATGTACAGACAGAAATAAATTAGTAAATTATCATTACTTCGTTCTCATTACAACCCTACGTCAAAAATTCCATACCTAAATCTACAAGTGTAAAAGCGGTGGATTAAAAGATGTATTTCTATATCTTCAAATATCGCCAGGTCCCATCAAATCTCATTATTCATGTTATTTCTTATAGTTATAACCGACTATAAATTAATTGGTACATTAATATTCGAACGACCGATTAGTTTTTTTATTGATCGAATACATCTGCTTTACCTTTATAAAAATATATTTAAAAAATGTATTTTCTAAAAAATGCGTGTTCAAAATATTAACAATAAAGGAAGAATTTACACTAAACTATGACCCTAATATTTCATTTATACTCAATAAATATTGGGTGTAGAAAATATATAGGTTATTAAGAAATAGAGCAATTTGTATTAGTTCTACATATTGTTTTATAAGACCAATTGATTCTTAAGTGTTATTATTATATGTCACAAATGTCGAGGATGATCTTCGAATCGTCTCTAAAACAAAATTTATTTGCCTGTTAGCCTTCATACATAGACGGATTCGCTCAAAAAACTACGATAAATCAGTCGAGTTGTATCCTCATTAATAAAATTATGTAAGTGACCTTTACTCACCGATTGTTTCCATTTAAATTGGTCGTTATTTTTATTCCTTTTAGCACTCCCTCTGTTGGGAAGGTCTCAATGTATCATTTGGTAACACGAACTTTTCATTGATTATAAAAACAGCTTTAAAATGTGGTTTGGAGATGAAATTTTATAGGGTTACAGATTGTCTAAACTAGAAATTACAAAGAGAGACTTTTATAAAAAAACTTTTTTTTAATTTACTTCATTTATCCTAGATACAATTTTTGCTCTTCTATTTTTCAGTTCTCAGCACGAAACTTTACAATTACAAATTAAATAAATCGGAACATTGTCTAGTAATTAATTTACGCCTTACATTGCTCACAGAGCTTGAAGTGGATTATAAACACGTGCCACATATCTTTAGGTGTCAGACCGATCGATATTTGTTTGAAACCGATCGTTGAAACAGTAAGATATTTTTATGAATTGAGATGTGTATTATAATGTGTGTAATGGAAAGATGTGTGTTTTAATATATAAATAAGTATAAGATATTTGTCGGCAGCCTTTGTTTGCATGTAGCGGGCAGATGGCGCCACTGCACAGTTTTACACCTAAGAACTAAATTACATTGAAAGTAGACATATATATCGTTGTTGTAATAATGATTTTGTTTAATTTTGTAAATTACGATAATAGTTTTTCAGTCAACCATCGAAGCCGAATTTTCGGTTGAACTCTATCATGTGGATATATGCTTACAAAACAATAGTTATATGTTTATTTTTTATACATTCGTGTTTGAATTAACGCACATTAAATATTGTTAGCTATTTCATTAAGATATTTAAATATTTACAAAAAGAATTTGAAAATTCATTATTTATTTAACTCTTGTTCGTGTTGCTTTGAATTAACTAAAAATTCATTGCTTAGAACTAGTTCATTCTAGTTTCAAAAGTTTCAAGAAGTGACTAAATGATATATCTCTTTTTTAGAATTGCCCCCAGGCGACCGCTGCTTATTTATCAGCATTATGCTAAGATTACGCAAACCAGCAGAAATTCGGATAACAGGTTTGTGTCTTCGACCAACCTTATAAATCTTCTGAATTGGTATTCGTTTTATTAAAACATTTTTAAATCATATCCTTGATGATAAATTTGATAAATTGCAAAATTACCACAAAATTATAAATCATATTGCATGGTCCTTGCTGTCAAGTTCTTAAAATGTCTTCGGCATATTTACAATTGTCTGTATAATAAAATTTATATTCATTGTTACCTTATAAAATCACTGATATACATTGAGCCGGTGAAGCGAGAAAAATAATTTTGAATTCCAATTAATAATAATGTCTATTGTTTCATCTGTTGTTCGTGAAAAATTAGCACCTATTATTAATAATGATTCGCAGTTAGCAAATCAATGACCCCTGTTTATATAGTGGCAACGACCTTTTCTAATAGATAATAAAATTTTTGTGTTTTTTTAATTAAACAACATGTCGCCTTAGATTTATGTGTTTACAGCATGCGTTCCTGTATTTATCAATTATATCTGAATTCTATTATAAATTTGACACATCCTTTTACTGTTTACTCTAACATAATCTTTTGTGAAAATGCAATATATAACATCACGCTTATTTGTCGGCTTCTGCATTAACGTGTTAAGTAACATAAATAAAATATATAAGTTAATAGAAATTTTATATTTACTAAAAAGAAAGAATTCTTCCTTTTTAAATAAATAAAAGAAGAAGAAACTGAACTTTCCACGACAGTAAACGTGTATCTTTAAGTTTGACTAAAGGCAAACTTAAGTATTGTTTGTAGTTCAAGCAAGTAGTATAATATTTAAATAAAAAACTGTACGGTTTATAACGCAAAATTAACTTTAAAATATTTTATTGTAATGTCGGGCTGTTGTAAAAATCAATAAGTTAAATAACATACTTCGTATTATAAATCGTTATACGTGTTTTGTTAAAATAAAAACACACTTTCTATGGTCGCAAAATGAAGTTATATTGAGGCATAATTGACAATTATTAACTTAAGTTAAATTAATAAACATAATAATAATCCTTATCCAAATAAACATTTATTTTCGTATTAATTAAGAGTATTTAATTGTTATCAAATCAATCTTTGACACCACTTTTAATTGAATTTCCAATAAGGAGAAAAATAGAAATGCGCCATTAACTAAGACATTAATTTGTGTACGAATTATGTTAACGTTCACTGTGCTCTATTTTTATATTTATATTTTATAGATGACCGTGTTTAGATTATGAAAATATAAATAACTCAAATAATAAAATTGCAGTTGGGCTACTCTGCCCCTCAGCGGTATCATTTGACATCTTAGTACTTGTTAAAATTAAAAAAAAACTGTAACAGATTTCACACCTTGCGCTGGCCGGCGATAGATGGCGCAGTGCACTGCTTGTATTATTTTATTATAATATAATATAGATCCGTCATTTACGCATTTACGTATAAACTCAATGAAGTGATTATTATAATTAACTAAGTCTATAAAATAGCATCATTTGACATACCAGGCATAGCAAAGTTATTAATAATTTAATTCCAGTCTCGATTCCAGTTTTTACGACGTTGGACACTATCACGTCATATACCTACTGTAAATATGCATGTTCTAAATTTGAAATATATTATAATGATATTTGAAAATAATTTATACTATATCCGGGTTGGACCCCGAAAACCTGACCGAAATATAGTTGACTATGTTTCAAAAGCGTTAAAATTTGACGTGTTTTTCGATTTAAGACTTGATAAATTTATTTAATATTTGAAAACCGCGAAGTCGTTAGTGCTTTCTACTATTTAGACAATTATTTATTTATATAGAGAGGGCCTCTTGGCATCTCTAAAACATCTAGTTGTAAGTACTACCTATTTTTGTTATGCATTTTTGTATTTTTTACTTTTTAAAGTGATCGACAACATCTAAGGCTTAATGCTCAATGCAACGCTAGCATTGCTTTAAGTTCGAGAGGGAGGTTCTGGTTCCGAATTACGGGGCAGCGATAGATTGTTTCGGTCGAGCAGAGCACAGAAGTCTGACCAACTACTTGCCTATAAATAAAATTCATCAGTGAAAGGAACTTAGAAAAAGATCCGCTCCGTGCCTTACGAGATTTCACGAGCTTTTTTTAGCGATCAAATCCATAGGTTATACATAAAACACAGACTTCGTTTAAACGCGCTAATCTCAGGAACTACTGGTTCGAATTGAATAATTATTTTTGCATTGGTAAAAGCATTTATCGAGAAAGGCTTTAAAAACAATATGTGTATCTTTTAAAATTAAATCGCAAAAACGACGGGACACGGACGACGTCGTGGGTAAAAGCTTGTTTTATAGAGATGAACAGGAGGTCAGTACAACAAATATTGATGCCGAAAATAATTATTCTAGGCGGACGCAGTCGCTGACACAGCTAGTAATTATATAAGAAGATAAGTTAATAATAACTTAACGGACGTTCTCACGGACGATACGGGTATAACACATCTTGATAATGTCACAGATGAATGAATAAATAAAATATATCATAATCTTCCCTTCTAATTTATTACCAATATGCACTTGGTAAACGATTGTATTGGAAAATTCTAACATTTGTACGTAGTAGATTTTTCCCTACTATCTTGCCGTGAGTTGGTCTTTAAAATCGTGACATAATATCTAAATAATTATTACTTACATGAGAGCTGAAAATTTACTAAAATTTGACGCCTTTTTGATAGCAATGTATGGCTATTGATCAACGGGTCGTGGATTCGATCACCACCAGGTCCAACATCTCTGTATTTAATGGACCAATCTGGGTATTTAATGGATGCTTGGAAATATATAAATTCCATCCGAGTCACGAACCACTGTCCAGAGATGAAAAAGGCGTGAAGCTTAATCGCGTTTCGGTTTCAGTCTGTATTATATAGATTTCCGATTATCCAAAGCCAAAATAGGTCGACAAGATGCGTCTTGTTTAGATGATCCTGAAAAAAAAACAGAGTCAAACTTACGACCAGAAGCTATGTCATCTACAAGCACGTGTATTATTATGTGAAAATGAGTGACGTGTTTATAATTTCATATTCAAATCTTTTCCTACGCTGAAAAGCATCGAACATTGTATTTGAATTGAGAATTGCGAAATTAGATATGTAATTTAAAATAAGAACTTTAGTGATGTGTTCCAGTCCCGCCCATATCGATATTTTAATCTAAAGATATTGCCTTTTTTATTTATAAGCAAACAGCATCCATTATACAGTCACTACAAACCAAGTACGTCAAAGATCAAAGTTGAGTATTCTTTGCATCTTAGACCCATGCACAGCCATATTAAAGTATTATGAGTCATAAAACATTCTTCATTATCGATTTTATAGATAAACTAAGGATGGGTAAGGCAATTTTATTCATTTGCGTTCTTTGATACTTACGTACTTGGGCAATGTAAATCCAGCACGATTACAATATTATTAATGTGACACTGAATTATTGTTTGTATCAGATATTTATTAAATTACATTAATGCTTAGCCCCGACTTCGCTTTTATATAATACTTGCTGTGCCAGCTACTTTGTCCGCGAGAATCGCTATCTTGGTCATGCAAATTCATTTTTGCAAACCCATTTATTTTTATATACTTAAGCTGTTATCCACGACGTCGATCGCGTCCCTTCACTAAAAGAACTAGTAGTTCCTGAGATTAGCGCGTTCAAACAAACAAACTCTTCGCTTTATATTAGTATAGATACATCGACAGGCTCGTTGGTTTAAAGATAGTAACTTACGGCTAATAGTCAACGCCATTTATAATTTTCTGAAACATGTTTAAATTCGTCTGAAGTCTGGATATTAAATGGAGGGTAAGAATATCGAAATTTCATCCGAGTCACTAAGGATCTCTAGATGAAGAAGTCGTGAGAGTTAATTGCGTTCAGTTTTCAGTTGGTGGAGTTTCAGTTCATCGCGTTTTGTTGAAGTGTCAACTGGGAGTTTTCACCTTCCATCCAGTGAATTCTTTTGTTCGTATCGATTCTTCTTACATATTAAGTAAAAATAATTGTTTGTGAATAGTTTCTTTTTAAGCGACGAAGACATCACAAACACTGCCGCATTTATAATATTAATTGTGATAACTAGGTGCTAACTAAATGTTAAGTAAACGGAGCTGTCAAGATGCCACTTTGAGATTTATTAGAAATCGATACAAATAATATCTTAATGTTGTTAAAACAGCGATGCTTAGACGAACCTTATATCTAAATATCGTTTCAAAGAACAAATGTTTTACAGCTGAGCATATATGAGGCCGCTAGAGGCAGAGTAGCCTAACTGTAATTTTATGCCTTGAGTTATATTATTTTATATTTTCATTTTCATCATTGTTAACAAATTTTTTACAAAAATTCGCCTTAGTTAATTGCGCAATTTTATGTTCCTCCTTATTGTAAATTATGTTTTTGTTATTGGGCTACTCTGCCTCTAGCAGCCTTATATTTCCTCTTTAAGCGTTTATTGATCTTAATTTTCTATAGCATAAGACACTGGAAAAAAATTATGAGACCAAAACCAACTTTGGAATTCGTTAAAGGCGGCTAACCCCCACTGGTCTACCATGGTTTATACTCTTAAATCCAGGATTCCTATGAGAGAAAAGAACAGTACTGAGATGTGAAGTATTCATAAGTTAAACCGAATGAAGCTTTCATCATTGACATCTAATAAAGATAACTTTGCACTTAATTTTTTGCTGCAACTAGATTCCTTGAGCTGTGATGGCTTGTTCTTATGATGCGGAGCGAATAAATTACCAGTCGCTATGCGATGTATTGTTAATTACTTTACAATTCAAATTAACAATACTTTGGACGGTTTAAAACGTGAAATATATAAGTAAACATATTTTTACCATTACTCGACGCTAAGAAGTGCTTTACAGTACCCATGGACAACTGTAGAAAATAATTAATTTGTTTTTGAAGTGTCAATAAAAAATTATTTGCATTCTGAAAAAGGTTAAGAAAAGCGATGCTATCGATTAGGATTTCGACAGATTGTAAAAATAATGATCTTATTAGACTTCAAAATCAAATAGAGCAATCTTTTTTCTGAATTATCTCTTGACGAAAAAATAGAATAGAAAACTGGAAGAAAATAAAAAAAAATATAGAGAAAACGTAATTACACCAGCGGGTTTAATAGTAATTGCCTACTGTACGCACTTTAGGCATTTCAGCTTTAACCTCCACGGAGGATGAAATTCGCATAGATGCATAATACAATTGCCTTTTGTATTTTAGAACAATACATTAATAGTTTTATTGTGTAAAATTTTGACCTATTTAAGTGAGATATTTAATGCAGTTTACGCATTTATTTAACTGTAGGCAAAAAGTTGATCCAGGTATTATTGTGTATACAGCTACTTTAACGGATCAAAACACGATTTATTACTAACGGCCCTTACTACTGCTAAGTACTCAAAACCTTAAGTGGTTGATAAACTATTTTTTATTTAACAAGCGGACATATAAAATGAAATGAGAATAATAAATGACACAGTGAAATTTTAAGCCTATAAGTTTAAACGATTATTTAAATAATACCTTTTAAAAAAGTACAAAAATAGTATTTAGTAAATGAATGATAAAAAAAAAACACTTTTTAACGGTTTAAACCGTAATAATGCGATCTCTTTTTAATTAAAATCCAAAGTTTCGGATTCTTTACTTCACCTATAATTACTACTTAACTAATATATGTTATATAGTTCAGGTTTTTAGCCGTTAAAAATGTTTTATTTCGCATAAGCTTCACATTTTTTTATTTGAATATTCTACATAATGTTAGCATAAAAACCGAGAGCCATATAAGAAAACTACATTATAAGTACTGTAATTGTAGAACCTAGAAAGGTTTTACATGTTTAAATAAATCTCATTAGACTGGAAATATATTTAAATAAGGTACTCCTTATATGTTAAGGAAACGGAGTTCTTTGTTATATTTGAAATAGATTTAAAACTTTTTTTCACAGATTAAGTTTAAATATTGTCTATGGATTAGTTAAAATACTTATATCAAATAGTTTTTACGCCAATGCTGGCTATTATAAAAAAACTGTTTAATTAAACCATTTTAACGGTTTAAAACGTCATATATTTTAGTTTAACTCGTTTGAAAATTATTTTCAATAACGGCCCGACGTTTCCGATGCTGTGCAGCAGTCGTGGTCACGGGGAAACCGTTAGTGTTTTAAATGTGTACTACTCGCGTAAACTATAGACAGTATTAAAAAAGTGGTCAAACTTCAGCTACATTTATTTATGAAAGTGACCACAAATAAGAATGCCTTACTTCTTAGTAGTTCAGGCCAAAAGTAGTCAATTAATTGTATTTAACGTTTTCTATGTTTTAGTAATAAAATTTGTATAATTTTTCTCACTACTATAATTATATATATGTATATAAGTTATGAAAATTAACATAATATGTAATTTGATTAAGCACACACGTATTCCTTAAAACATGCATATTGCTGCCATGGTGGAGTAAAACTTGTTTTATTTTAGTCAAATGAAGAAGCCTTAGTACAGAGATGTCTTTAGTTATTCTGTAATTGTCTATTAGTTTCGCGTAAACCGTGCGTAATATTTATGACATTTGGGTACAATTTTACGAGACTTGATAGGTTGAGGTACTCATTGTAACCATGGACGAGATAACGCAGGTGTGGTCCGAACTGCGCTAATCTTTTTGGAACCACCAATTGACCATAACAGCTGTCTATTTAAATAAAACACTTTAACTGTTTAAAACCCGATATATATTAGTTAAACTTATGTGAAAATTATTTTAACTACGACGCAACATTTTGGATGATTTGCAGCAGCCGTAGTTAAACGTACGTTGAAATAATTTTCAAATAAGTTTAACTAATATATATATCGCGTTTTAAACAGTTCACGTGTTTTATTTAAATGTATATTACTTGCGTAAACTGTATACTGTATTTAAAAAACTTCTAATTCGTCTTAATTTAAATTAATTATTAATTAATTTATATTCAATATGTTAGATTCTGTATCCTCGGAAAATTTTGTACTGTCTTAAAATACTTTTGAAGTAAGGAGGCCCCTTTAACAAGAACTAACTAGATTTTGTAAAGATTTCTCTTGATAGCTAACTCTGAATACATGCATATGTTTAGAAGAAGTTTTTTTCTATTAATACATCGACAGAAGTAAACAATGCATTTATAAGTTGTATTTATTCAGAAAGTTTTGAAACGCCCGTTATCGATAATCCAGATATAATAGCACCGTAACGATACTTTGCAACAATATTTTTTACTTCAAATGTGTGATACTGGTTTTATATTAAAGTAAAAATGTAGAAAGTATAAATAAAGAACACAGATTGTGTGTTTTATCCACTTTTCTACAACAATTCGAATTATATTCAAACTAATTAATGTATAACAAACGTTGTACGGTACGGTAGTTGGTACCAAATAGTTTCAAATAATTTCAAATGTACCGGTAACCTTAGAATAGAGTACGGCCCTGTATTTTGCAGTCATTGCAGGCTCCCCCTGCTGTTTGTAATAGTTAGACAAACCCGCGTCTCTATAAAAGGGACAGGCGATTACGGCTAAGTACAATCCGGCGCACGCGTCGCCGACCATCACCACATGGGAGATTAACCCTTCACGCAGAAATAAGTGCATCACGATGATAAAACTGGTAAGTAGCATATATATTAAAAAACAAGGGTCCGTTCAACACTAACCATTCTAGAACTATTTTGAAAGTAATTGTTGTAAGCGGGTATCCTCAAATTAATTTACTTGAAAACAAGAAAAATAAAGAGAATATTCTTGAGTAAGAATAATAATACACAAATAACAACATTGATACAGTACCAAAGCATTATGTATAAGAAAATCTTAAGTTTATTTAACTGTCGTGTTTTAAACCGTTAAACTATGTTATTTAAATTTCGAGATTCATTCAATTATGTATTTGGTGCAATAAGTATGAATCTTGTCTCTCTACAGTGTACGTGATAAAGTCCTATATATTTAGTTATAAAGTTAAAAGGAAATATATTTAAATAAAACACTAACGGTTTAAAACGCGATATATTAGTTAAACTTATTTGAAAATAATTCTTAACTTCGGCCCGACGACGTTTCGAATGCTTTGCAGCAGCCGTGGTCACGGGGGGGACTTATATATCGCGTTTTAAACCGTTAAAGTGTTTTATTTAAATGTGTATTACTCGCGTAAACTATAGACAGTAGGAATTATATTAACTTTTTATTTTTTTAAATTTAGAATTAATTAAATGGATATTTGAATATGAATACAATAATAATGTACATTGTTTACTATATCACGTTTGGGTCGCGTGTTTTATATTCATTATTAAATTAATAAATCTCCATAGACTTGGATTGTCTCTAGTCATATAAAACGCTTGGGCAATACATATAATTGAAAACGTTGTCTTCTTAACAGTTACCAGAGTTCACGTCAGATCCTAACATTTGTCGCTAGTCAAAATAACGCAAGACGGGGCATTTATTGCATCTACAATACCTAACCTTTACTACAGTAGTTTACCTTACTGACAGGCTCATCCTTATAAATTTATTTACATAAACGCAATCCTAAAGGGCGCAGTGAAGTAGGCATCTACATATAGGATTTCAAATATCTTATTACGAATGTTAGTTGTTATTCAATCGCTTAGAGATTTTGTTCGGAAGGCCAATTGTATCTAATGACCCAATTACAAATTATATATTTTTATGTTAAATGCGACACACGATGATTCAAAAGCATTAAACAAAAAATAAAAATCCTATTTGTTGCTTACTTGCTTTTTAAATATATTATGTATCGTGTTTTGGGGCAGAAAGATTTTGTGTGCCAATTTCACTTATCGCTTGATAATCTAAAATAACTTTTGAATTTCATTGCCTGCTCGACCCATTTTATCACTTACCCAGGATTCCATCTCACGACCTCTAGTGATAAGTACAATGCTTAACTATTGAGCCAGATAGGGCTCTTGGTAAAAGATAACTATCGCAAAAGGACGTCGCGTAATTTATGTCCCTACGTTCTCACATTAATTATAATTCATACATTAGATCTGGATCATTCAGTTACGGCGTGTGAGTGTTTAATCAGGGGCAAACCTTTTGTTTTTATATGAAGGACATTGTTTTTGCGTCAACTCTCAAATTCTATTCCCACAACTCAATATTCTTACAAAATAGCTTCTTAAACGGACGTCGCGTCTCGGTGCCTCATTTGTGTTTTTGCATGTTTCCACTCGTTTGCAAATATGAATTCTATTAAGTGGAAGGTTCGTTGAGTGACACTAGAATGTGTTCGCACGTTATAATGTAAAATAGCCAAGCGCGTGTTGGGCTACCTATAAGAAAACGAATTGAATATTATAAAGGATTACATGGTATTGAATTCATCGGTGACGTTTTTAAGATGAAAATAAATAATAATGTACCATATAAAATAGGAAAATAGGTATCATTATTATCATATCAGGAACATGGTTCGAATATTTAACTTTCACATCACTTTTCACATGATGGCAATATATAATTTTTAAGTTGTTTAGATTGACAAAAATTGCCGATACGTGAACCGGCATCCACGTCGATTCAAATCCCGTCCAGGTTTTGAATATATTAATATATATCAGAATATACTAAAACAATAACTACAAGTATAGCATAGCATTAGCGATTTATATAGATTTAGTCTGCTCAATAACAAATAAAAATATAATAAGTTAGTTGTATATTATTTACAGCTATATAATATAAATCCGATATGATGGAGTTGAAATATACACTTCAAACAAATAATCATTTTATTTACTATAATTTTTATGAATATATAGTGTAATAATAATAGAATATTAGTAATCCATTATGTTTTATTGATGTCATTGTTTATCTAAAAGGAATTTTCGTATTATATTACTTATCAAAATAAAAAGGTCATTTCAAAACAGGTTGGTTTCACGTGGCCGTTGTATTGGTAGCTAGATTATTCATTTTAAGATTTCAAATTAAGAATTCTAGTTTAGAATTCAAAAATGGAAGGTAGATATTAAACATAATTTTTTAATTATTATTTATTACGCCATATATGCCAATAATATAATATATATAATAAATGTTTTGTACGAGAGGAATATAAAGGAATTTTAAAAGCACTTTTTTGTCTAAAAATAGTTGATTCCTTTAATTGGTATTGTATATAAGTTATGTCAACACGTAAAACGTACGTACGCAGTATACTTACCACTTATTTATTTTATTCCTATTAATACTAAATTCGATAACTTCTTATGCAGATGTACATATGTACACGTTAAGCACTAAATTCTATTTCTATTAGCTTCTAATGACCCTTTTAAATGTCATATGTGCAGTTGCGATGAAGCGATGCACAAGGTTAAAATGTTACTTGTTGCAGCCAACAATGTATCTTAGGTTGTGGTTCCCTATAATCGCTAATAAGTCTAATATAAATTTCTTGTTTTAGTCTTTTTTACTAATCGATCGGTGTATGGAACCCAACAACAAGAAAGATCGTTTAATCTCTATTTATTTCGAACCTTTGTGTAGTTGGTGTTTTATTTGTTGCGACAACTGTTGCCAAAGAAGCACCTTATTTCTTAGCTCCAGCAACTTGACACTAAAATTGACCCGTGTAAGCTTCACATTATGCTGTATGCGGACGGGGTTTAATACGACCATAGCCTAAACAAATAAAACCTAATGTCACACTAGTACTAATTTGTACTTAATAAAATATTGTGTTACAAGTGTTTATAAATCTCCAATTTTTTAAAAACTTTCCCTACCTTTTATGGTTTTATTCGATATTCAAATTCATATAAAATTCACCCTTTTTTAAGAGGCATAATTATAATAGACAGTGTTTGTCAGACGGGCACTAGCAATACCCTTATTAACGTTAACTTATACGTTTTGTGGGATACAACTATGGAATTTGAAGGTTAGTTGCATCGTTCGCTGGTTATTACGAGTTATTGTTTTGCCCGACCACAATTAGCGAGTGGACTTAGCGTGTTTGCTCTACGTTCATGCGTGACCTAAATGGCATTTGGCAGCCAATTAGGATGCGAGCGAACAGGAGTTTAACATGAGTTCTATGTGTAGTTAAAAATATATATATATTTTACTAGCGACCCGCCCCGGCTCGATCGGTGCTCATACTAAATACACCACAGAAAAACTGTGAATACTTTATATAAAAACCTCTTGTAGTTATCAATATATTATTAAAAAACCGACTTTGTTTTACACTATGTAGTGATAGTGAAGTGAAATTAGCATTCATAAAGTCGTATAAATGACCACCAGGCTCAAATATAGAGTTTTCTACATTCCATTTTTTAAATTCTTTACAATAGCACTTTTAATTAAAGAACAAAAAGTGTTTTATTTTATACAAAATGTCCAGGTCGCGTTCGGTTCAATTGTTAATTAATTGAGTATTTTTAAACATTGCGATGAAAAAGCAATTGTGCTTTATGATATATTGCTCTTCGAAATTAGACAGGTGTATTTTTTTTGGTTATTTACAAACAAAAAAAAAAATACTTTATTTTCACCACAATTTCAAAATAAACTTAATTAAAAATTAACAAAAAGACGAGAAAAGGCCTTATCCTAAAAACGATTTCTTCCAGGCAACCTTAAAATGGAGATTTACAAATACATGATAATAATAAGGGTTAAGCTATATAAGTTATAATACTAAGTATGTTTTTAAATTATTAATATTAAAATAATTTACCCAAAATTTTAAACATCACATAAGTGATTCAACCTTCCATTTAAGTTATATATAAGTGCCATTAAGTTATATAATTTAATACTCTGTGATCCATTATATAATGTATAGCTTTTAGAATAGAAGAGTTAGTGTATTAAATTTATTTCTTTAAAATAATTTATTCCTAAATTTCAATAAACATGTAGGTTAAATAATTATAGCGATAAACATTTATCATGTAAGTTCGTTTTATCTGTTACTAGCAAAATTAGCCGACCAAACTTTGCGTATAAAATTTTAAAAGGCATTAACTAGTATTACTTTTAACTTATTTACTTACTTGTTTTTTAAGTAAGTGGTACTTGATTTGAAGATTAGTTATGTGGTTACTGCGTCACCTAAATAAAAAAAATATATTTACAAATATAACTAACAAAATATCTGCTACCGAATTTATATAAAATAAGATTTTATTACGTAAATAAAACATTGAATTAAAATTTTCAGGAGATAATATTATTGATGTGCGTGGTTGCTGCTACCCTTGCAGCTCCCCAGAAGCCTGCAGACCAAGTCATAGCAATTCTGAAACAAGAGTTCGACCAACAGGCGGATGGATCTTATGTATATAGGTAAAAAGAAATCCGTTATACTGGGGAGGAGACAAATTTAAATAAAGAACTATTTAGAAGCCTTCATTCAAATTTAAAAGAACCTAAAGTTTAAATACTGTCTATAGTTTACGCTAGTAGTACACATTTAAATAAAACACTTTAACCGTGTCTCCCCGTGACCAGGGCTGCTGCAAAGCATCCGAAACGTCGGGCCGAACTTAAAAATCATTTTCAAATAAGTTTAACTAATATATAGCGTCATAAGCCGTTAAAGTATTTTATTTAAACCTAAGTTTTTTTTTATATTTAGCCAAGTATGAAGCTTTTCCCATTAATTTTACATTTTGAATTTTCTGAGTACAACCCGACGTTTTAGATTTATTGAAATTATTAATATAAATCGAATTTTACTTTAAAGGGTTTTTTAATGTAAGTTACGTTTTATATTTAAGACTGGGGCTTAGGGGAGCTTTATACCTTCTTATTACCTTAGTGTCGCTTGTCTCCCATGGTTCGAACAAATTCAAACTAACACTTTTCAGTTTTTAAGGCTTTAAGAATTAAACCTTATAGATACCCAAACTATTGCTAAGAATGAATCTGATCTTTTCAGCTATGAGACTGAAAACGGCATAAAAGCAGACGAGACGGGGACCTTGAAGAAAGCGAGCGGCCCTGACAGTAACGACGTGATAGTGGCCCAAGGAGCGTTCAGTTACACAGCACCAGACGGAACCGTCATCAATCTCAATTATGTTGCTGACGATGAAAATGGGTTCAGGCCTGAGGTACATACGACTCTATCTTACACCGTATCGCTTCATTATTCTATACTGACTTCCGCTCCCAGCTGTGGGGCTATTAAAGCTGTCCCACAGAAGATTTTACACGATACTTTAGGTAGCATGAATTTTTTATGTTTCCTCAGGACGAACCCGGGTCTTTCATTTCATAACCGCGAAGAATACTGTAAAGGAAGTTCAATTTTAATCTGTGATACGTTTTCACCTTTGAGTGAAACTTACATAAAAAACCGTAGTGGAATAAAGTTGATATTTTTTTCCACTATTGATAGTTTATTAATAATGCATGCTGAACAGGTAAAATCTGTGTGTCAAAGATAATAATTTTTATGTTAAAGAAATCATGCTCTTAACGGCTAATTTAAACAGATTTTAAGTGTAATATGAGTAACTTTAAAAAGATACAAATAAAAGGACAAATTAGAGAAATAATTCAATTATATATTTAATTACAGGGCGCTCATTTACCAACACCACCGCCAATCCCACCGGCAATACAGAAGGCTCTAGACTACCTTGCAACTCTACCACCTCCACCACCGTCAAGAGCCTAATAATCACCATGACCCAATAATGACCACTGCCAATGATGATCGATCAAAGCTCCCATTTTGATAACGAACTTGCTCTTACCATACTGTAAATCTGTTAGCATTAAGTGCAGCTAAGTTTGTTCACAAAATGGTATCTAATTTTAATGAAAGCAATAATAAAAACAACAAAAATAACGCTCAAAAATCGATCTGTGATAGACATGAATGTAAGCATGTCGTGAAATTTACCATTTATTTATTATTTATTGAATAAAGCAGAATACAGTGCCAAAGATGCATTGCAAATCAAAATGTGTTTTTGTAGTTTTGCCCATGGACAATGAAACACAACACTTAGACAAAATATTTATCGGTAGGGTGTTAATTATTCTTGAGGCCATTTCCGACAGTTTAAAATTAAAGGGAAAAACAATAGACAAACGGGTGACATAAGAATCAAAAATAGCGATTGTTTAAGAAATAGCTGCTTACGACAACATAGTATTGAGAAATCGATGACCTAAGGCTATCAAATAATTTGATCGAGTGTCAAAGGCTGATTCTACAATCAAACAGTCGAATTTAATCTGTGTACATCCTAGATTGTAAGTAGATACATACAGCGTACAGCTACTTTTAAAGTAGGAATATAGTAGAGAGTAGTTTTGCAGTAGACCGTTCGGAATCAAGCAACGATTCTCCGCGAATACAGGAAATCTGCATAAAACATCTTTACAAATTAAAAGAGGCAATATTTGTACGTTAATCATTATTTTTAGAATGAAAACTCAAGGTGCGCCAATATTTTTTTAAGCAATTCCACGTATTGGTCTTTAAATGAATTTGGCTCTTGAAATCGACTGAATAGAGTCATCAGGGCCTAAGAACATTAAATTTACCTAACATAATGTTATAAAAGTAATAGATATGTATATAGTAATATGGAAAATAATTTTTTATTTGGTCTAAAAATCGACGAAGTCTGTGAAGTGATTTTGACAGCTTGTAGCTGGAAGGATACCTGCCATTAAGAAAAATTGGTCTCATTTAAAGTTAAATGGAGACAATTATTTTTAATTACAAATTGGAACAAGGCTGTAAGGCCTCCCTAACTAATGCGTCGCCATATAACATCTATGATCCATGTAGACCTATTTTGGCTTTCAAACAAATCTGCGACTGTAGCAAAATGCGATTAAACTTGACGGCCTTTTCATCTGTGGACGGTAGTTCGAGAATCCTATAAGTCATTTAATATCCAGATTTGCAGACAAAGTCCCAAAGTGTTTCCGAGAAAATAGAATTGATTAGAAAAATGTTGGGCACGGTTGAAAGTCGAACCCACGACCTGATGATTATTAGCCATGCATAATGCAATAGACCAATGAGCACGTCAAAAATCCAATTCGAAGATCCTCTTATCTAAAAGATCGAACCTTACCACATTTTTACCAAATATATGTAATCGGAGACTAGTCATCGAGCAGGTTCGCCGGTGACCACGAAACGGACTTGCCATATGCAACCTGTTTTGTTGCGTTGCTGCAAGGTCAGATTGGATACATCCATAAAATGAATGATCTTTATTCAAAATTTTTCCAAGCACAAATATTATTCATTGTGAAATAATTTGTAAAAACGAAATCACTACATAGTATAAAATAAAATCACTTTCTATGTCCCTATGTGCGTTTAAATGTATAAAACTACGCAACGGATTATTTTTAAATAGATAGAGTGACTCAAGGGGAAGGTTTTTAAATACAACGTTAGTTACAGCATTGTCGCCGAGCGAAGCCGGGGCGGGTCGCTATTAATATATAATATACACCATAATTAACACTTATTAAGGACATTTATTTACAAATGTCAACAGAAATAGTTATGTACAACATGCCTACCGAAGTTACATAGTCAGCTATAAAAATAGCGTTGACATTTAACATTCAAAAAACAAGCAAGAATTATGACAATCATTTAATATTATTACTAGTTTAAAGTTGTAATATGGACATAATAATTTTAAATCTAATATTTTGTTTGAAGAATATTTACGAAAGTTTTTAAGGACATAATTATACCAAAGCAGACAGACCATTCTATCGTTACCAGTTATCAATATCGTTATTAGTTACTTTACTCATAACCAAATTTATATTGTTATCAATAATATACAATGTACGTTTTTATATATTTATTTAACAAATAAAAATTTAACAATCAACGCCTTACAAACAACGCTTTAACACTAGTTTATATGAAGTGAAGATCTGTAGTTTACAATGTAAATATAAAAAAAAAATTAAACAAATTAAAAGGCTTCAAATTATTCATTCATTCTTATTCACATTTGTAATTTAAAAATCGAACTATTTCCAAGTATTTTTACCAATTTTGGTATGCAATAAAAATATAAAAATTAACAAAAAATAATTAATTGTAATCATTTCCTTTCCCTGGCTTGCCAGTTGTTTCTTCAGGCGTCTTGGTAGCCAGATATTTTAGGGCGCGGGCGATTGCGGGCGGAATGGGTGGTGGGGTGGGCAGATGATCTCCTACTGGGCGGTAACCGTTTTCATCAGCAGTATAAGATAGGTTAAAATCATGTCCATCGTCATCCTGAAAATACAATTTGACTAGCTTTAAACTACGATAAACACAACAAAATTAAACAAGAGAAAGACAATTTTAAAGAAATTTTATATTAACAGTAGGACGTAATAAGTTTTTTTCTATATGACGCCACATAACTACAGGCACCAAGTACAGAAGAATCAAATGACGTCTAGCGTTAGTGAATTTGAGTTCGAATTATGTACTGTCTGTAGTTTACGCGAGAAATACACATTTAATTTAAACACTTTTAACGGTTCAAAACGCAAAATGTATTTGTTTTTTTTTTAATAAGTTAAAATTACTTGAAATAATTGGTTCACTGTAGCTATATTTAGTTATAAATAATAATTTAAGATTAATTTTAAATTATAAAACATTTTCACGCGGGCGAAACCCGACTCCGACCAGGATGTGCCGTGCTGTTGCTAGTGAAGCGTACACACGGAATCTGTGGTCGTGGGTTCGAGTCGGGTGTATTTTTTTTTCATCTAAAACAAAATGTGGTTTGTTTTAGCCCTCTCAAAATGAAATAATAAAAATTAACGTAAAAAAAACATAAAAATAGTACCGTTATGTTATGAAGTTGCGGTAGGTTCTCGATGATGTAGAAAGAGCAACTACTAAGTTGTTTGTTTAAACCACTCGAGAATGTCTGGTGTACCATCTCGATTCCCATTGTATTTATTAATTCATCCATCAAACGAAAAGTTCGTATGTAATGACAAACAGAGCCGTGTTTGCACACGTTCATTGGTTTATTTAGGCATACATTTATTTGTCGGTATTTCTGATAATAATTATTAATCACGTTTGTTGTAGTCAAATGGTTGTTTTACCTTGTATGAAACACTTCCTACTACAGCTTCCCCTGTGCCTTCATTTTTATCATTTTTCAACAGTTCTCCTCTGCTGGAGACTTTCGTACCGTCAGCTGAATCGTAACTGTAAAATAATAAGTATTATTAATGCTTCTTTATAAGACGTTATCATTTTAAAAATCGAATGTCCTACCTATAATGAAAGTTCCCATTATGCGCATACACAAAGTTCTTCTCTTCTAGAATTTTAACGACTGGTGGACGAGACCTTGACTGTTTCTGTAGCGCATATCTTCTGCTATCTTCGATGGGCCTTTTCGGAAAGATTGTGACGTCACTGTTAGGTGGTATCGTGGCCCGAATGGTGGTCGGCTTAGATGTAGTACCAATGATCACTTCTTTCACAATTTCCATGCGTTCTCCTTGTGCTAAAGAAACAGGCTGTTTCTTGTCCGCTCCTGGTCGTCGTCGTAGTTTACGCTTCTTGTTTTTGTTTTCTGTCGGATGTGATTTCACATTATCATTTGTAACGTTATCATAAATAACAGTGACTGGTATTTGAAGATTTTTGTCTTTATCCTCTGCTGCAGTATTGCCCATATTTTCTGCTGTCCACTTGCTCTGCCTCACTTTAATATTATGAGAATTGGGGACATCGTAAAATGGTGGATGGTTATATGCGTAGGAAGACAATTGCCTTGGACGATGCACATTTACAGGAATGTCATCTTCAGCTTCAGTGTGTTCACAAATAACAACATTTATCAAACTCACGATAAAAGCAATATTCATGTACATTATTTAGTGAGGTATAATTACAACACAACAACAGATCTAATTCACGTTTGAGGCAATAATGAAGATGAGTCAGTCGATGTGTTTGATATTTTATTTTGTAGATAGTGAAACTACTAAGTAGTCAAACAAGATTAAAAACCTTATGCTATGCAAAGCAATAATTTAATATCTTATATTTCTATTATGACGCGAACTTTACATACGTTAAGACCGCGGAAGTATATTTTTCTCAAAAATTAAACATAATGTTTATTGTAAGATTAAATCAAAGAACAATAGTTACATATAAATGATCGGTTCTGAAAATCATCACAAATGTCGAGTCGTATTAAGGATAAAGTTCTTGCCCTTGAATCTCAGGCAAAAATTAAAAAAAATGAGAATCATTAGGGTAGGACACAGGCGTCAGGGTCATCGATTTACCTGTAGAAAAAAAACCCAACAGTCCTGGTCAATGTGTCATATAAAGGAAATTAAAATTTTCGATACAGAGACGTCAAATTATAAAATAAAAATTATTTACCTGCTCTACTATTGTAGACACAATCAAACAGCAATAATTTCACTCAAACTATGTACTTTTGGACGTCACTGTTAGGGCGTGTCGTAGCCCGAATGTTGGTCGGCTTAGTTGCAGTACCAATGATCACTTCTGGATAATTCCCAAAAATAAACTCCCAAAAATACATAGTTTGAAAAGCTATTGTTGTTGCTTCAAATTCGTTTATGAAATACGAAATTTAAGAGTAAATATTTTGAGTGACAATGTCTAGTATCTAGACAGTTAGTCTAAGCTTAAGTGCTAAAGATTTACCTAAAACCAATAAACCTCGCGACGAGAGGCAGCGGTTAAATCACAGGCGCTCGTCACCCTTCATGTCACATATTGACACCTGTATTGTGCAATTTTCCGAAGAACACATCGGCCGACCGTTAAGGCTGAAGTACTTAGCGTACGGTAAGGCTCCAACGGAGGGCGGGGGGAGATAGTGTAAATAGACGAATCTTACATATAAGTCGTCATGAAGTCTGGAGTGTCATTCATTAGTGCTTTTTGGGAAGATCGCAAGAGAACAATGTTTTATAAAGTAATTGTATTGAGCTGGGGCTTAGCTTGTGTCTTTGCGGCTCCTCCCGTGGACGTGGTTCCTCTTGAGAAGCAACAGCCAACAGTTATTCCGATAGTCTCGCAATCTGATGAATTGGAGCCCAACGGAACGTATCATTTTAGGTATTTTTTTTTTTTTTTAACAATTTTTTTTGGCGGGTTTTTTAATAGTTTTAGTGTCGTTAAAAAAAACAAATTCCACATTTTTTGCCAAATTTATTATAGTTCTTTTTTTTATTAAAAAAAATGTATTATTAGTACTAATAATTATTGTCGTTAATTAAATAATGTAGATTTTTCATATAGATCGTTCTGAAAATTTAATTAGCCGCTTGTGTGTTGCCATAAATTAAAATTATTTTTTTAATCTAAATAAACATCATTCAGATGATTAAAAATCCTAAAACACTATGGTGGGCTTGTTGCAGCTATGAAACCGGAAACGGAATTAAGCGCGAAGAAATAGCTTACGAGAAGGTCGTACCAAAAGCTCAGGGTCGCTCCGACAGCAACGAGGGTGGGGAAAGTGACGAGAGTGATGAGATCCACGTGCAGCAAGGCTCCTACTCGTACACTGGTCCAGATGGAATAGTATACACTGTGAGGTAAGGCTACAAAGCTACAGAGGCTAACTGTAAAAAGAACAGTTGAGAGAAATATGATTAACAAATATTTATAGTGATATATTCAAATTTGTTATTATTATTAGATTAAAATACGTAGTATGGTATTGTAATTTTTTTGTTGGAATATTAAGTAACGACTGAAAAACGACAAGCTGATTTTCTAGGAAGATTTATATTAATTTATATTCACACTTTACTCTTTATAATGTAACTAGCGGCCCGTTAGATTTTTAAATTTTAAACTTGCTAAAAAAAATTTTGGGGCTCCTGCTGGTTACGGCCGGTGGGTTTTTCCCCCGGGGGGGGGGGCCCCCCGGGGGGGGGGGGGGGGGGGGCCCCCCCCCGGGGGGGGGGGTCCCCCCCCTTTCCCCCCCCCCCCGGGGGGGGGGGGGGGGGGGGGGGGGGGTTTTTTTTTCTCGGGGGGGGGCTTTTTTTTTTTTTTTTGGGGGGGGGGGGGGGTGGTTTTTTTTTGGGGGGGGGGGGGGTTCCCCCCCCCCCCCCCCCCCTTTTTTTTTTTTTTCCCCCCCCCCCCTAACGAACTTTCTAATGTCGCTTGGGAACTATTCTTTGGTGTTTTCTTTTAATCCGAGAAATTTTATTAAAAAAAAAAAAAAAAAAAAAAAAAAAAAAACCAATCCAAAAAAATAATTCCAAAAAAAAATTCCCCAAATTTTTTTTTTTTTTTTTTTTTTTTTAAAAAAAAAAAAAACAAAACTGTTTAAAGAAAATATTCAAAAAAAACCGAAATATTCAATGTCGGTCGCGTCCACTGCGTAAGGAGCCCACTGCCCCTTTCGTCGAGTTAGTTACGCGATGCGCGGCGTGGCAGCCGCCAGCATGTATTTTTATTTTAACGTCATGATATCTTTTGAATGGAATGTCCGATTTCAATAATTAAAAAAGTAATCATCAGGTATTGAGACAGTCTTGAAAAAATTATTGGGATATTATAAATGGTATGGACACGGTCAGATTTTTATCGGCAATTCTATTAATTTGTTAAATGTAAAAAAAGTAGTTATAGCGACGTAACTACAATAGTTAGACATATGCTCTTCGTTTTTTGAAGATATTGATATATTCTATAATATTGACGGACAATTTTTTTCCTTATCATTAATCTTTTCGCAGCGTATGCGAAGAAAGACATTTTACAGCTATTTTTTTTACGCCTTCCGTTGGTTTTAGTAAGAATTTCCATAGATGGCTATAGTAATAAAGTACTAAATGTAGCTTATGTTACTGAGTGATACTGTAGCTTTCTAATGAAAAAAGAATTATTCAAATCGGTCCAGTACTCTTTAGAGTTTATCCATTACAACATTACAAAAATACAAATCTTTCCTCTTTATAATATTAAATAATAGAAAATAAATAATTAATATTGACGATTCGATCGATTTAAGATTACGTATAATTAAAAAATACTAATTTAAACAAAGCGAAAATTGTAAAAAAAAATTCTACCCTCTTATTGTTAAAAACTTTTTTAAGTATTATTTAAATATTTAATTTATTTACCCATAACCCTCTTGCATAACCTTTTTAAAATGTACTTACATAATACGCACATTTTAAATGCGTCAGATCACCGTAATATTTAAGGACCCATTTAGTTAAAATTAATTATTATTTGCGATTCATTAAGCAGAATAACTGAATACCTATTAAATATTTTAATTAGATTATAAGAAATATAAATATTATTCAGTCTTCACTCAATAACCTTATTATATTTTACCGAGGTAATTATTTGTAGTTTTTTTACTGTTAATTATATTTACAATGTTTAAATTAGATCGAAAAACAATTGTCTTTTAGTAAACGATTATAACAAATAAATTTAGTAAAGCGTCCTAATATTCTTAATAAAACCGATCCGTCACATCATGTGGTTATAATATTTAGGTTATGGCAGCAATATACAGTACATAGTTTACATCTTGGGTAGTAAAATAATATTAAAATGTTAATTCTTAATAAATAATTAATCGAATTTCATGTAATTTTGTGTTAATATGAACTTTTCAAATATTTTTTTCAGGTATATCGCAGATGAAAATGGTTTTCAGCCAATCGGTGACCATTTACCCCGAGTACCAGGAGTATCAAGCTCCAGCTCTGCTGAAAAATCGGGTCGCGCACTTAAAGATAGCGTAGAATCTGCTTCATCACCACAGCAAGTTGAGACAAAAGTTGCTGCCCCAGTTCTACCAAATGCACCTGAAAAGCCAGTGGAACAACCAGCAAGTCCTGTTGAAGTAGCAAAACCCGAAGAAGCAGAGGTTCCAAGTGAAGTTGAAGCAAAGTCTGCACCGGAATCTGAAAGCGCACCAGCAGAAGAGCCCATGTCATCCACTGAAGCTGTTTCAGAAAGTTCAGCAAGTAAGCCAGCTGCTTCACCTACAACATCGTCGGTAGAAGATGCCCAGTCTATCGTAGAAGATGCCCAGTCTACCGTAGCAGATGTAAGCACTACGGAATCAAGTTCAGCAACCACAGAAAGTGAGGTTGTTTCTAGTACAGCCGCTGTAGAAAAGGAGACTGAGGCACCTGTTTCTTCTGCGGTAACTGAACAGGTAACAGAGGGAAGTGGAGAACAGCCTACCAGTACAGCTTCTGTGCTTGAAGAATTATCTACAAGCGCCCCTGAAGCGGAAACCTCTACAGCAATAATTAGCGACGAACAACCAAACTCAACAGAAGCAGCTAGTAGCGTTGCTCCAGAACAGCAATCAACAACAGAAAGTGGAGTTATAGAATCCTCAACAGCAGATGTTTCTACTGCATCTGCCTAAAACGTTCTATGTTAGTGTACTCTTAGCTAGCGATGACGTATATGAAATCTATAGAATGACTTTTGTATAATCAGTTATGTACGGTACGGGTAAAATATAGCAGCATTAAAGAAAAGATGTATATAAAAAGGTGATATATGTCACAACATTGTGAACTTGTCTAAGTCTTAGTTAAGGTACGCATTAAGTTTGTTATTTATTCAGCAGAATCTCTATATGAATTACATTTTGTTTAGTTATTTTGCGTGTTTTACTACTTATGTGATGCCCTTAATATTACACAGGTCTCTTAATAAGTGTTATAAGATTTTGACAAATTAATGATATATGAAATTGATCTTTTATTCTCAAACGAGTTTCTGATTTATTCTAATCTTACATTAGGGGCTCCTAAAAGGGGATAAGGAAAATTATTTTTGTTCGATGGTACTATAAAATTTAATTCAGATATTTAGATAATTATAAATAACATTGTATATTTTTTATTGAAATACTTATTTTAAAGTCCAACAGTTAGAGTCTCCTCTCTTGTAGGAGTGATAATTTGAGACTCTAAACGCAACTCGCTTTGTCAACTAGCGCCACAGAATATCTAAGTGATATTAACCGAGACGAGATTTAAAGTGATGCTATGCGTTCATAATAATACTACATAATGGATGAAATTGGAAATAATTTTTAGAGTCTTTTTTTGTCCTATTGTTCATTGGTGGCTGAGATGCAAAAACTCGACCAAACAGAGTAGGTACAAGGTGCGTTAGAGGTGGACTAAATTTGATACTAATTACGGGTATTATAACAATCTCGACAATTCAACTTTAACTGTTTAAAACGTGGAATATATTAGTTAAACTTAATTACATTCACAAATTTTTCACGGATCTGGCCAGTTTCGCCAAATACCAAATACGGCGGTACAGATGGCGCTAGCGTAGCAGTTTTTACTTTGGCATAAGACACCCTCCATCTTCAGTTTTCCACGGCTGCTGCAAAATTTGTAAAAAAGTTTAACTAATATATTTCGGATTTTAAACCGTTAATGTATTATTTTAATGTATAAAGCTACAGACAGTATTTAATTCAGACTATTATGAATTAGAATTTAATCCAATTTTTGAACTAATACGACTATTTCGGTCTTTCCTCGGTCGTCCCTGGTTTCGAACCCCGACCTCGTGATCTGCAACCGTATAGACTAACAACTAGCGAATAAGGCAGATAATGGATTATACATTATAATGCTATTAGGTAAGGAATGAATGTCACACTTGATCCCCACAGGAAAGATGCATCATACAGAAATTCCAACGCTATGATTTATAGGAGTAATGAAATGTCAAGATCAGATGGGTATCACCAACGCATTTTCTTGGAGAAGCGTCCGTAACTCCTCTCACTTTATTGTGAAACAAATGACGTGTAAGTCTTGTACCCATATCAATAGTGTTGGTAGTGTTTTAAGATTGTCTTAGAATTTCTGAAATTGCTTATATTTTAACTCCCTTATAAGTAGTATAATAAACTATTTGTTGAATTGCTTCAGAAAGAAACATTTCACTAATAACGTTACCCTTTTTTTTTCTAAAAATATAAAACAATCGGAGACAACAACTATCTCCACGGTTTAGTGGTTAGACGTTTTGTCTAAGCTAAAAGCTACGTTAAAACTGTTGTAAATACTTATATCCTACTGTTTTAAAGTTTTACTGTGTTTTAATAATTCAATCCAGGAAATAATATTAATGTTAGTATATTATACAGTAGAGCAACCTAACTCCCCTTATCATTAACTTAAAATCTCAATGCAAATGCGCAGAAATCAAATTTATCGAAAATATAAAGTTTAAGAAAACACCATAAACAAATTAAATACGATGTATTCAATGTATTAATAATACAAGAACTATGTCTGTATACAGTAAAAAAAATAAAAGATAATCCGATTATGCGAATAAAAGTTATACATATGCATACTTAGTGTTATAATATATATGTAAGCATGTCTGTCTGTGTTTAACCTTGACTGCGGTGTCTGCTCAAATATTCAGCGATTGTCCTCCCTACTTGATGTGAATGGTTAAGTTTATTATTTTAGAATTAATCGAGTTATCGTCTTTTTAAGCTAAAAGTAGCTATTTATAACAATGACTGAATGTTACAAACAGTTTTGTGTTCCATTTTTAAATAATTGATGAAGTATAACGAACTTCTTAATAAAATGTATTAATCGAAATTAACAGTTGATTGTTCTAAATTTACTCCATATTCGGTTATAAACTATAAGGAAATGTACAGTACAAAATATAAAACTTTTAAAATGTATTTTCATTCATGTATTTGAAGAAATTTCTTAATTTTAGTGGTATGACTCTACTTCCATGAACTACTTGAAATATTAATATTAAACTAAAATTCTTAAGAGCCTCTTTCAGTTATTTATACTTTGAATCTGGAGTATCAATGGAGTACTAACAATAGATGAAACAATGAGACGCCTCCTTCACATTACAATAGCAAGGTGGTGCCGGTGAACTGCTGACATCGAAGATATGCAGCAACTTACTCACGATCAGTAGAGCTACCTACATTCCAAGATTTGGGTCTGCGTCACATTTACTTTTAAAATCATCTATTGTAAAAAGTAAACCAACACTTAAAAGCGGCACTATTTGAATATATAACCCTTGCGATTGTGGTTGTATGGTATTTTCCGAAATCGAATATAGTTCGGAAAAGCATTACTTTTTATTAAAATACGTTATGCGTTAAACAATAAAAGAGAAATGCAGTATAATCGAACACTTTCTAACGCAATCAGTTTGACTTTGTTTAAAACGAAACTAAATCGGTTTGGGAATGTTCTTGGTACCGTGGCCACGGCTGCAATTATACTACCTAAACGGATCGTTGGGACTTCAAGAATATATAGATATAAAAATAACGTTATAAAATTATTATTTTAATATATTTATTAACATGCATTTAATTAATTTTAAAGGTTTAAATCGCGAAATATGTAAGTTAACTCGTTTACAATTTATTTTTAAAACCGTTAAAAGTGTTTTATTTAAATGTGTACTCCTAGCATAAGCTACGAACGACACTAATTTTCCTGTATATGTAAGTATTATTTATTATACTGTAAAGTTTGAATACATTTCGTATATTCGAAATAATCTGTATAATGATGTTTGCTATCTGATAGTACGATAGCAAGTGCTTAAGTATTATGCTAGTAGAGCAAGTAGTGTGCGTAATGTTGGTAACTTATGGGCGGGGAGTTACATAACAAGAGCAAGTACGAGTACATCTCGGTAACGGAAGATGCGTCTTACACAAAGATGGGCTTATTCTATTACCAAATCTAGCTCTCTGTGGTACTATCAGTGAACCTACTTACCTACTTATTTGGGGCAGACATATTTATGTGTTCGTTTTAGTTCAATAATATTTGTCGAACAGACAATTGTGCTATGCCAAACCAATTGAGCTACCGAGTCCTATACGTCATCGTGTAATTTTTTCATCTTATTGTAACATGCACCTCCTGCCAAATGGAATTTCCTACCCAAATCGTAAACAATTGAATTTATAATCGATTTTTAATATAATGTATAGTGCGTCATGTGCACAATGTGAAAAATATTTAAATTTTCATACGATGAAAGGTCATCCATCATCAATTATGACTAGGAAGATATATAAAAATCCAATTCCCAGTAGTGGGAATTTTCAAAAGGCGGAACGTTAATGAGATAAAGTAGTTATTTCTCTATATATAATCTGTGACCTCAACAACGTGCTAAGCACGCAGGCTTTAAGATTAACCTTAAATGATGTCGATAGTTTGAATATGCATGGCGTTGGTGTCAAATCGAGCGTGAATTTTTATGACTAAATTTTGCTAATAGAAAAAGGTTAATTTTGCGCGCGAGTGAAAAATCCTGAAAAAATTCATTATTTTTCTGTAATTATATAATTTGTTAAAGGTTGCGTAACACGTTTATTTATGGTACGATTTAAAATAGTTGAAGATCGTTTTTCTATACTTCCATAATATAATTATTACTTTTATTATTATTTATTAAATTAAACTACTCGTGTAAATTTACTGGTACAATTTTGCATATTCAGTTACTTCTTACTATGTTTATTTTAGTGATAAATTGTTGAGCCTTAAACAGACCGTCTTTGTTGCTAAAAGGTTACACGAGTTGCCTAGCAATGCTGAGTTCGAATAACAATTTCGGTCGGGTAGGGCACAGAAGCCTGTTCAACTACTTGCCTGTACACAAATCCGAATCCATGAAACGGGCACAGAAATGTGTTCACTCCATGTCTCACACAACTTTAACGAAATACTATTGAATATAATACATTATGTGGATAAACTTTTCGTGAATTACAAACATTTTTCATAGATCGCGAAGTTAACGTCATTATTACTTTCGATCAATACACGCATTCTCATTACACAATAGGATTAGCAAGCATTTCATAACGAAATGGGCAATATTAGGCGTTGAGTTATTATTCGCGTCCATATAAAAATGTTAATGCCGGCCAGGAGTCGGAGACGGCACCCTTTTGAACTTGTTTCACAAGACCCACGATAACTGATAACTTGTTGCTACACAGATGAGAACAACGCCTTCTTATGTAACTTAAGTGATTCCTATAAATGTTTTTTCTATGCAATAGTGCGTATCGAAACCTCGAAGTCCGGAAAATCTGTTCCACATTGTGCATATATAGACTACGACGAGCAATAATAAACAGAGATCTATGTCCACTGTATATACAGATAAAACATTTATGTAATACACTTGGTTTAGTAAAATACTTATAACGTGACCTGCTTTCAATACCTTATCTTACCTAAGCATCCGAAACATAGAGTTGCAGAAAAACGTATTAAAACAGTTCATGTTTTAATCTGTCAAAAAGTGATTTACTAAAAGTTAGAAATTACATCATAAAACAGCAATTGTCTGTAGTTTGCGGGTTTAAATATAACAATTTTTAACTATTTATATTTTGTAATTTTTTATACTTTTGTATCTAAAATCGAAATTGAATAGGTTTTCTAATATCTAATTTGTCGACTATTCTATTATATTATTCTTACTGTACGTTTTAAATATGCGAAAAAATAAATAAATAACTATTTTAAAAACGCTTTTCCGTGACGACGGCTGCTACACACTCGAAACGTCGAGTAGTTAAAATAAAAGACTTAAAAATGTTGGTTTTTAGTATTTTTTGAATTATTAAAGTGTGGATTATTTGTAGTTATTTTTTTATTAATTACATATATATTTTAATTGATCATAATTATTAATATCGGATCTATACGAACGTTTCTGAAATAAAATTATACAGAGGAAAGGTTATTGAAACCGTCTTAAGCTAGTTAAATAAATATTATTAAATAATATTCAATATTATGTCAATAATTTATTACTTATATAAAATAATTCAATAATAGAAAATTAAAATTGCACGTGTTTGCGCATGAGAATCTAAAGCAAGAATCCATAAAATACTTACTAGAATTGTGACATTTTTAAATACTTATTCCATTTATTCTAAATTTAAAATTACGACTAAGAATAGCTATTATTAAGAGCCCAGTTTGCAGTTATCGATATCAATTGATAGAGCTAATCCAATATGTTGCAGAGACAAATCAGGTATGAAAGTGAGATGGCTCAGACTTCGAGTAAGTGGCAGGGGTGTAGTATATAAGTGAGCGGCCAACTACCACTTTGAATAGTTTCGAGAAGTCACCGTACTTCACAACGACGAACCACCCACACACGGCACAATGAAGTTTCTGGTAAGTGGAAAAAAAGTTAAATCGAAATCCCTTTCAGCGCGATCCGAGCTCATCAAGTGAAAAGGAAAGTTGTTATTAGGTCGTGTTCATTTCAATTCTCGCTAATGTAGGACTTACGAGTTTCCGCAATAAGATTCAACAAGAAATAAGGTCAGTCTGACGCGTCGGTTGTTGAACTTTGACATAATACAAACACTAATGTCGGTTAATATTGTTCAATATTTAACCTTTCAGCCGTTTCTAAATCTTTTCGCCCTTATTGTCGACTCGTTGAAAATTTTGTTAGAGCGTTACAACGAGGTTAAATAATATTCATAATGATTTATTGTATAATCTCGAGTTACGTACGTGGAAGCGTTAATAATGAATCGATTTTAAGTAGATCTAATTTTATTTAATTAATAATAATTAATATTCTATTATATAATATTTAATTTTAATAATATAATTTGTAATTATTAATAATTAATATTCTATTATACCCATTTGATTATTTCGCGTAAAACATTCTCTTACAAATGTGTGGACAAGTTGCATAATTGCTTTCTGGGTCAGAAACACAAAAAATTGGACTAACATTTGACTTATGTTGGAATAGATATGATTCATTTTGTAATAGTGGAAGGTGCTTCGCGACGTCATTCGCATTATATTATAATTTTCTTCCCCTTTTTGTCAAAGGATGAATTTTTAATAATCAATGTTGTCTATTCTCAGTCAGATTTTAAATATAGTGTTTAAATAAAACACTTCAATGGTTTAAAACGCGATATATATATTAGTTCAATTGAGATTTCGAGCCGTTCCGTCTCCCCGTGACCACGGCTGCTGCAAAGTATCCGAAAGGTCGGGCGGTAGTTAAAATAAATTTCAAATAAGTTTTACTAATATATATCGCGTTTTAAACCGTTACAGTGTTTTATTTAAATGTGAACTACTCGCGTAAAATACAGACAGTATTTATGTTATAGTATTATTTGACATGGGTTTTCAAAAAGTGTTTTTATTATCAGTAAGATGCCAAAACTGATGTTCGCATATTGAATAATGTATGCACTAATAGACTGTAATCATTTGCCATACTAATGAGACTGAGAATCGCGGCCTTGACATACAAAACCTGAACCCTTTCACGAAAATATTTTTCTTAATCTTTTATCGATTAGCATACCATCAATTTATACGTGCATATTAATTTTTAAAGCTATTAGAATCACGTCGCTATACTTTTAACGTCTCTGACTTAATTAAGCAATTACCCAATTTCATATGACCCCTTCTCTTTTATTTATTTTGTTTGTGTTTTTTCTATGAGCTAAGAACCACGTACCTAAGTTAAATTTTTGAGTTTGACCCTCAGAAAAACGTAATAAAGACATGTTGTAAAAACTCAGTCGGGTAGAACAGAGTCTTATCCATTCACCTGTTAATATAATGTCGATCGAAACTTCGTGAAACTGTATTTATGCAAAATGTTTTACGCGTTATCGTTTATTACTTAATTCGTTGCAACTGGTTATGTTATACTGTTAGATCACACCGGTTCACGATCATTGAATTTAACGTCTGAAGTCGCATTGTGTAACGAGTATTGTCGATGTGAGATTCAATGCTAACGAAGCGTAACTTTTAAGTACGGCTCAATGAAAACAATGTTATGGACGTTAAGCCAATACATGTTTTACTGGGCTCACTTTCGCCCAACCTGCAGTGTCGCAACGTACCTATTGTATCCGCTCCACCTTATCTTACAACATCACGAATATAATTAAGCTCCTCTCCGTCTGATGTCACTATCAAATATTAACCCACATTTATCAGATAACTAAGAGCCACATAGGCCGACAGCGCATCTTGTGTATATGTTAGACTGGGGTATTTCACCTCCCTCAAAGCCCCATGCTTGCCTATCCTCCTCTATCATTAAAAAAAAAAGGGCGACATCTATAAAATAATTAGTTGTCATTTTTTTAAAACCTTTTAAAAGAAACAATATACTTTTAGCTTCTTCTTGTCGACGAGATATAGTTACCAGGCAAATCTGGATAAGGAAATATACGCGTTTCACAAACGTCTTCAGCTTCATTACACTAGTATATCTATTTGAATTGTGTTTCAGGTTGTTGTATCTGCAGTGCTGGCCCTAACAGCGGCCGTCCCACAAAGGCGGTTATCGCTCAAACCCGAAGGCCAAGATGACCAGCAAGCAGCAGAACAGAACTACAACAACTACCAACAGGGTGACTACAGACAGCAACAAGCGCAGCCACAGGAATTCAGAAAGCCAGTCGAAGACTTCAGACCTCGTGTTCAGTTAGACACCACAACTTTCATTCCAATCATCCATTTCGACAAGGAACAAGGCACAGACGGCAGCTACAAAACCTCGTAAGTTACATACGAGTAATAACGATATTATAACGAATTATGTAACTGGTTTTACACATCCTTAAATATTTACGTTTGCGTCTCTATTACGTTTTTTAATATTTAGGATTTATGAAATTTGAATAAATATTCGATATATACGTTTATTGATATGAATGTCTTTCTACGTCCAAATATTTAATGAAGAAATCACGTATTTGATAAAAAAACAAACTTTTCAAAATCTCTTCCAAAGATATTTTTTTTATTATCTTTTGTTATTGTTTTTGATAAACTTCAGCGTTTGTAGTTTACGTGGGTTGTACCCACACATTTTAATAAAAAATAAAACTTTTTTGCCCGATTTATTGATTAGAATCGAATGTACTGTTTGTAGTTTACGCGAGTAGTCCACATTTAAATAAAACACTTTAACGGTTTAAAACGCGATGTATATCAGTTAAACTTATTGAAAATTATTTTAATTTCGGCCCGACAATTCGATGTTAACAGATATATATCGCGTTTTAAACCGTTAAAGTGTTTTTATTAAAACGTAAAATGGTATTTATTTAATTTTTCTATCTATTTTTTCAGATACGAAACCGGCAACAACATCCACGCCCAAGAAGAAGGTTACCTGAAGAGCGTTTCCTCAGACAATGAAAACATCCCAGCTCTAGTGCAACAGGGATCTTACTCATACACCGCGCCAGACGGCCAAATCATCACCGTTGAGTACACCGCTGACGAGTTCGGATTCAGGGTCAAGGGTGACCACATCCCCACCCCCCCACCAGTGTCACCTGAAATCCAAAAAGGACTCGATCTCATCTACGCCGGAATCAAGGCTAACGAGGTAAGTCTCTTACGAAACATTATTTGACCTGGTTCACTGAACTTTAGTCTTCTGTCGTATTTTTACATGAGGTAACAATTACATTTTAAATATAGAACAGTATTACGTTTGATGTTTGCCATGTCATTCTTTTTTAATAAAACTGTCTTTTGTATTCCTTCAACATTAAAATAATGTCGAACCAGATTGACATGAGCACTTTAATAGTTTCACAAAGTTAAACATTCATGTTTAAAGAAGGTAGGATAGTTTAAATTTTTAAAACTTTTTTAATTTAAAGAAGCTACCTAATCCATATAACATTATATACTGCTGTTTGTTATATTTTAATTATTTTTTAACCACTGCGGTGTTCTATTTAAAAGCGTTTTAGTTAAAATATTTTAAATACTTTTACTATTTCGGCGGGAAACGTCGGCCATACATTAAGTTATTTGTTAACTACATTTCATACTTTAAAAAATATATATTTTATTTAAATGTTGCCACGTTACAGGAACGCGCTGCCTTAGAAGCTAAGAACAACCCCGAGGCCGCCAAACAGCACGACGAGCAAGCAGCTTTGAACTACAGAGGCCAGTACTACCAACAATAGACAAAATAGACTACAGTGAACTCAGTGCTAATTCATTCATTCCATAACTCTGCCCTTTATGGCTCTATGAGCGTTTGAAGTCAATTTTAGTGTTAAACCGAGAACAACAATTCTGTGAGGTCTGCATTGGTACAATATGTTCTTTGTGATAATTAAAATGTAATTAGTTCGATAGACTCAGTAGTAAGTACTGTTAATTATTGTTAGTTATTTTAAACTGCCCATATTAGTTGTAATACTTCGTAAGCTGAACCGTGAATTCTTCGATGTTGAAATTGTTTAGACAAATCACTCATTAATTTTAAGATAACGAGATTGTTAATACTAGGACGGCGCACGCGAAATTCTACACTTGTACATAGTATAATTTGTATTATTTGAGTAATAAAATGTTGAATAATTTTATAAAAACATACTGAATATAAGAGTCGGTTTTTCTATCTTATCCCCACTTACCGTAAATACATAACTACAAATAAATTACATAGAAAATGTGTTAATAGCCATTAAATCATTGTCTGTACTATAATACAGACACAAAGTAAAATTCAAGTATAGAATTTTCCACTTCTATTTGGTTGCATAACTAATAGAAAACATAAGTACATATACAATATATGATAATATTTTTTGTAGTGTCATTTACAGATAAATTTATCGTAAAATTACATTTTAGGTCTTCAAAAGCAAGAGAGAGCATATCTATATAACATAATATTGAAAAATTTATCGACCGACAGAACTGCATCACCCAATAGTTAGCAGCTACTTGCAACAGATGGCGACACGTTGGCAGAATTGACAGAACAATGATACGCAATTAGGTTTACTTGAGAGGAGGCGCTGTCGATCTTCCTTTACTTCTGGCTTTTCAGTCTCGATTGTCAACTTATCAAGACTGAAAATGCATTTAAACAATATAATTTATCATATTTTAGAAACAAATTTACCGATTATATTTTTTTTGGTTTTACACATTTTAATGGCGCATTTATTTATTTTACCTACTAAGCATATTGTTTTTAATAAATTATAACCCCAACTATTGAGGAACGAAGAGATAAATATAAGACTTTCTCATTTTTATTATTTTCAATTATCACAACACATGTTTTCTTTACCAAGACTCCTTTTAGATTTTCTAACAAAATTGTTCAATGCGGTCTTCTGATCCAGAGTTTCCTTTTTTGTCTATGTCAGGCTATTTTCAAACGAAGTTCAAATAAGTGTATGTGTAACAAACACATATATGTTTATTTTTTTTATGTTTGTTCGAGCATTACTACGTATATGAATGTTTGTGAACCGATTTATTCTGAAAGAAGGTTTTCAAAATGTTTTCATTTTAAGAAAACCAGGGCGTGATGTTTACAGATCCGGCACGTCAATAGACTCTTAGATAAATCATACAAATACAATTCATCATACAAGTTTAGTGTGTTTGTATGTTTTTTCATGCAGTACTTTGAGGCGCAACTATTTAATAAAACGACAAGCGCGATTAGATATTAAGTCGAAGGAACTCCTCAACGATTCCCAGCACCTACTTTGTGTTTGAGCTTAAACTATTTTTTACACTGTCAAAAACTCTATACTTAGCTGTGTTATGACTGTAAATAGCGTTTTATTGATGAAGACGAGGGACTATTTAGGGAACTCTTTGTATTTGAACTTTATTATTTAGGTGAGAGATGTTAATAAGAAATTCAATATGCATGGTCCACCCGTCACGTAAGTCGTGCAAATAATATTTTAATAAAAAAATTAAACCGACGTAAAACAGTAAATTACCAGGAAAAAAAACGCTTTAAAAAAAGTTAGATATAGTTAAATATAAATGATTTAACCTACACTTTTATAATATTACTTTTAATTCGGTGCCAACGTGTTACCAGTATTTGAATGAATACTTAGTTTCAATTATGATAATTGTAATATTTTATTAGTACCACAAAATACCACCCGCTAAACAGGATTCGGACGACTGAATATGTTTGGATGTTCATATTAACTATTTCACAATGAAACTCTGCCCTTTATGGACGTCAAGCTGTCCGGTTGTTGTGTTAAATGTTAAAATTACGGATTCGATACAAACTACATAATTATCCTATCAAGAGACTGTAAATGTGTTTAACATTAAATATTTTAAAATTTTACAATTTCGCAAAGCCAAGAACTGCATTGCAATACAATCGAAATTCGAAAATTTATATTTTTTTTAAAGGTCCAAAATAAAAATTAAAAAAAAAAAAACTTCTCCCCCTCCCCCCCTTTTTTTTGAATTTTTTTACCCCCCCTTTTTTTAATAAAAAATTAAAAAAAAAAAAAAAATATTTTTAAAATGTCCCCCCCACACCAAACCCGGGAGAAAAATTTTTTTTTCCCCCCCCCCCCCCCCCCCCCAAAAAAGGGGAAAAAAAAAAAAAAAAAAAAAAAAAAATTTTTTTTTTTTTTTTTTTTTTTTTTTTTTTACTAATCCAATTTTTTTTTTTAAATTTTTTTGGGGTTTTTTTTTTTTTTTTCTCCCTTAAAAAAAAAAACTTTCTTTTCCTCCTTTCCCCCCCCCCCCCAACAAAAAAAAAAAAAAAACCCCCCCCCCCCCCCCCCCCCCCCCCCCCCCCCCCACAAGACAAAAATTAAATAGAATTTAAGGAAATATGGTAGGATTTTATCAAACTAACTATCTCTTCCGAGCAAGCAAGGAATATACAGTAATAGAAAAATCGGCACATATATTTTATTTGATCTTACAAATGTAACACACTCATGCCACCATGTGCAGCTTTTGGTATTCGAAGCGAGAGAACGATGTTTTAGATTTTATTTCTTGTCCCTAAAGATTTAACAATGGCTAGTCGGCAAAATAAACCTTAAGGCTAGTCTATGTGAAATAATAATAATTATAATAATATTGGTTTGAATGAGGACGATACAGACGAAATCAATTTTTGAAGTAACATTGGTTTGATGTTATACTTTTACTTTACTTATGTTCAAACACTATTGAAAGTTTTACATTTAAGACAGCCTGGGAAAATAACCATTTCAGTAGGAGTTTTGTTGGCACACTTTCATCTGAAACGTATTTGATTAACGATAAGAAGAGAGAGTTGGCACTGCTGATTCTCATGTGCTGCGATTAAAATTAGCTTTCTAGTTATTTTATTATAATTCATTATATTAGACTAATAATAATTATGAACGAAAATTATGAGATTACGCGAATATTAGACATTTAAATAAAACCATTTACCAGTTTAAAACGCGATATATTTTACAGTTAGTTAAACTTTTTGGAAAAAAAGTCTGTGTCCACGGGTGCTGCAAAGCTTCCGAAACGTCGGGCAGTTGTAAAATAAAACATACTTTTCAAACAAGTTTCACTAAAATATATCGCGTTTTAAACCGTTAAAGTGTTCTTAAAAATGTAGTTTAAGAATTGCTTATTGTTATCGCTTCACTGACCATTCAAGGAACTTCGTCGTGTATTAAAAATACGGGTTGTACTCGCATTTTTGCAATTTTCAAATAGTTAGAGAATATTGCACGACTTGTTTCAACTATCCATATAAACATTTACTTAAGTAAATATCATTTATATTTTAAAAACAATATTATTTTTGCGCTAACCACTTGTCCACTCCCCTATCGAATTTTCGGTCTGCTATTGTGTCCAACACAAATTAAACAAAAAGTAATCTTAAAAAACAACGCACAATCCTACTAAAGAAGTTTTCAATTAAAACAGTTTTTTTTATTAAAAAGCGCGCTTTGGCTTAACGTCTAATGCAGTTACACATTTTTTATGATAGAGAAGGACAGACAACTATGGGTGTCACTTGATGGAGAGTAAAAAACACCAGCTATTTTGTCTTCGGATAATCGGAAATCCACAGACTGATACCGAAACGCGATGAAGTTTTACGGCTTTTTCATCGTGACCCACATATCGTAATTTCGATATTCCTACCCCCCATTTAATACCCAGATTTATAGATGAAGTCTAACATGTTTCGCAGAAATACAAATTGATCGGAACATGTTGGACCCGATAGCGGTCGAACCCACGACCCGTTGATTAGCTATATATATATATATATCATTAGACCAACAAGCCGAGTAGTAATTAGAAACACATTTTTTTTTATTGACCTGAAGAACATTATAAAATTTCTCTATTTTAGAAGATATTTCCTTATTTAGCATATAAACGGCATTCAAGTTGCACAAAACATGCGTTCGGTTGCATTGAGCTCGATACGAGACGTAGGGATGCGTTGCGGGTCGTACAAAGTTCGTAGGTAAAGAAGCCGGTATATAAACTCTATGCAGTGTCAATGAGCACACACCAACATTTGTGGACATACCTGGCAGTTGCAACAGCTCTCATAATGGTAAGGAAATGTGTAAACTTTTCTTGGAAAATTGCTTTTGAAAACTTTAATATTTTTCACATGTTATTTTTCACATCTTATCGCACATGATGGGAGTATATAAATTAAAAATCTATTTAGAAAGTTGCTCCAACCAATTGAGCTACCGTCTCAATTGGTTACAGCACGGAATGTTGTTGACGCCGATTCAAGTCCTGCCTGTGTCGTAATTTTTTTAATATCGATTTTTACGTTGAAAATTGCCTTATACATTACATACATTTTTAATTAAATATATATATATATATTTCTTCACTATTTTATTGATCCATTAAAACCATGCCGTGGTCGGGGAGACCCCCGTGACCACCGCTGCTGCGAAGCATCTGAAACGTCGGGTCGAAGTTAAAAATCATTTTCAAATAAGTTTAACTAACATATCGCGTTTAAAACCGTCAAAGTGTTTTATTAAAAACATGACGGTTTATAGGACGCTTAGTAACCGCGACAAATCAGTGTTATACGCGTTAACTTGTACTGTGTTAAGCGTGGGCGGCAATTTGAAATTGCAGGATATATTACGAGAAATGTGCGGGTTCGATTCCCGCGTTCAACATGTTGAACTTAAATTTGGAAAACTGGATATTTAATTAATGTTAGAAATATCGACCGCAAATGGAAAAATCGAGAAGTTTCATTGCATTTCGGGTCAGTTTGTTCATTTCCCAACAGTATAATGCTAAAATTGCTAGGTACGATCCATTAGTAATTCCTCTGTCACAAAAGGCATATGCATGGACATGGGTTTGAGTCAGAACGTGTTTTTTTTTTCAATATATCATATTTTTTTAATGAATTCTTAACATCTAATACTATTATTGTAACAGAATAATATAACGTCTATCTAAAATCACTTAATAAGAGAACGGTTTAAATCAAGTCTCATTTACTTTGGTTTAATTTACTTTATTTTAAAGGTAAATGTTTATACCTTTAATATTTTATTCTCATCACGTTTCGCATGTGAAGAGTGTTTTGACGTTCTCTCAACATATTTCGCATTTATTTTTCCGTGTTGGGTTATATTTCATTTTTTAGTTCTGCCTTTTTACACCTAATATCGTCATAAGCACAATATAAAATAAAAAAGAGTGGGTAAACTCGAAATTCTTTCTTAAAATAAAAGCACATTTGTATGTTGTGTTTTATTCTATACTAGCTGAGTCAGCGACTTCGTACGTGTAGAATAGTTATTTTTTGGGTCTTTCGATTGTTGTTTTTGCAAACCTCCTGTTCGACTATATAAATTTAAGTTGTTATATATGATAGATTATAGATCGCAGATTTTTTAGATAATTTATAGATATTCATAGGGGAATTATTCTTTAATACATATTTTTTTTGAGCCGTTTCCGCAGCGTTCTCAATGTTGAATAATTTTTCCCGTTTTTTCGACATTTCCCTGTATCTTCTGTCCTATTAGTTACAGCGATATTTATTTTGAGCTAACGAGTTCCTGAGATTAGCGCGTTCAAACAAACAAAATTTTCAGCTTTATATATTAGTATAGATTTATAGAACAATACTGTAATACAAGGAAAACTTTTTATAAATTATTCGACATCTCTCTTGGGAACGCAGTTTATATTTTTTATTTAATTTGACTCCTTTTTAACTCTATTCTATTCACTCACTGTATTGAAAAATAACTTCGAATTATTTAAGTATTTTTAAGTGGTAAGAGAAAGACAAAATGGCCGTACTCCTCTGTCATAAAAGCAATGATGTTATTTCAAATACAGCGTGTTAATCTGTTTTATTATTTCCTTAAAATTCCTACTCTTGAAGCTCTCGTGGACTTTTTGATGTTAGATAATCTCCGTATAATTTAAAACGTGACCGCAAATAAATCACGTGCGGTTTGAGCGAGCGTTACATTGTTAAAGAAACATCCTGACAACCTTCCGGCATTCATTTAGAACGTATTGTATAGATGTCTTGTACTGAATGGCATTAAAATTAGAATCGAGATTTCTTAATTATACGCAAAATGTTATGTTATGCAAGGTGATATATCTTTGAAAACTTTAATATTTTCCACATGTTGAAAGCACTATATAATTTTATAAATCGAAAATAAATTGAAAAAAAAAGCAACAGCACGGAACGCTGACGATGCCGGTTCAAGTCCTGCCGGAGGCGAAAAATTTTTCAATTTATTTTTGATTTTTAAAATTAGGTGATATATCTGTTCAGATATTTATTTGGTACTCAGAATTTTTATAAACAGTGTTGATCAAAATAAAGCGACTCTTTTGTGGACTTAAAAGCGTATTTTGGATAAAACTTTGGACAGTATGCTTGAAATTTTTGTCTCTCTATAATAGTATCTATAGTATACTTATTATGAATCTTAGTAACTTTTATTACTAAATGATGTTTGAAAACATTAATATTTTTCACATGTTATTGCACATGAAGGCACTATATAATTTAAAAATCGAAAATAAATTGAAAAAATTTTCGACTCGGGCAGGACTTGAACCGCATGTCAGCTTTCCGTGCTGTTGCTCTACCAATTGAGCTACCGAGTCCTACACCTCATCGTCGAATTTTTTCAACTTATTGATACATGCACCTTTCGCGCAATGTAATTTCTACCTTAACACTTGCGTATTAAGGCTCAATGTCTTATGCTTTGCAGCTTAAGAAATCATTGAAGATGAAATTACAAAGTTTAACGTTTGAAAACATTAATATTTTTCACATGTTATTGCACATGAAGCACTATATAATTTAAAAATCGAAAATAAATTGAAAAAATTTTCGACTCGGGCAGGACTTGAACCGCATCGTCAGCTTTCCGTCTGTTGCTCTACAATTGAGCTACCGAGTCCTACACCTCATCGTCGAATTTTTTCAACTTATTGATACATGCACCTTTCGCGCAATGTAATTTCTACCTTAACACTTGCGTATTAAGGCTCAATGTCTTATGCTTTGCAGCTTAAGAAATCATTGAAGATGAAATTACAAAGTTATATATATATAATAATGTTTTCAAACGTTATAACTTTGTAATTTCATCTTCAATGATTTCTTAAGCTGCAAAGCATAAGACATTGAGCCTTAATACGCAAGTGTTAAGGTAGAAATTAATTGCGCGAAAGTGCATGTATCAATAAGTTGAAAAAATTCACGAGTGTAGGACTCGGTAGCTCAATTGGTAGAGCAACAGCACGGAAAGCTGACGATGCCGGTTCAAGTCCTGCCCGAGTCGAAAATTTTTTCAATTTATTTTCGATTTTTAAATTATATAGTGCCTTCATGTGCAATAACATGTGAAAAATATTAATGTTTTCAAACGTTATAACTTTGTAATTTCATCTTCAATGATTTCTTAACTGCAAAGCATAAACATTGAGCCTTAATACGCAAGTGTTAAGGTAGAAATTACATTGCGCGAAAGGTGCATGTATCAATAAGTTGAAAAAATTCGACGATGAGGTGTAGGACTCGTAGCTCAATTGGTAAGCAACAGCACGGAAAGCTGACGATGCCGGTTCAAGTCCTGCCCGAGTCGAAAATTTTTTCAATTTATTTTCGATTTTTAAATTACTAAATGATTTTAAGCGCCATATACATCTGATTGTTAACTTCAATTCAGTAGTTTTTGCCTTCGTTATTTGAATAGGCGCTTATTTTTCTTCTATTTCGTTTTTCAAATCATACATCTCGTTTTCCCGTAAATTTTTTCCTCTTTCATCTTGGGTTGCCTGGAAGAGATCGCTCGTTAGCGATAAGGCCGACCATTGCACTTCATATGTTTAGTATATAAGTTTATATTTTTGTTATTTTTTTTTTGTGCAATACAGTGTAAATAAATAAATAAATAAAAATAAATATTAGACTAAAATTTTGAACGGTTTGAAACACGAAATGTAATAGTTACCTTTCTTGCTATAAAGCATTCGAAGTGGGGAATCTGGGTACATAGATGCAATCTTTTAGAAACTAAGATATTTTAGAGTATTTGTTATAGTATTATAAGTAGTGATCTATATCACTACTTATAATACTGATATATATCTGAGTGTTTTTTTTTTCAGATCTCTTTTCTTTTAATGTGTTTGATTGGAGCGACGCTGGGAGCATCAGTGCAACCATCCACAGAACCGATTCCAATAATTCGTTTTGAAATAGAAGGACCTAATGTAGACGGAACTTATAAGTGGCTGTAAGTATAAACTTATATCACGAATAGCAGATTCTATAACGCATTTGGAAGGCACAGTTCTATGTCCGTTTCATTAAACGATTTCACAGATTATGGTCTGTGGAGAAGGCTAATCAGTCTTCTGTGTATATGTATGGTTCATAAACTTTACAAATTATTAATTAAATGTTAACAATGCGGCACGCGGTGATCCACGGGTAGTTCCCCAAAGGGTCCAAAATGTTACTAATTTTTCTGAAATATGTTGGACGTCGTTTGCATTTCTAGATATTACTAGGGTGGGATTATTGAAAATTTCGTCCGGGTCACAGATGAATAAGCCGTGAAGTTTATCGCGTTTCGGTTTCAGTATATGGATTTCCGAACATCCAAAGCCGAAATAGGTCAACAGCGCACCGTTTTTACATGTTATATGACACACGGGAACTATCTTTATCTATACATATAGAAAGTGTTAAATCAAAACCGTAGGCTTGTCATAAATGCAATAAAATTATAATTAAACGTGTATTTGATCACGAACTTCTCATTTGAACTAATATCGCAAGTGGTAATTAATTTGTTCAACTTTGATCTTTTACTTATATGTATGTTCTTAGCAGAAATAGGTGTTGGATTTATGTAAAAGGCTTTAATATGACGAAATATCGTCAAAATTATAGTCATACTAAGGCAATGAACTATTACGTAGTAACTTCAAGTTAGTTGCAATAATAATAACAGTAATATACTTACAGAAAGTTTCTAATAGAAATGAATTATGATTTATGTAAGTTTAACAGTTTAAAACGCGATATATATTTGTTAAACTTATTTGAACATTATTTTAACTACGATGCCTTGCCGTGGTCACGGGGAGACACGTATACGTAATTATTTTCAAATAAGTTTAACTAACATATATCGCGTTTTAAACCGTTAAAAAATGTCACGAGCGGGATTCGAACCCAAAACAAATAGCGTGATAGCTATCTTAATGACGTGTTGACGTTTAGTTCCAATCTTTCGTAAGAAAATTTCTTGATCACCTCAATGTTACGTTGCGTTTAGCTCCAAAGATAAAATTTAATGTTCAGAACAGACACAGAAATGGGTTTGCCCCATGCCCTACATAGGAGAAAGAGGAATTCACTCTTTTAACAATTCACTTAATTTATGTAAACTGTCCTGCGCATGTTGTAATTACGACAATTTTTAAGTAAGTAAAAGAATACTAAAAAGGATGATACACGTTTATAGATGTGACATAAATTAAACAATAACTACCAAAAAATACTTAAACTGCAGTCGAAAACTGTTATTAAAAGTTTTTTAATGAAAACGTGGAACGTTATTTTTTATTATACTTTGCTCAATAAATAATGTGTGCAATAAAAAGTAATGATAAACATTTGGATTACAATGAGATCTTCAAACAAGGTTAATTTACAAGAAGTGGTTTTTGCAACTGGCCTATGATATAACTGGAAAGAACATCTAGCAAATTAAAAATTAGTTAGGAAACGGTTTTTTTTTCTTTGAAATTAGCGCGAGTCATGGGTTTAATTTTAAGAAAAACTTCGAATAATATAAGAGAGTAACTCAAGGTTAAGGTTACCCGCTTCGTCTTCGTGAAGTAGACATAGGAAGACATTTTTCTGTCTCTGGAATTTTAGAAAAAGTATTTTTGTTTGAAAACTTTATTATTTTTGACATGTTATTGCACATGGAGGCACTATGTAATTTAAAAATCGAAAATATTTTACCGAGTCCGATTGGTAGAGCAACAGCACGGAACGCTGCCGATGCCGGTTCAAGTCCTGCCCGAGTCGAAAATTTTTTTCAATTTATTTTCGGTATTTAAAGTATTTTTGTATTATTAGACCTTTGTGTCCAAATAGAAAGGCCGCGCTTAACTGTGTTTAACTTTATAACAGGTACGAAACTGGTAATGAAATTAATGCAGAAGAGTCAGGGTATGTAAAAAATTTTGGTAAAGGCGAGGGAGAAGAAGTACAGGTGGCGGAAGGAAAATTCAGTTACAAGTCACCAGATGGCACCCCAATATCTCTTTCGTACATTGCTGATGAAAATGGATTTCAGCCACAGGTTTGTTACGTCTTAAATAACTTACATAGAGAAGTCATTTAATATAAATAAATTTGTATCTTACGCGTTTTTTTTGTAATAATAAAATTGGCAGGCTCGTTGGTGTTATGGTAGCAATGTGTGGAAATATATGTCTGTGTTTACGCCATAAGTACACATTTAAATAAAATAAAAATATTTATTATTCAATGTTATAGTAACTTTTTATTGAAATAAAACACTCTTAACGGTTTAAAACGCGAATTGTATTACTTAACTTCTCTACAATATATTTTAACTACGGGTGGAAGTTTTGGAAGCTTTTCAGCAGTCGTTCTAATACATTATGCGTTTTAAACCGTTAAATTAGTTTTATTTAAATGTGTACTACTCGCGCAAACCACAGACGATACTTAACTGTTAAAACAGCGAAAGCTATCAATAATATATCAAACCGATGTTTAATATGTGCACTGTGTATTTATGAGTAATTTTGTATATGGCGTGGGATTCTTTACTGTTTCGCGTGCATGTAAATTTCCAAACTGAAGCAAGACCAAAAGCTTACGAACGTGATTATACAAAGAAAGGTCATAGGAAGAACTCGTTTATCATTTTAAATGTATGTGGACCAGCGAGAATAATTTCTGAATTAAGAGTTATATCACACATTGCGTGCAACGTGGGCAGAAATTGTATTATACAGCTCATGAAGTTAACAGCACGTCTATTTGAATACATTACAATCACACATAAGATCGAATTTTAAAAACTTTAAAATTGGTATCTATTGGCGTTATATAAATTTAACAAGTTATATACATATTGTTCTGTAACTAGAATAAACGCGTTGTCTAGCATAAGCGCGAGATCCCGGATTCGAGTTCCGGGAAGACGTCAATTGTTTGGTCTGGGCAGGGCCGTTCAAAACCTTACCTGTAAAAGATTAGTAAAGCAGATACAAAAGTGTGGTCGCCCCATACCTCACAGAGAACCGAGATTAAACTATATTATATCCTATTATTACACGGTAGTTTAATTGATTAGAGCAGCAGCACGAAAAGCATACCGGTTCAAGTCCCGTGTTTCGTCATTTTTTTCAATCAAAATATATTTTTAACTAGTGATATTAAAGTGAATGAAGTTTAAACTTATTATCTATTCGTTCAGCTATATCGTTGTCCAATGTATATTTAAATAAAACACTTTAACGGTTTTAAACGCGATATATTAGTTAAACTTATTTGAAAATGATTTTTAACTTCGGCCCGACGTTTCGGATGCTTTTTTTCAAATAAGTTTAACTAATATATCGCGTTTTAAACCGTTAAAGTGTTTTATTTAAATGTGTACTACTCGCCTAAACGTATTCAGTTTATCAAAAAAGTATTCAATGTATATTTTTTTTATCGAAAATTGTGGAAAAAATTATACGTTTAGGATTGGCTTTTTTTGTCGCGCCTAATCCTTTTACCTTTCCGTAACGTTAGGCAAGCACAAGAATAAGAATCAATAACAGCTAAAGCCCTTCAACAAAATGGTCTGTTTCGTTTTTATTGTCTGGATACCTATAAATTTTTAAGGTCCTTGTGTAGTTGAGCTTAAATTCATTTTATTATACGTTGATATTTATTGTTGCTTCAGTTTAAATTATTACGGTTTTATAATGTCAACACCATACGTGCAGACGATATATCCAGAAAAATATATTGAGACTTCTTTTACGGTCATAGGTTTTACGATAAGTACGGGTTGCCCTTTGCAGTAGCAAGGAAGACCTTCCAATTATGTTAAAAAATCTGATCTCGGACATCAAAGTTAACTTAATAACATAGGTTTTAAACCGTTACATGTATCATTTGTAACAAATACACGTAACATTTATTTGATAAAAATATAGGACGACGTATTTTATTTCGAAATTTAAAATCTCAGCCATTAATTTTACTCTGCGATAGAAAAGGGATAGACACAAATTCTGTGTACAAATAGTTGATTAGACTTTCCTTAACTATCCAATAGTAACAAATACACTTTAACGGCTTAAAACGATATATTAGTTAAACTATTTGAAAATGATTTTTAACTTCGGCCCGATGTTTCGGATGCTTTGTAGCCCCGTGGTCACGGGGAGAACCGGGGTTTTAAACTTAAAGTTTATTAAATTGTACTACTCGCTAAAACAGTATTTATCCGATAGTATATTATATTTTACCACGATTGATAGTAATTACGATAATTACTGAACTATGTAAGCAACGTAGAGTATAGGACGTTTACAATGTCGACGACATAGCCTAAACAGCCTCCATGTAGCACCTACGCAAGTAATAAATCATTCACAAAATTAAGTAGCCTTTTGTTCATAGTTTGGTACATTGATGCATCGCACGCTGTTTTCTGCTTTTAATGAGGTTATATAAACTGACATTTCGTTCATTATGTAAATACGTAGGCTGTAACAATTTTATTGTCGGTGTAGTGAAATCCTAACATTTATTACAACTGGGTTTTGCCTGCGGTTTCTTTTTTCTTTGTTGTGATTCAACGTAAAAAATTGTCTTCATTTGCAATGCGGTGTATACCCAAATATAAAATATCATTAAAAGGTAGTTAAATAAAACAATTTAACGGTTTAAAACGCGATATATTTTAGTTAACCTTGTTTGAAAATTATTTTTAACTACGGCGCGACGTTTCGGATGATTCGCGTGACCACACCTGCTGCAAAGCTTCCAAAACGACAGGCCATAGTTAAAATAATTTTCAAATAAGTGTAACTAACATAAATCACGCTTTAACCCGTTAGTGTTTTATTTAGATGTATTAGCGAATTTATGTTTATCTAACTAATTTTAGATACTGCAGCCGTTTTCACGGCGTTATCCCAATAGTTCGTGTTTTAAACCGTTAATTGTTTTTAAAAGTAATCTAATTTTTCAAACAGAAACTCGCAAGCTCTGTTGTAATATTAAAGGTCATATATTCTGAGTATTATATTTTCTAAAAAAAACACTACGGTGAAGTCACAAGTTTTCAGTTACGATACCAACCAAGTATGACTCATCAATTACATAAGGACCAAAGGAGAAAAGCAAGGTGCGGTGGCATATGTGCATAAAATGATTAGCCAATGTGCAAATGTCACATGAAAATATCAAACTTCGACCCTTGCCCTTCACCTAAAGTCCAACCAAAAATAGGTCCATAATAATGTTCCTCCACTTAATAAATGAAAAAGGAGTTACATCATCACTTAAGTGACCCTGGTGATTTATATAAAACACTTGAACGGTTTAAAACGCGATTTATAATAGTCGAACTGGAGCAGCCATGCATGTAGTGCGCGAAGCAGTCTGTAAAGCATCGGAAACGATATATAGAGAGATATATAAAGTTTAGCTAATACACATCGCGTTTTAAACACTTAGGTGTTTTATTTAAACTTGTACTACTCGCGTAAACTACAGTATTTAATTGACCCTGATGATGTCACTCGGTTTATTGGTGACACCGGAGTAATAATTAACAAGTTACGATGCTTTCTGTCAATCGCGCAATCTAACCGGTAGTTTAAAACCCAAGAATTTCAACTTGAAGTCATAAATTCTTCTTAAGGCTATCGTAAAATACGGTCAGGAGGTTTAGAAATTTTTCGGGCCTAGCTTTAATGTAAAACGTTAATTTAATTATTAAGAACTAACACAAATACTTGTATGTTGGTACACTTTTCACAGGAAACTACATACTTAAGAATGTTTTTAACTATCTATTAATGTAATCGTAGCAATGTATTATACAATGGGTGGTGGGTCTGATCCCCACAATGTCCAACATGTTTTTAATAAATTTAAACATTTTATGAAATAGATCGGATCTCATCAGGAAATCTGGATATTAGATGGGTGATAGGAATATCGTGAGTATATCGGAATTCCCGACCAGGTCAGCGAATTCAAGCTAGTCTCCGTCCACAGATGAATAAACCGTGAAGGTTATTCACGGTTCGGGTTCAGTCTGTGTATTTCCTAATATCCAAAGCCAAAATAAGTCGATATTTTAGATTAGTTTATAAATTTTTGAGACAGATTTCTGACACTATAGTCGTTGTCGTAGAATACAGATAAAAAATTATTAATGTCTAAATAAAATAAAGACATACAATATGATGTCTATTATATTATAGCATACAAGAAATAGACAAGCAATAAAATATCTAATCCCTTTTATGATTCACAGGGCGACCATCTTCCAACCCCGCCACCAATACCACCAGCAATACAAAGGGCTCTTGAGTACTTGAAATCCTTACCTCCAGCTGCTGCTTCGAGCAACTCCCAAGCGCAGTACCAGGCAACTAACAAAAACAAGAGGTTTTAGAAGACGCGTGTTTTCGATAGAAAATCATTTTCATGACTGTAAATAATCATTATTATACATCTTTTTTCATTTTTCATAATAAATAATTCGAAACTGTTATAAGAATTTTTGTGTATACTATTTATAAGTCAAAAGGCATAAGAAGTTTTGTGGGGAACTATCGAAGTTATATGCAACCGACTTCCGTTCATAAGTTTGGAGGCCTTATCTTTATATGCATTCTAATAAATGCACGCCGGAAATGAAAAACTTAGGGATAGAGTCTAATGGTGCTAAAACCAAAAACCACCATGAACTATTCAACTCTGAAAACCCAGTCCCAATGGAAACTGTAATACTAGCTGTGTTAGCTATTAGTACAATTTCAAGTAACTTTGTCCGCGTAAAATTGTTAAGGCATCCAAATTTGTTTTTGCAAACCTCCTCTTCGTCTTTATAAATTTAAACTGTTACGCACGACGTCGGTCACATTCCGTCGTTCTTGCTTAGTTAATATCAAAAGATAGACATTTATTTAGATACATATTCATACATATTTTTTGGGTATCTTGAGCCGTTTTCGAAGCGTACGCAATGGAAGCCAACAAAGATAGTAGTAGCCCGTAATGAAGATAAAGCCAATAAATAATTTATACCGTTTTTTTCTACATTTCCCGCCGTTTCTTTTTCCTATTAGTCGCAGCTCGATGTTTTATAACCAACTAGCAGTAGTTCCTGAGATCAGTGCGTTCAAACAAACAAACTCTTCAGCTTTATATATTAGTATAGATCGATATTATATGATTATTTACGATAGTTTCGTTTTTAACGTATCTACGTTACACAAAACGTGAATCGAATTGAATTTTATGTCTTTTTGATTTGATAACTCTATTTCTAAATCATATAGACAACCTTGTATTTTATTTGCCATATTCATTTTCTATGAATAATAATGGCTCAATTATAGGCATAATTTTGGATTAACACAATTTTTGTTACAAAATATTAATATTGAATACCAGGCTGATATAAATTAGAAGGAGTGCAAAACACTTTGAGGGTAGTATTATAAATGAGACTTCTTCTATAGTCGGAATGGTTTATAAAGCCGATACAAATACCAACTGATTACCCTGACTTTGGATAATAAATTATCCTTATTCGAACTATAGTGACAGTTTACCGACGCTTAATAATGTTAAACATAGCCGTTTCAACTTTTTGAAGTTAGGGGCACTTTTATCCGTCTGTTTCACAGATCGCTTAAACCATTAATATCTGAACAAATAGCTTAACGTAAGTTCCACTCGCATATTTATAAATTCATCTGTTTTCTATACATATATAAGTAGGTGATCAGAATTTAGAACTCTGCTCTTCCGAAAATGTTATTTACCGGAATAGAAGCATTGAGTATAAAGCGAGGTCCAGAGTCCTCGCTTATACGCAATGCTATAATTTTATATACTTTAGAACGTAGAATTGTCTGTTAAACCGGGACAAAGCTTTTCTCTGTGAAAAATTTCATTAACAGGCTTCTTTCTTGCGTTAAATAACCGAAACGATTTATGTTTAATACTCAGAAATGGAACCCAGGCAACTAGTGTAGTGAACTCGTGTGAATGAGTTAATAAGATAATGACATTTCGTGTTTTCATGCCCGGCGAACATATCTACAGAAAATGTAAAAGACAGAAGATAAATATTAAAAAAATAAAAAAGGTAATTGCGGGGTTAACTATTGGTCTCTTCGTATTTTTTTTGTAATTCGTAATTTTATTATTTATAGCAGGTTTTATTACTTGAAAATAATTTAATTGTTTAATGCTTTATACTTTCAACGGGCCGAAAATATAATTCTAGTAAGATCCCGATATTGAAGCAATTTACGCCTAATAATGGTGCTTTACCAACTTGATCTATGGTTTTTGTGATAATGTTCTCTATACAGGGCTGTTTAAAAATACTTGCTTAGAAAATTCTATGCATGGTTCTAACACTTTGATTTAAACTAAGTATTTGAACAGTTTTTTCAATGCCTTTCTGAATATCTGTCGCATTAAATACTGTCTATAGTTTACGCGAGTACTACACATTTACATAAAACACTTTAACGGTTTAAAACGCGATATATTAGTTAAACTTCTATATTTTATGTATAAAGTTTAACTCATATATCGCGTTTTAAACCGTAAAAGTGTTTTATTCAAATCTGTCGCATTCTTTAATTTTTGATCTTACCTTACTTTATCATATAAAAAAATGTCAATACAGTTATGTTACTTGTCAAATAAAACATCTTTTAACGGTTTGAACATACAAAATATCTGCGTTAATTAATTTTTACAACACTTATAGCCAGAGGGGGAAACACTCTTGTTAAAAATAAGTCAAGTAATATATTTCGCGTGAACCCCAGATAAAAGTCAACCTGTTCCTTATGAACCAGTACTGTATATTATTATTTTATGAAATATTGCTTCATGTGTGACATGCACTTTAACAAGAATTATAATTAAGTCTATCATTGTGGATCCGAGTTTGATAAATTGGATCCTTTTGCTTGTTAGGTTATTGCATTGCGTTTTCCTTTATTGGGGTAATGGGGTCAATAATTGTTAGTCAATTATTGGAAGATGTCGTTCACATGAACAAGTTACAGAAAGTCATCAATCTTACGATTCTCCTTGCTTGCATATATTTTTGACACCACTAATGATGAAAATGTCTTATAATTACTAAGACTGTCTCTGTGACTCAATAGTTGAAAGAATCGACTATTATCGAGTTAAGTGCGTTTGTATTCCGGGAAAAAGCCCTAAAATATAAAGCCTCTAAATATAATCGATCAGTTAAACCGATACATCCTTAAAATGTGAATATGAAAAAAATATATAAGGTAAAAAAGAAAAAGTATTGTTTAAATAAAATATTTTACCGGTTTTAAACGCGATGTATATAAGTTAAACGTAATTGAAAATTATATTATTTTAACTACAGCCCGTTTCGATTTCGTTTCGATGCATTGCAGCAGTCGTGGTCACGGGGATACGGAGAATTGAGTAAACTAAAGACAGGAAAAAGATTGCATTTATTTCTGGAATTGTCTTGAAAAAGTTAATTTACTAAGACCAAGAATTATACTTGGGTATAGACAACAATATTCTTATAATAAAATTATAAAAAAAAAAAACATTAATTTTCCACTACGCAACGATGATAGATTTGTCGATCAATATCATATAATGACAATCATCAATCTTTATATAAAAATGATAATAAAATAATAAGAAAGGTCACGGCTCCGTTATAAACAATTACTGTGGAATTTGCATTAAAATCATTTTATTCAAAATGATACGGAACAAGGCAATTATTAATTATTTTTTGTGGTTTTTTTTACATTTTTTTTTACATTCGAATATCGAATCATAAATTATTTTGTCAACAGAAATATGAACAACAAATTTGTTACCTAGGTTGTATGTAATAATAAAGTTATCCCTACAAGTATAAATTAAAAATCGATTTAGATTGTTTTTTACATTCTGCGTAGATCATTAGGTGCATTTATCAACAGGTGGTAAAACATTGAGGATGACGTGTAGGAGACGGTAGCTCAATCTGTCAAAGCACGGAACGCTGTGGATGCCAGTTCAAGTCCAGACGTGTCGTATATACATTTTTTTTTAATGTAATTAGATTTATAATTTATACAGTGCCATCTATATTATAAATATTAGAGTATGCAAAGTAGTACTTTTCAAATCGTTACTAACTTACTGTTACGGAAACTCAATGTGTTTACATGGATTAAAATAGTACTTAGTTTGTAGTCAGGTCCCCTATAAATAAAATCGACCACTGAAACATATCAAGTTTTGAAACATTTAACAATTTTGGCATTTGAATAAGTAGTACTGTTTAATTTTATGTGCATTAACAAGCCATATCTAAGCTCCATGATATGTTACAAATCATCACTTTTAAGCACTCCTCGAGGGCTATTATATATGTGAGATAGGATTGCCTTACTTTTGAGGAAATTCCATTAATTTATCACATAATTCAGCCATTAATTTATGTTCATTTATTGCTGACTAATAAAATACATTTGTGTATTAAATTTCATTATTATTTAAGCTTTATTATCCAATAAATGTCTTTGGATACGGGGAAGCAATCAATCTACAACCATATACGTCTTAACTGATGCGTGTTACAGTCAGATGGTTAAAAATTAATGATTGTATTCAATTATTTAATGGTCTTTAAGAGGTGCAAGCTATATGCACTGAAATGACCTTTGTGTATTTAAACTAAACTAAGGGTAAAGAATTCGTTTAGTTCAAGGTGAATTTTAGATTACTATTGTATTCCAAAAGAATAAGATAGGCACGAAATTGATATCAACGATATTTGAATGCCAGTTTGTATGCGTGAATATTTACATCGAGCTTTGATGTACTTGGGAATATAACGAATTCTGGAAAATAGATTTTTCATAATTTGTGTAACATAATTATAAATTATACCTTAATTCTGCCAAAAAGGATATAACTAGAATCGTATCAATTGTACAATCACGACGTAAGGGTCGTTCTAACTTGAACTTGGACAAGACCTGTGAAATTCAAATTCATACAGATTATATTTTGGTTATAAAATCTGTTTCATTGACCGACTTACAACGATAGGCCAGCACAAAGTTTATTTGATTTTAGTAGCTTATTATTGTAATTTATTGTATTAACCTGAGAGTATATTGTATTTAAATAAAACACTTAAACGGTTTAAAACTTGAAATATATAAGCTAAACTTATTTGAAATTTACTTTAACTACGGCCCGTACATTCCTACAAAAATTAAGAATGTTTTTAAAGGAAAGAAAAATTTATAAAATGCATTAATAAAAAAAGTTTACCAGGCCTAAATGTCAAAGGCGGGCGGGCCTTCGCGCTTTGATGTTGCTCTGCGTGTGCTATGCATCTGTCGAATATTACTCGTATACTCCAATTTCACGAGATGAGTCGAACGCGCGTCATATAAAAGGCTCAACGCTGGATCTGAAAATCATTCCCACTTCATACTTCCATCGAGGACCACAGTGATCTGCATTTTTAGAAAAAAAAATCTAAACATGAAATCGGTGAGTATGTTTACATGTGTCATATCGATATAAGTTCATAATTTCAAAAGAGGTATTAAACTATACTTAATATTAGTAAATTAAAAATTAATCAATCTACAACTTAAAAAAACATAATTTGTAAAACGCGAAAATGTTATTTTTAATTGTTTTATTTAATGTTTACTATTCGCGTAAATCACGGATAGTACTAAACTACAATTAAATTTGATAATTATATTTACATTATGTAGCTTACATTTGTTTAACTAATAGTTTTATACCTTAGTCATATTAACAATAATTTATTTAAAAATGTTTGACACTACGTTGCGCGTCGAACTCTTTTACTACTAGAGTTTAAAATAAATAGTAAAAGATTTATTTACTCATTTTGTGATATAACATTATATTTTTGGAATAAAATTTATTTGGGTCGTGTCCACGTACCTTAATGAAAACTTCGTAAATGTATATGTTTCCATGAAAAAACAAATGATAGCAATTAATAACGGTTTATAAACGTAGGTCATGGAACTAGTCATTGTCACAATGGCGGCTGAAAAACAAATGCAACGTCGCCTTATTGTTAAAATAATTTACCTATAGAAAATCGCTTTTTAAACCGTTAAAAGTTAGAGACGTGTGTATGTATGTTTACTACTCGCGTACAGATAAAATAATATTTAATTTTAACAATTTCCACGAAAATATTCCGTAGTAATACATAAATAGAGTTTTAAACCGAATATAATAAATATTGTTTACTAAAGCTTGTATTTCTTTCCCAGTTCGTGATTCTGTCAGTTCTCGTAGCGCTAGCTTATGGTGCTCCACAGTTCAACTACCCCCAGCAACAATACGTAAACCAGGTTATTCCCATCATAAGGCAAACTCAAGAACTTAACCCTGATGGTTCTTATCAATGGAGGTAAGACTTAGACCATAGTATCTTGTTTTATCTTTCATTAACAATGTTATAAGGCGTTGTTATGTAATCGTTTCTGGCTAGAGTTTTTTAAGTTGTAAAACTTGAAAGTTGTTTTAAATACTGGCAACATAACATAAAGTCTATTGTATTCTTAGGTAACCAAATACTAGTAAAGATGGGAATAAAAAACAACTATTTTCTATAGAGGCAAAAAAACCGTTCAGTAAAACGAACACAAAAAAGAAACTGTCCCATGCTTTATGCAGAACGAGATATTTATTCAGGACTTGCGAATTTCACTTCACAGAAAATAACTTTACATTTGAAATTACCATTTTGAAGTTTTGTTTTTAGTGATGATTGTGTTCTAAACTATTAATTCTTCATTGCGCATGAGTTTTCCCTCTCAAATAGAAAGGGTATTGTTTGGCCACAATTAAAGAAATATAGATCAGAATATCGCGATACAAGGTCCATAAAGTATGGAGGTCAGGAATCATAAATGGACATTCCTCAGGTGTCGTGTATAATAAACCGTTAAATTTATTCGAGTCATCTGCAAGTGTTCTCAGCCAAGCCCTAATTGCGCAACTCAATCTGCGCAGACACCTATGTAACCTGATTTGGCTCTCATATTATGAAATGTCAAAATCAAGTTCTATATTTGTCACTATAAATTTAGTCTGATATTCCAAAATCAATTTCATCAACAAGGTTGTAGGTTAACTGCGACAGAAACCAATTTGTGTATACATTGTGTAACGTAGGATGATAATTTTGACTACTTAAAAAAAACACTTTAACGGTTTAAAACGCGATATATTACTTAAACTTATTTGAAAAATGATTTGTAACTTCGGCCCGACGTTTCGGATGCTTTGCAGCAGCCGTGGTCACGGGGAGACAATCAAATTAAATGAAAACTCATTTTTCAAATAAGTTTAAATAATATATCGCGTTTTAAACCGTTAAAGTGTTTTAGTCAAATGCGTACTACTCGCGTAAACTAACAGTATTTAATTTTGACTACTGTTATATTATTTATATATGCTACGTCCTACCTAATAAATTTTCAAAAGGATATGAGTAAAATTTATAACATGATAAAATTTAAATATCAAAAAAAAATAAAGGCCCACTTTAAATATATGTCTAACTCAAATAAATCATTTTTCACGGCTCAGAGCGCAAATTATATTTTGTATGCAAAGCATCGTAACATAAAAGAAACATTGGTTCATAGTTAAAAATAAGTTACCTTATATTTTGAGCGTTTTCATTGCTAACAAAAGCTTTGCTTATGTTTACTATTCACGTAAACTCTGTAGCCAAATGGCTAAACGTATTACCTATTATTGCGATGAGCGCGAGAGGTCCTGGGTTCGAATCCCAGGAAAACACAAAAAAAGTTTTAGTCGAGCAGGGCACAGAAGTCTGATCAACTACTTGCCCGTTAAAACAACGGATCAGTGAAACGGACACAGAAATGTGTTCGCCCCATGCCCCAGGACGGGGAAACTGGCTTTCACACATTGTTATTATACATTATCTTTATCTATTTTTACGTAAATTTGGTTCATATTTATTTTAAAACAAAAGACAGTTTTCAAGTTTTATGAAATAATAAGCCAATAGATTCATTTACTTACTACAACTCTTTACTACCCTCTCCGTGTACTGTTATCTTACATAATAGATATAATATTATGGAGACTGTCTCATTTGTCATCTCACGTGTGGTCGGCCTTGTAATAATTGAAAATTGTGCATAACTCATGATTTATGCTTAGTTAATCTACGTGGTTAATCATCCATAAATGGCAATAAGTTATAGAATTATTGCTTATAATTTATTTTATAGTTTTTCAGCCCTTTTTCTACAAAGGTCAAATATTAATCATAGTATATTTTATTAGTTATTGCAAAATACTTTAAGTGAGTTGTATCTCCTATTGTATAGAACAATATTTGGGACAAATTTGTACACGAACCCAAATGGCATAAAATTTAGGCATAGGCCAAGACTTCTATGCGAGTGGTACTGAAAAAGACTCAGGAACGTTTCATAGGCAAGGAAAATAATAGTAGCAATCAAAGTGAAATCTGAATAAAGGTATTGTATTAGACGAAACAACAATTCTGAAATTTCAATAGTAATGTCGAATTGTTTCAACACATGTAAAGCATTCTCCGACCGCATTGAGGCAGAAACAAAAGACTCCCAAACATTGACAATGCATCATGATTGTACGAAATATTGGCTAAACCTCTCATTAAATTTGATATTTATCGTTGTGTGTACGCTATTATGTATAGTCAGCTTTAACACACATATATGTAGATTACAATTTACAGTTTTAGTTTACAATAGGGAATGTCTGTAGTTTACGCGAGTAGTACAAATTTAAAACACACGGTTTTAGACGTTTAGAGAGATTTCGATTTTTGAACTGATTTAAATTTCAAATTGTACATATAGCGTGCAAGCAAAGCAAATAAGTAACTTATACATTCGCGTTGTCCATTAAAGAAGGTATTTCAAATGTGCATATTAAGCTAGATGAGAAAGCGCAATTCGGTAAAGGCGTGTAATCATGCAATTGACACTTACTCTCTTGTTAAGCATTGTTAGAATCACTATGTCCTACGACAAAATATTATATATTTAAATTCACACAAGGCTCAAAAAGAATAACAAAGTATGCAAGTTTTTGAAAAATCTTCTCATTTATCTTGTCAAGCGAGTTTCGCATCTTTAGATTGCATTATCTTGAAAGTAGTTGGGATGTGTACTTATGTGGACGACGTGCATAACATAAAAAAGTGTTTTACCTTGAACTCTTGAATCACGTTCAAAATTCGCAGACATCGCGACACCTATAGCTGTGTATATTGTACAATTTATAACCTATGGAGACACTTTAACTAAAATTATAAACAGTCTTTGTTCGTTTGTTTGAACGTCCAAATCTCACTTACTAAGTGAGAACTTGTGGTTAGAATTGAAAAATGCTCTAACCAACTTTAACATTAGTTACAACATTTATCGAGAAAAGCTTCAAGCTATAAAACATTACGTTACAAGATACCCAAAAAATATGTATGAAAGAGTGGTCTTCAAAAATTATTGCAGGACGTTATGTTGTCTATCCTGTAAGACTAACATTGTTTTTACTTTTAAATATACTTTACAGTTATGAAACCGGAAATGGAATAGCTGCGCAAGAGCAAGGCTTTTTGAAGAATCCCGGTATCAAGGATGCGGAAGCTCAAGTTGCCCAGGGATCCTTCAGTTACACTTCCCCCGAGGGCATCCCTATTGCTCTGAACTACATTGCTGATGAGAACGGTATGATTACTTTTTATTGAAAAAGTATTATAAGATATTAGACACGACCCGCTTAAGGTTGTAGGTCAAGTCTTGCCAGAGACATATTTTTTTTTACTTTTCTAAAATATTCAACCAAACACTCTACGAACTTATACCGCCCCTGTAATGAAATGGTTAAATGTATTGCCTAGCATTCCGTTTAGCGTGAGAGGTCCTGGGTCCGAATCCCAGGGAAAGAAAAAATTGTTTCGGTCAGGCAGGGCACAGATAGCAGAGCACGTTTGATAAACTGCTTGACTGTTAAAGAAGGGATCGGTGAAACTAGATGCCCCACGAGGGGTAAAGGGGATTTCACACAAGAACTAATACGCAAAATGTAACTATTTATCGTAAATGTAAGTCAATGAAAAATATATTTAACGCTTCAAAACTATAGCACTGTGACAAAGAAATACCTCAGCTATGTAACATCGCGGCAAGATGCTTTAAGGTTTTGGCTTTGGACATTCAGATATCCACAGGCTGAACAGGCTTTGGATATCTGAACTGAATTTCGATATTCGTACCAACTGTTTAAAATGTTCCGTGCTGTTACAACCATTACTAAATGAGCTATCGTGTCCGTGGATGGCAGATCAAATCCTGCCCATGTCAGTTTTTTTAAATCTAAAATTCCTAATTAAGATTAATTGGGATTTGAGGATAGCGTATGTAACGAGCAGTACATAGCTACCATTAGCCCAATGAATCCGTCAGATTATCTAAAGATTTACATTTATCTTTACAGGTTTCCGCGCCCAGGGTGCTCATTTGCCCACCCCTCCACCAATTCCAGAAGCCATCGCTCGAGCTCTCCAATACATTCAGTCTCAACCCCCCCAACCACAGCCCGCTTTCCAAGGCCCATTCAGGGGTTAAAAATATCCCCCCTTTCCAAGAACGATAAACATGATACTCTTACTTTAAGAACCACTGTGATGTATTTTCTAGAATAAGATATTTACAATATTTACAAATAAATGAGATTTTTTGTATGAAACATATATCTTTTGAAGTCAACCAGGTAATTTTAAGGCGTCCACTGTTAGTGGATGGTACGTCATAATAAAAAGTAACCGAGCTGGAACATAGGGGAGCCAGGAGATATTTATTAATAAAATATTGTCTATAGTTTATGCGAGTAGTACACATTTAAATAAAACACTTTAACGGTTTAAAATGCGATATATTAGTTAAACTTATTGAAAATGATTTTTAACTTCGGCCCCACATTTCGGATGCTTTGCAGTAGCCGTGGTCACGGGGAGGGATTTATTAATATCTCACAAAAAATTGCCATTTTTGTAAAAAGTCCCCGTTTAATATCGAAGTGTTTTTTTTAAACTTTTTAACATTAAATCCAATTTCACAGCTATTTTCAAATATTTTTAGTATAGTAGAGAACAGACAAACAGACTTTTGTTTTATCTACTCTATCTGGTGGGGTTTAAATGAAACACGAATACATTGATTACATCGACGATATCTCTAGCTTAACTGCTCTCAATAGATGGCGTTAGTGTACTTTTTTGGTCTTAATTACGGTTTAACTGCATATTCAACAGCCGTGATACATAAAATAATCCTTTTATTTCTCGTTGTCATAGAAACAGAACAAACAAAAAAAAACTTGATATGTGATAATTTCAACTGCTACTATTGTCCAATATATTATGTAAGTAGCTATCACGATTCTAACAGTGACAGACTAGTACTCTGTCAGTACGCGAAAATCGAATCCGTAATACCGTTTTATTACGGATTCGATTGTCATGTGAAATCATGAACTAAACCAAGGCCAAAACCAAGTGAAAGAATAATAAATAAGTAAAATAAACTTTTTACATCTTATTTTTGGAAATAAATTGACGAATTAACGATGTGTTTTTGCGTAAATCCACGAACTCGTTATTATTAAAATTAAACGTGGCTTTGATATTCATATGTAACGTAATTACACTCAAGTAGCATTCAGCCTCTTCTTGAAAGATGGCGTAAGTAAACAATCTCCTGATATACTGGCTCGAAAAAGACATTATTTTTGTGTTGGATAGACAATTTATTGAAAGGGTTTAAAGTTTAGGACTACAAAAGATCACCCTAAGACTAATATGAAGTGAAGAATGACTAAAAAATAATGAATTAATATGCCGAACAAGGAGAAACATTATTTATCTTTCAGGATTACCGAGTTAGAAAATTGTTCAAAAAAACATAAAATATCAATTCTGTAAAGCTTTTACGGCCATCGTTCAGCATATGACTGCAGCAGACGTGAGCGAGAAGAGTTAACATCTCCTGATGATGCCGTTTGCACGTGATGGCGAAACGTCGAGAACCACTTCTCTCTCACGTCGGCCAAACAACCTGAGAGACAATTATATATCATAAAATATGTATGATTGTGTGATATTTCCTTACATAACAAAAAATTGTACTAGTCAATATGTATATCTTTTAAGATAGACTCGCAAGAACCATTTTTATCGTGATCAATTTTGTTCAAAAAATGCATTAATTTTAGAGTATTATTATGTTAGAGTATTAAAATAATAATAATAATCCCGCAAACAACAAACCAACGTTTATTGGATCAGCTAGTACCTATATAAAGTTTCAGCGATATATTAAGAATTTCAGACATACAAGTAACTTTCAAGTAGATGCCAGTGCTTACTGACATTGTCTTCAAAACTAATATCGTGTAAGATAAAAAAGTTAAAATGAACAAAACTATATTTGTAGCATTTATCTTTATTTTAATTAATGTTATGGTGTCTGCTACCGCAAAAAAGCATAAACATAACACTACAAAAAGCAACGAAAAGGATTTCGTCACTATGTGAGTATTTTATTCCGAGTTCTAATAAAAGGAATATTATTACAGAGGCATAATAGATAATAGGGAGATTTATATTATTATAAAATTAAATGAAGGAATGTATATAATGTAAGCGGCCCTTCTCAAACAAAGTTGGTAGATATTGGTGTAACGCCATCCAAATATATATATATATATATATATATGATGTCGCTAGAGGCAGAGTAGCCTAACTTTATGACTTGACTTATTTATATTTTTATAAATCAAAAAAAATATATTAATCTGCAAGTGCACAGTGACTGAATTATTGTTAACGAAATTTTTAGATAAATGATAGTTAAATTCGTTTTCACCTACATTAATTGGACATTTTTATTTTCCCATTTATTGAAAATTATGTTTTTTGTTATTAGGCCACTCTATCTCTAGCACCCTCATATCTTGTAAGGTTTCATGACTGGGCCTTCCAACTAGTAAACCGCATGTCTTTCTGTTCTCCTCTGGTTCTCAAAATGGCAACGAAAGACTTATACAATGAATTATTAGTGTTCTATTATCTTTTAATTAGTTTCCAAGAAATATGTTGTGAAGGGTTATTTTTCAGGGTGGAAATAAACGGCGTAAAGAAAGTGGAAAAAGGAATTACTGTAAACCCTGGACGCAGTAACGAATACTTAAAAGAGATTGAGGGTTCATATTCATATACCAACTTGTTTGGAGATTATGAAGAAGCAGTATACACCTTTAAAAATCCCACTTTGCACATACAAAAAAAGATAAACGGGAAGCCGAAATGCACGTATTCCGTAAGTATCAATGATATTATAAGGAAAACTATAAGGATAATATTAATATACACAATGATAAGTGGGAATAAATATGGTGTGACAAATATAAACACGGGAAGTCCTAAGATGATATCTTTAATGATGTTAAATCTTCAGTTATTTAGTTAATTAACTAAATAACTGAATTTTACAACGCTATGTTTAAGTTAACTTCGCTAAATTCACATTGATTACGATCATATGTTTAGTAACATTGAGTGTCTTTAGTTAAATAAAACATTTTAACGGTTTAAAACGCGTGGTCACGGCTTCTGCAAAGCATCCGAAACGTCGGGACGAAGTTAAAAATAATTTTCAAACAAGTTTAACTAAAATTAAAAAAAACACTCAAATTTTTTAAAAACCATATCGCGTTTTAAACCATTAAAGTGTTTTTTGAAATGTGTCTCTCGCGTAAACATTTATAAGATTGCTTCGCTAAAATAAAAAAAAATGTGATGTTGCAGCCCATCCTATAATATATCAGACATTATTCTATTATTATATCTCTATCTCTATTATTATCAAACAGGTACTAAAAAATTACCACAATTAATTTGTAATTATTTTTCAGATGAATTTGGAGGATTCAGTAATAACATATGACTCGTTTACTGCGAAGATTGCCTCGCTGTAAATATTTCGTGTAACACGATAATATTAAAGGTGGTTAAATAATATTCGTATTTATTTTCCCATTCATATCTACGACAAACAATTATATATTTTCAAGCCTCTCTATCTCTCTGTGACTCTGACTCTTGCTTACTCACTGACAAAGTTGTTGAACTAAATAAAATAAAAGACTATTTGAAATTTTTATTGATAATTCGATGTCAAACAAACTGTTATGAGTTTTATTTCAAAGAATTAAATTGAACACACAGAAAAAAAATGCCTTACAGCCTACTTTGTTTTGCTCTATGCCAACGCCTGAACATCTCAACTTAAAGACAGATCCCGAATACCGAATTTGAATGTATGAATAAATTCTGAAATATAAATTTAAAAACATGACACTCGAGAAACTTAACCCGGTGTTAAACAGCGTACTGTGAAGTCTTCCCATTGAAGAAGAGAGAAGCGGAGAGTCGTCGCACTGATGAGGTAGGCCTGAAAATAAGGTCCCATTTACTTTTACATACGGAATCCTAATACGTGAACATAAAGGTACGCCTGTAATCATTCAAATAGAATTACCTCATGTCTGAAGCTATGCATTCGTTTTGTAACAGGCGTATGTTTTTGGCAATGTATAAATTTATTATTTATTCTCTTTAGTGTGACTATGATGGTGAAAAATAGTTTTAACCTAAATCAAACGCTTTTTACTTAAAACTTTAAAAACATACTTAGCATTGTATAAACTTAGCTGTAGTGTTACCATTATTATTATAAATCTCCATCTTCAAGGTTGCCTGGAAGAAATCGCTTTTTAGCGATAAGGCCGCCATTTCTCGCGTACATTTTGGATTTTTAAAATAAGTTTTATTTTATAACATTGTCATGACAATAAAGATTTTTTTTGTTTTTGTTTGTTTGTTAGTGAAATATAAATAATTAATTAATTCAACCTATTATGAGGCCGCATAGAGGCAAAGTAGCCTAACTGCATCTACAAGAGCACAATCACGGAAAATTGTTAACATAATTTTTACACACATGATAGTACAAATTCTTATTTCCTTGAAAATCATGTTTTTTGTCAATAGGCCACTTTGCCTCTAGCAGTCTCATATATATTCTATATTGTACTTAAAAACAAGATACACATTTAAATAAAACACTTTAACGGTTATAGGTTATAGACAGTATTTAACAAGATACACGTCAGATGTAATATAAAAAACTCTATTCTTAATCCTAAGTTAATTTCGATAAAATAATCTTAAACGTGTTGAAATATGTCATGGTTAAATTGATGCCTATTAATTTTATAGCCCGAACAAAAAAAGTCTCCATTCCTAGAACAGGATCTTGACTAGAATTGCCAATGTCGTTTAAAAAATACGTTGAACCAAGTAAATATTTTATGGTTGTCGTGCCTCGCGAGGACTGTAGTTAAGCATTGTTTGGTATGGAATGAAGTTCTGGCTTGGTACAGGGGTATATATTGTGGATACATCACCACATCTCATTTAAGGGAACGAAGGACATCTGGTAAATATGGTAAGTATTACAATGCTGAAATACTGACATATTATAACATATTATCTGTAGTTTACGCGAATAGTACACATTTAAATAAAACATTTTAACGGTTTAAAACGCGATATATATTAGCTAAACTTTTTTATAAAAATATTAGCTACGGCCCCACTATTAGGCATGCTGTGCAGCAGTCGTGGGAGACATCCTCTAACTCAACTAATATATATCGCGTTTGAAACCGTTAAAGTGTTCTATTTAATTATTATAACATGATCTTCCGCGTACGGTGATTTTTTCTTCAGATCCTATCGACCAACCAACAAACGGACAAACAGACCAGATAGTGGATAGGCGGATACGAATGTACTATCTGAATTTAATATATATATATAACTTTAATAACAGCTAACTCGACGTTCGTTCCGCCTTTGGGGCAATAAATTTACTGATTATTGTAATATGTCACAGTTATCGACTTTTGACAAAATGTATAATTTTCAACGTAACAAATTTGGTATTCCGTATTAAAATGTGTTTGTTACACTACTTCGAGTAAGTTGTATCCTCCTTGACATTTTATGTTATAGGACAAAATAAGGTCGGTAATCTTATGTCCACCTAGATCTACCGACAAAATTTCATAAAAATCGGTTCAGCCATTGTTGCGTTATAAATGTAACTAAGTTTTTTTATGAGTTTAGTTTTAAAAATATAATCTATACTAATATTATAGACCTGAAGAGTTTGTTTGTTTGTTCATTCAAACGCGTTGTTCAAGATGCCAAACAATTGGTAATTTGAAGAATTCATGCTCTTTAAATTATCTAAAATAATGTCTGGTACTATCTTTTAAGATAACCTCAAACAACGGGACTCGAATGACGTCATAATTTTGACAGCTTTAATTTATATATTTGAAGGATTATTTGCTAAAGAAATTAATACGATGCCTAAACTATTCGAAGCGGACGAAGTCGCGGGCTCAGATAGTTTATTTTGATATTTATTTGCTCCAGGTTAAGAGACGTGAATGTACGCTACGAATCGCAAAAATATTTTTTTTATTTGCAAACATTCCAGCACAAGCATCCGTACTTATTTTATTTTCCGCTATTCTCGATAACGCGACTGTCGTTTGTGACTTGTTACCCTTGACATCTGACATTCGTTACAGGTAAAGGGTATGCGACGCATCTTAGTGGCTTTAACATTTATGTTTCTAATACCTCATTGGGAGACCCTCGGATTAAGCGAGTGGCCGAGGAATCTCATCATCAACACCAATGGTCTAGGACAATACAGCTTCGAGTAAGGGATTCATTTGTTTTCCTTAAATCTGAGAAAATGTTTATATCTCGTCCTTCGAACCAATTTGACGTGAATTAAAAATTTAGAATAAAAAATTGAATTGATTGACGACGATGAGGCATAAAACACGGTACTACACTCAGCTTATGAGGTCTAAGATTCAATTCCCACTGCCAAAAATGTTACTAACATCAGCCCGAAAATTTAAATAAAACTATTTTTAAGTGTTTTATTATTCAAGTTTATAAAACATTTAAAAGCACTAACCTTTTATTGAAATAAAACATTCTTACCGGTTTAAAACGTGCAATTTATTAGTTACCTACTTTTTTACAATCTATTTGAAATACGGCCCGACGTTTCTGATACTTTGCAGCAACCTTGGTTCAGTGGTGACTAGTGTTATACACATCGTTTTAAATTCCAGGTTCCAAACACCAGATGGAACGTATAGAAAAGAAGATGGCGGAATGTTTCCTAACTTGCACGGATTAAATCGTTACGCGGTCCGAGGCGAATACAGTTTCAAGGATCCCGAGGGCTATTTGCATTCCGTGAATTATTTTGCAGATGAGAACGGTTATCAAACGATAAGCGAAGAAGATTATCGTTACAACGATAGGAGGGTAGTTTAACGGATGAATATTTGTATACAACTGAAGAAAAGATTCTTCGGTTAAAACTTAGCGACAGTACAACTACAATATCAATGCAACCAAAAATCAAATCTGTATCTCCATCTATATATTTTTTTGTTATTATATATAGTAAATAGTTTAACCTATATCCGAATTACACTGTATTTAAGCATACAACTACCCACAAATAATTCTGTGTGTTATTTTTATTATTTAAAATTGAAGTTCAGGATAGAAGAAGGTTCTGTATGTAATACGTATAATGTTTTATTCTATTTGTTAAGTTTAAGAATGCCTAAAAGAGATTGCTTATAGCGATAAGACATGTCAATCTGCTAACATTTTTGTTTGTCTGTTTATGTGTGCAAGTATTAAATAAAGAAAACCTATATAACATTAAATCTAACATATTTTATTACCAAGTTCTTACACAATATTATTTGAGAAGTGAAACTGGTTGCAATAGTGATTTGTACATTGTAGTAATGTCCCTTTTTCCGTTACTCGCTTACACTGTATGTACTTAGAGTAAGTGCAAAATGTCTTCACTAAAATTATAAGTAATCACTAGAATTACATTCCGTCCCTAGGTCCTACATTTGCTAATAAAACGCACGCATTGCGTCATATATACTTAGTAAGTATTTTGACACTAATGAATATTCATTTGTTATATACGGTAAGCTTATGTAATTCTGTTTTAGTGAAGACGTCGAATTGAGAAGAATTTTCCCCAGTGAATTTCCACAAGACACGATAAGAAAGAGCGGGGCTGCTGATCCAGAAGTGGGTACTAATTAAAATATTTATGTTTAACAGGTATTAAATTAAAGTCAGTAAGTGGTTCGATAAGACGTTGTGGGTCCAGAGTTCGAATGAAAAAAATTTAATACCAAAAATTCAAACGCATTTAGTTCCGTCAGTGGGATCTATCAAAGTATATATTTTAATTAACTCAGATAAAAGATAGGTTAAAAAAAAATGCTGTGTAAGTGCATTTTGATAAGTAAAGACATGATTTTGAATCTAGAGGGCAAATAATAAATATCTTTATAACAGACTTCTATGTAGAGACTTATATCTTTTAAAAATAAAAATTAAACTACTATTGGAAAATAAAATATTTAAGACGAAACAACAAACAATAGATAATCTAATGCAATTTAAGCACATTGTAAATAGATTATCTTCCTGACCGGAATGTGGAAGGGGAGACCACTGTCGTCCTGTCATACAAATAACACACACATTTTTATTACATGATACTATAACTACAGTATATAATTGATTTTTAGCATTTAAATAAAACGCTTTTACGGTTTAAACCATGATATATTAGTTAAACTTATTTGAAAATGATTTTTAACTTCGCCGGACGCCAGATGCTTTGCAGCAGCCGCGGTCACGAGGAGTTAGTTAAAAATTATTTTCAAATAAGTTTAACTAATATATAGCGTTTTACACCGTTAAAGTGTTTTATTTAAATGTGTACTACTCGCGTAAACTATAGACAGTATTTGATTTTCAGCATTTAGGTCGATATGCTGAAATAAAAAATTACTTCAGAAACCCGAAGTCAGATGTTAATTCACATTTTGAAGAGTTGGCGTGTTCTGATGTGAACGGGAAACAGGTAGACGGGATTAATTGACATATTCACAAAACAGCGGTAGCACAGACGCATAATATTAATGCGATGCCCTAGGTTTGAATCCTGGGCAGTAAATAGTTTTAGTGGTACACCAAAGTTTAATTAAATTAGAAAGTTTTTAAGCTGCGGACTTAAATGTTAACAAAGAACTAATATTTAGTAGATAATAATTCATACGTTGTTATTTATTCAGTTATGAACTATTAAAAAGACTAACGAGTTGTTTCCTATATAATACTTAGTCAACATATTAACAAACAAAACCTTTATAAAAATAATGACATTTATTTTTCTTAATTTAGGTATGCAAAGTAGATTTAGATCGGTATCCACCCGAGGAAGATCAGTATTACCTTTTAACAGCCCAAGAACATCACCTGGACAAGCGTCGAGTGTTCTGCTTCATGCTTCTTTGCTTTACAGAAGATGAACTGGATAGAGTTGTGAGCTCGTTTGATATGTGAAGAATAAATGTATATGAATACTGTCCGTAGTTTCCCCGAGTAACAGATTTAAATAAAACTCTTGTACTTACTATTTAAAACGCGATATATATTACGTAAACTTATTTGGACGGCCCGACGTTGCGGATACTTTGTAGCAGCCCTGGTGGAATACATATCGCGTTTTAAACCGTTGAAGTGTTTTATTGTTAATTTAGTATTCAATGTATATTAGATACTTTTTTTATTAAAGGGCTCACTCGGTGACAGGTGCCAAACTTAAATACATTTTGGACGGGAATCAAACCTACGACAGGTGTTACTAACCTAAATATACCATATGCCTATTAAATTCCAATGTACTTAAAAACCTTATCATGTACAACGCAAATAAGGAAAAAAAAACTTTGCCCGATTCGGAATTCAAATTCTGAACCTCGTGATCTTGTGTACAATTACACCAACGAGACGGTAAAAGTAGTATTAATTAGATAAGCTATAATTAGCGGGTGTGTTAAATTCGATGATCAAATCAGAGTTGACCAATTGGCTAAATAACACTCTTACAATAATTAAACGGTGTAAAACGCGAAATATAAACGTATCATCAACTACTAATCGTGAGTACTTCAAGGGAGGTTTATGATAGTGTTTTTTTAACTTAAATCCCATGTTTTATTTTATATCTATACTTAACCATAAGATTTGGAATAACCCCCTTACAATTGTCTAAATGCGACAACGCGCAACTTTGATCATCGACCTAAAAATTATACTCTGAAGCAACCGATCAGCAATCGAAGACACCTGGTCTCCAACTTTACTACCCAGTAATGTCTGCTTGCCTTAAGTTCAAATGACGCTAGTTGCATAACGCTATGAACAATATCAATGAATAAAACTCTTTCAACGGTTTAAATCGCGAATTATAGTATTTATATATCATATTTTCTAATATTCTTGTATAATTTCTATATTTATATCCTTATTACATTCTTTGGTGGGGAATAAATTTTTTGAATTTTTATCTAGATAACTTATTTCAATCTATGAGCGAAGGTTTTCAGATGATCGCGAGGGTGTAATAAATATAGCCCTGAAACTGAACTGAATACAATACGTAACACAAATAATAAAAAAAATGGTACGAATAGATATAAAAATAATATTTTATTGTGCGAAGCTAACGTTAGTAGTACAAATTTAAATAAAGCACATTTTAAACGGCTTAAAGCGCAAAATGTATTTAGTTAACTTATTTACAATTTGTTTTATCTATGACCCGTCGTTTCAGATGCTTTGCGGCAGCCATCATCCCGCCGTAACGTTATATATTAGAATAATCGATTTTATTACAATCGAATTAAACTTGACCTATCAACGCGCCTTCGGTCCGCTTATGTAATATTGAATACTGTGCGTTATGTCACAAATTCTAAGATATTAGATTAAACATTTGGAGGGTATCGTAATATAGCAGAGTGACCTAAAAAGGCTTTAGGCAACTGGCGACTGGTGTCGGAGGTCACGCGCGAGTCGTCGGTTCAACATACTATGACGTAACGGCCGATTAAAACGAAACTCGATTTGTGGTATATGTTTAGTGGCCTATATTCCTCTTTGTTAATTGTGTAGTTAAAATAAATAAGTAATATATTTCGCGTTTTAAACTGGTAAACACGTAAATAATGTTATGTTGAAGTTCCCTATACACGTACGGCAGGAGCTACGGGAAATAATAAAAATAAGCATTAAATATTTTTAATTTAATAAATTTCACTTATACATACTTTGTAATTTTTTAAATAAATTTTACTCATCTGGTGACAACTCATTCGTTAAATTATCATTTAGCGTCTAATTTAAAGAACATAAGTACTACATTAAAAACTAGTAATAAATTAATTTGTACTTTTAACATAGGTACTAATATTACTTGTAATTCAAGTAATCTTCCTGAATCTTACTCGCTTTAAAATGCATTCCGGGTCAGTTAACAATAGAATAAACTTAGTGTCTAAGTTTAGTCTCTTGAATGCAGCGAGTAAAGTCATACACCATTTCATAAGTGTAACACAACTTAAAAGATGAATATTTCCACACGAGAATTGACATCGTTGAAACCTCTTGCAGCAATCAGTTCTTAATTATCCTTGTTTATAATAATATTTATATAAATTGTTTTTGAAATACATCATCATGAGGTTTACAAATCCCATCAAGAGTCTATTCCGCGCAATCAACCCGGCGCATCTCAAAACACCTTGGCCTTTCCAGAATTATTACAAGTGTAAGGATGCGGTCGGCGCGTTTAGGTCGCGGTCCTCTATAAACGCCGTAGATCGCTTGCGATCAAACGTTATACGGCTTGCTTTAAAAATGTATCTTTTGTTGTTACACACTACCTTTGATATGTGAAACCAGTCGGTAGTATTGAAATTGTGTTTTTTATGATACAGGAAGACAGACAAGCGTGGTGTTAACTTCGAATACCCCGGCCAATATAATATCCAATAAAGGTGCGCCGTTGACGACCTATTTTTACTGTGCACGTTCGGATGTCTTTTTTTACTTTTCCACCTGCGGGCGGTGATCTGTGGGTTAGATGGAGTTTTTATGTTCCTCTGAGTATTTTGTTTATTTTATATTAAGTCTACAGAAGTAAGCTATAATTATTGACATCGCTTCACTAATGTAATACAAAGAAAAAATCTTAAAAATGAAGCTTGTATATATGCAGATATTACATGCAAATAAAGTTTAAACGTACAAAATAAATAATATAGTGAATGAATGTCGTGGTTTGCATATATTTTGTAAAACAGTAAAATGAATTAGTGCAGACGACTTCTTGGTTATTATTGTATGTACTATGTAAATTTTCACAATTTTCAAATTAAATCAAATTGTCAAATTTGAACTAATTTATAAATTACTATGCTGAGATTGCAACGTCATCTTTCTCGTATAACCTGTAGTAATTAGTGCTTATTAAACAGTGCGGCGCAAAGATTGTGTACGCTATGAATAGCGTTAATAGCAGACCACAGCCTTACATACCATGGCGTGTACATTTTTACTTACTGAACTTTATTAATATGTAAATAAGACACGCTTTATGCTCAGTAATAAGGCGAAATCTTCATCAGAAATCCAAAGGCCGCGGTTAAACTGATTGATGTTCCCACAACCTTTAAGAATTTAATATACCATCTGTATGATGAGCGCTCTAATAGGCAGATACTTAGTTAAATTTGTTGAAATTTTAATTCGATTACTTTTATCGCAATAGCTTAAGCCCGTGACCTTAACGAGAATCGTTTGTGAATCAACAAGCGAAGTTATCGCTTTCATTAATGATTGGTAGTTACACGTTACATATTCCACCACAACAATTTGTAGTTTAAACGTAATATTGTTTCTCTATCACCAAACGGCTCAACCGATTTTGATAAAACTTTGTTTCTATTGCATCTAAAATATTGACTACGTTAATCCAGTTTGTAGTTTACGCGAGTAGTACACATTTAAATAAAACACAAAGCAACGAAACGTTGAACCTTGATTAAAATATTTTTCTAGTAAATAGAGTAAGTAAGTTTCTAAATAAGTTTAACTACGATATATATAACGTTTTCGATCGTTATAGTTTTTTATTTAAATACGTTAATCCTGACAACCATCCTTGAAATGAAGGAGAATTCGTAAACTGTGAGCTTGAATAACGGTCCGATAGTAATTTGTGTTATTTAATAATCTTTTTCGGTTTTACATTGATTATTGATATCTTGGGCCGGACTCGAACTAATGATCCGGAACCTACCTTTACTTATGCACACCGAAGAAGACTACTTTTTGCAGCCCTTGTCATCGATATTTTTAATCGAAAATTTATTTTTACTTTAAAGTTCATAATATGCATATCGAAATAATTAAACGCGTTGCTTAGCAATGCGTTTAGCGCTAAAGCGGGTTAGCGGACAGGGCACGTTGGAATCCCGACATGTTTCCGAAAAATGATATTTTTTTAGATCATGTTAGATCTAATGTATTGGCTACCATTACACCAAGGAGCCGTCGACGTGTAGGCAATCTTTCTGAATGTTTAGGTTGAAAAACCTAGAAAAAAAATGTCACGTGTTGGCCTTTTGTTATTTGTACATAGATTGGAAAATAAGAGAGATCGAATAAAATAACTCCGATAGCCATAATAAAAAGTTATTGTACGTTCCGTATTATATTTTTATTGCAGTTTCGATTACATAAGAAATTCGTTCTCATCTGAAACGCGACTTCGTAATCTGCACCACGCACATTTGTTACACTATTACACGTTCATTAACATGAATCAAGTTCTCATGAAAATACAGTAGCTAATTAATAAGACGCTTTGTAAACGAAATGTCTTCCGTATAACGATTACAAACAAAGCATTGAAACATATCGTAAACAAGTCATTCGATGATGTGAAAGTGCCGGCTTGCCTAAGTTCCAAACTAAATAATCATTTATTCTAATTGGTAAATAAAATAAATAAATTATTACATTAAAACAAGACAGTTTAACGGTTTAAAACGCAATATATATTAGTTAAACTTTTTGGAGATCCGTCGCTAAATAACAACTCGGCTCGCCATGTTTGTTATGATAAACCATGTCCCCCGTGACCACGGTTGCTGTAGCTGTAATAACTAAAAATAAAATAAATTCAGTTATAATTAATAGAAGTATAAAACATGACACATTTATTGCCAATGTCTTCGGTATTTTTTTTTTTCAAATTTTATTCCCATTATGGAGTTTAGAAGTTTAAAAGATGTTATGACATTAAAAGAACGATCTAACAATGATCCGATCAGCTCACCCACTAATTAGACACCCACACTGGAGCCTCATGGTAAGTCTCGGGCTCTTAAATCTTTATTAATCATTAGCAAGTATATACATTTAATTGTTTCCAACTTCGTTATCGTAACTATTGTCTTGATAAGTACTGCAAAACTTTTAAATAATTTAACGGTTTAAAACGCGAGATGTATTTGGGATCTTTTCGGTTACATTCTTAGCAAGCATTCGAATTTTAACTAATAAATATCGTGTTTTAAAACGTTAAAGTATTTTTATTTAAAAGTTCTTAAGTGTTTCAGTACTTAGCAAAATCAATAGTTACGATGAGGAAGTTCAAAAAGAATCAAATGTATACCCGTAAATCATACCTCAATCTTGTTATCGGTACAATACAGACAGTATTCGCTTAAAAACTGTTTAGCAATTGATGGTCTGTGACAAACCGTTGTCCGCTATTTTCAATAACGCTTAACTCTAAGCAGTGGTGTAATAAATTACCTTTAGCAATGGTTATTAACATTGACATTTGTAATCCTATTATTATCTAAGCAGACAGGCCATGTATACACACATACAACGAGGTGTTCACATACATCGAAAACAATATTGTACATTCAACGGTTGACAGACGATGTTTTGCTAAACGTAAGAAACAGCCGATTACTGGTCGGCAAAACGTGCTGTTGCAACATGGTTGTAGAAGAAATATCTTGATATATAAGAGGTCCGTTTGTACACGTAACTATCCCATACATTACTCATTCTTTGAAGACGTTAGACGAAGAGACAAAATGAAACTGGTCAGTGCGATTGTCAATAGTGCGGTTGTTATATCGAATGTTAAAACCACAATGAAAGATGATAATATAGACGGGACTCGAACCCGCGACTTATGGTGTAACGTACCAATAACCTGTTGGTAGTGAAGTCCTCGAGTGTCCTCGATTTTTCAGACGATTTTCATATTAATATTAGCTAACGTATTTGTCTATTGCAGTTCGTGATCCTTGCGCTAGTTGCCAGCGTCTCGTGCGCACCTCAAAACCCACAGGATGTCCAGATAGTGAGATATGACTCGGACAATTCTGGATTAGGATCATACAGTTTCGCGTAAGGATATTCCTGATAATTTTCCTTACATCGTATTTTTTTATAATCGAACTTTTTAAGCTGTTATAAACTATTTTTATCGATCACTGTAACATTATTACCAAATGCAAGTTTGAAAGAAATTGACAAAACTAATAATAAAAAAGTAAGTGAATTGAAACAGCTTAAAAGGTAAGGTAATTTAAAAAAACTCTTTAACTTTTTAAAACGCGATTTTTTTTTAATATTTTTTTGTAATTTTTTTTTTTTTTCTCCCCGACGTTTCGGATGCTTAAAAGGTAAGGTAAATTTTACAATAAAAAAACTTTTACCGGTTTAAACGCGTTTTTTTTTTTTTTGGATTTTTTTCCTCTTTTGGTTTGGGGCCCGGGGAGACCCCCCCCCCCCCCAAAAAAATTTAAATTTTATCTTTTAAATTATATTTTATTTAAATGTGTACAATGAAGTAATCTCCTTTTTGTACAGTGTTTTTCCAAAACAAAGATTTCCTTACCTATGGTGTAGTGGAAATTTGTGTTTCACATTTGATTATATTTAATTTTCACAGTAAATGCGCATGATAGCTTATTTAAATTGAAACATTATTTTAAACACATTGATAGGTGCGATGACTTGTAAAACACCCTGAGTTGTACGCAAAGTTACTATTATCTTTGATACGTAATTCTTTGTAAAAAATATAAATAGATATTAATATCTTTCGTTAGACTTCGAAGTCCTAAGAAATAACGAATTTACAGATGGGAACTATCAGACGGCTCGAAGCACGAAGAACAGGGTCAATTGAAGAACCAGGGAACTGAGAACGAAAGCTCCGTAGTTCAAGGACAGTACTCCTGGGTCGGCCCCGATGGCGTTCTTTACACCATCACCTATATCGCCGATGAAAACGGTTTCCAGCCACAAATTCAACAAGGACCTGGTGGTGCTATACCAGCTGGAGTCGTCGCGTCACTCCTCGGTTAAATAATTAACACCTTAGTAAATACCTTGTAAATACTCACGTATCTGTATATAATATTTATATACTGATTATTTCTAAGTTTAATAAAATAAGTAATGAATTGACATTGTGTTTCAATCTTATTTAACGAACAAATAATAATTTACGAAATTATTTTACATTTGACGAGCTCGTTGGTCTAAGTAATCAACGGGTCGTGGGTTTGATCGCCACCGGGTCTAACAAGTCTCTAATTTACAATTTGTCTGTAAAATATTGGAAATCTGGATATTACATGGTGGTTGGAATATCGAAAATTCCGTCCGGCCAACGATCCACCGTCCACAAATGAAAAAGCCTTGAAAACGTTTAATCACGTTTAAGTTTTAGTCTTTGGATATCCAAATATCCATAAGCCAAAATGAGTCGACAGCTATATGGTTAAGGTATTTCACCTCCCCTGAAATAAACCTCATGCTTGTCTAATAATAATGAACTCCTTTATCATTACAACATATATTCAATAATTACTTTTCCTTTATAACTCTGTAGTTTCTGTCTTGTCTCAGATTATATTCCAGCGGTCAGACACAAACCTATACATCTCCTGTCATCAGTGAAAGTCTCTTTCGACCCTAGTCACACCACGTTGTAACAATGCAAGTTAGGAGCATTAGCGAGTACTTTACAAGTATATCAAATCAATTAATTTATTATTAAAAAATAATTAGATCATACAACTTTCATTTAACTTTACTCTACTGACGTACTCAAATAAAACAAATGAATTCTTACAGTAACTATTTGGCATGATCTGGGATACAAACCACAAGAATGTATAAACCACAAGATAGCCTAAGGCCCAAATTCGAAATAAGGTTACAACTACACAATAACATGGACACAAGATTCACAATAATCAGTCCACGCAAGGTTTGGTTCAATAAAGCTCAATAAAACATAAAACAAGATGATAAAAAACATCTTAACTTTTCTATTGCACAGAAACATCTAATCCGAGTGGTTAACCTTCACGTTTTGATTTTACCTATACATAAAAATATGTGGGCAGATACATTGGACATTATAAATAAGTCATCTGTTTTAGATATAAAGCTTGTCATTCTATCGGATAGTTTTATTTTCGGTGAATTATTCAACGACATAAGATCACCTACGATGAAACTGGTTCGTATTTTTTTTTAAATTTAATAGTGTCTCTATGATCTGTTTAAATGAATAATGCGCGAATAAGTTTGTAGTAAAAAATACTTTTTTTTATTAGCACTTAATATGGTTTATTGTTGATCTTTAAACGAATTGAATTGCGTGAATTTAATTGTTTCATAACTACGCTACGATTAACACAGTGTTAATAAAATAACGGTTAAAAACGTGAATTGTACTAGTTAATGTTTTCAAATTATTTTAACTTCAGCCTGAAATTTCATATACTTTGCGGTATTAAAACACTAGGTTCTTCAAAAAACAAATACGACAGGACACCGTGAGTCAGTTCTGTAGAGACCCAGTTAGTTTTTTCAAGTACCAAATACGGGGAAATAGATGCTAGCCATCTATTTCCACATAGTTAGCACTAACGTAACGTAGCAGATTTGGCTTGACATTATTGTACATGATGTGTTACATATAAATCTCGTATAAACTACAGAATCAATTTAAATGTACGTAAATTACATGTGTATGTTTTGAACATCCTAAACAATATAAATTGTGTAGGACCATATAAAAAAAAAATAATAGTGCTCGTATTCACGGACTTTCCATTTATGTTACAGATCATTTTATTGGCTGTGGTGGCTGCTGTCTCGGGAGGGGCTGTCCCAGTTTCCGTTTTACAAAGCTACCCGAGCTCCGTTGAACCTGCGAGAATTTACCAAAACAATAATGGATATGTACAGATCTTACGTTATGACAACGACAACATCGGTTTAGGAAACTACAGATACGCGTAAGTGCAATTCATTGGCTTGTTTAGTAATATTATGTTCAAAATTATAATGACATAGATTAAAAATCGATTAAAAAAAATACGACACGGACAGGACTTGAACCAGCATCCACAAAGTGCCGTGCTTATGCTTTATCTGTTTATAGTGACATGCTTATACATTAATGTAATTATACATTTTTAAGTAATCATTGGTGGTCCATTTTTATTTATCTACTAGATGTGTCAGCGACTATATCCGCGTAGAACAGTAATTTTGGGCATCCAAATTTGTTTTCGCAAGTCTCCCTTTAATTTTTATAAATTTAAGCTATTATTTATTTACTATCCACGACGACGCGACCCGTCGTTCTTGCAAGTTAATCTTAAAAGATAGACATGTCGTACATGCTTTTAGATCATTTAAAGAGGAATCATTCTTTATTACATATTTATTGTGTATCTTGAACATTTTGGCAGCGTATACTTCGGAAAAACGGGGAAATTTATTATCTTTGTGATAAATCATTTCCCCGTTTTTACCACATTTCCTGCCGCTTCCTCGCTCTACTCGCAGTGTGCCTATAACCTTCCTCGAGAAATGCTCTAACCAACATAAAAAGATTTTTCAATTCGAACCAGTAGCTCTTGAAATTAGCGCGTCCAAACATACAAACAAACACTTCAGCTTCACAGATTAGTATAGATTTAGATTTTTTACTATACATATTAGTACTTAGTATTATAAACATTTAAGAACGAGCTTGACTAAGTTACAAAAATAACGTTTATGTCTAAGGTATTACAATATTCCGCTATGTTATAAAATTATTTAACCGTTTAAATAGTTTTTTACTCTATTCACATGTTATATTAACTAATGATCGTGCAGCGTTTTTATATAAGCTAATTATATACGTATCTCTTCTAATTATATATGTGAAACTAATAAATGTGAACCTTGAATTTTCACGTTCCTAAGATTACCACATCGTTTTAGGTACGAACAGTCCGACGGCACCAAACAAGAGCAGCAAGGTGAAATCGTAAACGAAGGTCGTGAAGATGAGAGTATTGCAGTCAGCGGTTCCTTCACTTGGATAGGCCCCAACGGTATCAGATACACCGTGACATACAAAGCTGATCAGAACGGTTACCAGCCCACCATCGAAGAGGGCCCAGGTGCTGTCCCTCCCTCGGTTGTCGCCTCCCTCTTAGGTTAAATTGAATTAAACGAATATTCCGCCTAGTCCATATATGTTATTAAATTTAATTGGTTTATACCTTGTTTTATTTACAAATGAACGTGTTTTATCTTGTTTAAAGTTGCGGCCAATATTACTATTCTTATGATAGAGGACAGAAATATTTGGAGTTCACTTAATGGAAGGTGAAGTATCACAATAAGATGTGATATCAACCTATTTTGGCTTTGGATTCCATGCCCTTAATTTTGTGAAATCATAGTTACTCTGTCTTTTAAAATTAAATCGTTTTAACGTATATAAGTGGATATTATTATCACCAACATAAATTAATGATTTGATTTGATTTTTATGTGTTAAAATTGAGACTAGTTTTAATATAAATCACTAATTAATCATTTAAATAAAACACGTTAACGGTTTCAAACGCAGTATATGTTAGTTAAACTTATTTGAAAATTATTTTAACTACGGTCTGTCGTGTCGGATGCTTTTCACCAGCCGTGGTCACGGTAAACGTCCGGCCGTAGTTAAATTTTTTTTAAATAAGTTTAACTAATATATATCGCGTTTTAAACCGTTAAAGTGTTTTATTAAAAGTGTACATACGTAAAATACGGACAGTATTTAGTTGTAAAGCATTCAAAACGTCTGCCCGTAAATTTAAATCGTTGAAGGAGTCTTGCGAGTAGTAATATTTAAGTCAATTGACAATGAATATGCAGTACTTTTGCATATATTTACATTTTAAGAGTTCTCAAAGTAGCGACTCAGTTGAAACTAATCAAACAAGTTTAAAATAAGAAGCTTTACATATATAACTTGACATTTTAACGATATTTTTAAGTTAAGTACAATTCAAAACCCCGACCAAAAACTCTTCCGGCTATGCAAAACTTTTACAAAACATTCAACTAAGGTTAAAATCCCACATTTGCTATCGTTCTTTTAAAAACTCAATGTCTATCGTAATATTATAAAGCTGCAATGGGATGTTTGAACACACTAATTTTAGGAACAGCTGGTTAGATTTTTTTTTTGTGTTGGATAGACCATTTATCGAGCAAGGCTTTTAGGCAATAAAACATCACACTGAGACCAGAAGGAGCGAAGAAGCAGTGGAAAATTATTCATCTTTTAAGACTTCCTTTGTGTATGCTGAAAACGGTTTAAGGAAACCAGAAATATGTATGAAATAATGGTTAAACCTATTTTTTTGGTTACCTTTTAGGGTTATCAATATTTTTGTACCAAAATAAGGGTTGTATCAACACAATGACGATTACCTATATTGTAATTTTGCAATATAGATATATAACAATAGGTTAACTAGCGCCAGCGGCGATAATAGAAAATATCGATTACAATAATTTAACCTGACGGTTGATGCAATTTGTGACATTGCATTTTTGTTACAACAAATGTCGCATACGTATTGGCGTTATGGGTCACTGCAAAGTAAGTATTTGTGTACATGGTTAGATGAACATTTATTCTATACTAATATATAGTTCAACTATATATTAGTATATTTGTTTGTTTGAACGCGCTAATCCCAGGAACTACTAGTTCTAATTGAAAAAAATATTATTTTATTAATTGATTCATTTATTAAAGGCTTTATACTATAAAACAGATTACGACAAATAGAGCGAAAAAAAATAAAAAATGGTACAAGTTATTCGAAAATATGTATGAAATAATTTTTCTTCTTCAATTTTTCTAAAAACAAGTCTGTGACAGGGTCTGTCAATCGACCCACAAGATTAGTTTTTATGTAAATGAAATTTCGTCGAAATACTTCATATGGTTAAAGAATTTATCTTATAAATACGTAAGAATTATTAAATTGAGATAGCGCCTGAAGCAAGAAACGGCAGCAAGCAAAACTAATTGGGTGTCAGCACATAATCAAAGTCTGTATTCCTAATTTCTATAGGTACGTTGAAAAGCTCTTTTATGACGGAAGATAAACGAGTACCAACACTTCACGCTTATTTAAGTAGACGGCGATTCGTGACCCGGAATAAGTTTCCTACCACCCATTTAAATTCTAGACGGGACTTGATTTGTAACAATTATATGATGATTTAGGTTATTTACCAATAGAAATACATTGGTGACATAGTTCTAACAAAAAATTAAATAAGTAATTATAAGTAAGTAAGTAAGTAAACCACTTTAAAGGTTTAAAACACGATATATTTTTTTAAATTTTTTTTAAATTTTTTTTTCCCCCCCCCCCCCACGAAGAGCCGTGGTCACGGAAAGGGCGAATTTTTTTTTTTTTTTTTGTCTTGATAGGCTCTTAGCCTAATGGTAGAATTTTATGACTTATAATCTACAGGTCGTGGGTTCGACCCCCAGCAGGTCCAACATGTTTTTAATTTAAAAATCGAAAATAAATTGAAAAAATTTTCGACTCTGGCAGGACTTCGGGCGTTCCGTGCAGTTGTTATACCAATTGAGCTACCGGAGTCCTATATTGTGCCTTCATGTGCAATAAGCCGTAAGCCTAATAGCGTTTCGGTTTCGGTCTGTATATTTCCGAATATCCAAAGCCAAAAAAGGACGACAGCGCATCTTGTTGTGAACCCCTGCTAGTCTGTCCTCCGCTATCATTGAAAAAAAAAACACAAAATTCTAGCAATAACATTGCTGACGTCATTACTCTATCAACTTTACATCGGACATAAAAGTATTTTATCCAGAATAAATCCATCAGTGATACAGTATGGCTACGAGAATTTTAAAAACAATAATCAAATACTGTCTGCAGTTAACCAGTAATACCTTTAAATGAAACGGTTTAAAACGCGATATATATTTGTTAAAATTATTTGAACATCTTTTTTTACTACGGTCCGACGTTTTGGATGCTTTGCACGGGGAGACTAAAGATGAAGAGACACTCTCCACCTTTAGAATTCCCTTGACCACGGCTGCTGCAAAGCATTCGAAACAGGTCGTAGATAGTAAGAATAATTTATAAATAAGTTCATTAATACATTTTGCATTTTAGACCGTTAAATGTTTTTTTTTATTTAAATCTAGTTTGTTTTTGTCTATACTACATACTGTCTATAGTATACGCGAGTAGTACACATTTAAATAAAACACTTTAACGGTTTAAAACGCGATATATTAGTTAAGCTTATTTGAAAATGATTTTTAACTAGTATATCGCGTTTTAAACCGTTAAAGTGTTTTATTTAAACTTTAATAACTATTTAGATGTAATCATAGGGGTTAAAAACAATACCAATTATATTTAAATTATATACCTGCATTGGCTTAAAAGACGGCAGTATAATATTTAATCGCATCGAAAACATAAATTTGAAATAAAATCCCATACTGTTGGTCGTTGGATAACAAAAAAATAATATATAAATAGGTGCCAAGTCCAATAGTCAGCCCTAAAATTTATTTATTACAATAGTTAAGTAAATTTTTTTTTCTAATAACTTAGGATAATTTATTTATTATTTATTGTCTGCCCTGACTAGTTCTCTCATATGAATTCTTACGTTCGATGGCTAATTTCTACCAGCGATTTAAAATTTCCGGAATAATAAAATATGAACCGACAAGTAACAGGTTATCTTAGTAGGCTTTAATATAATTCGTTAAGAAGTTTTTTAATATTCGAAAAAATAATAATATTTAATAATTTATGTAAATTAGTCTTCGAGTTCGAGGCGATCAAAAGTGGGCTCAAATAGTTCGAGTAAAGTATATACATTTCAATAAAACACTTTAACGGCTTAAAACGCGATATATTAGTTAAGTCACGGCTGCTGCAAAGCATCTGAAACGTCGGGCCGAAGTTAAAAATCATTTTGAAATATGTTTAACTAATATATCGCGTTTCAAACCGTTAAAGTGTTTTATTTAAATGTGTACTACTCGCGTAAACATTAGACAGCATTTAAAGTGTATATATGCAACTACTGCTGAGACTATGAAGTTATTGTTAAAAGGACCCGAAACTTATGATTATACATGTTTTTTGTTAATACTGTCAGTAGTTTACGTGAGTAGTACCTTAAACGGTTTAACATCACTACTGTATTAGTTATATTTATTTACACGTTTTAGTTACTACGGCCCGACGTTCGTAATAGTTAAATAACTTACAAATAAGTTTAAGTAACATTTATAATCGTCTATGCATCGTTTAAGTATCAGCTTTAATTTTTAAAATTGAGGAGGCTTTTCGGAAAAATAAATAATATGGCGCCCAAAATAACTATTCCACGCGTACAAAGTCGTGGGCACAGCTAGTACATAATACAGATTAGACAGTCTTTACACTTAGTTTTACTATATGAAACCTGTGTAAGACTTAGAAGCAAAATACCTGAAGGTGGTTATTGCCTGTGCAGTTTATGTAGGTAAGTTAAAAACATTTCTAATATATAACTAACACTAATATATTTTTCTGTTAAGCTAAAAAAATAACTATATTAAATTAATACCAACTACTTATGTTCAGTTTTTAATTTTACGACTGCTAATATTACAAAACGCCTTTTGTCAGTACCGAACGAATTCACTCGCCGTATCGCAAAAAGCTAACTATTAAAAAAAAACCCCTAACAAATTTTTTTTTATTCCGACTCATATGTTTTCAGTTTTAAAGGCTTTATTAAATGTGTATAACTCAGGTTATCTAAAAAAAAAGAAAAAATAATTGCACCTTTGTGTTTATTATCCGAATATATGTAGGGATCCAAAATATTTCGACATCGTTCATCTTTTTGTGCTTATTTGTATTCACACCTCATTTTCTTTTCGACTGTACCTTAATTAAGGTTATAATGAAAGAAAATTATCATTTTAAATGTTTTTACTTTTCGTATTTTAATCAGGCTATTAATTTTCCACTGCTGGTCAGAGGTCTCTGCTTTCATATATGAAAACTATTAATACATACCATATGATTAATATATGTAAGAGATATGACTCAGCACGCTACATTAGTTCTTCTTGCTTAAAATTATGAAAATAATTCTTATTTTGTGATTATAAATGTGTGGTAGGAATATTGAAATTCTGCCCGGGTGAAAAAGCCGTGACTTTTAATCGCGTTTCGGTTACAGTCTGTGGATTTCCGAACATCCAAAGCCAAAGTACACTGACAGCGCATCTTGTTGTGATGTATATGGGTCCGGTATATAACCTTCCATCAAGTAAAACGCATGCCTATTTGTCCTCCTTTATCGTTAAAAAAGCCTACATAACTTGCTCTTCCAAGTATGAAAGTGATAGAATCGCATGAAAATGAAACTTATAAACTGCTGGCTAATACTTAAATTGTTCTAATATATTTTCCAAATCCCCGAAGTTAAGTATTAAGATTTAATTCATGGTTCCTTCTGGTCATCGTTTGATTGATTATATTGCCGATGAAGACTAAACGAACACAATGTCGTAATCGCAAAGGTTCCCCGCATAATTACATTCAATCAAGCAAATCCATAATTATCGCGTCTTCAAACTATGCAAATTTAACTATTGCAAAATCCCATCATATCTGTCCTCAAACTATCTACGGCTTACCTTCGCTGTAGGAGCGGTCACCTATACAAAACATTATAACGAGTCACATGTACGTCTAATAATACCGCATGTTGTAATAGAATTTACAGAAAAGTATATAACAAGCGTTAAGCTCAACGAAGTATACACATCGCAAGTGAGGACGATACAGTCAAAGCTCAATTATGAAATTGGTTAGTTTAAATCGTGGTGAATAAAATTCAAAGGGTTCTATGTTAACAAAAATCACACGATAAATCTGAACAAAAAGAAGATCGTACAGTGTCCGTGAAGTGTTTTAATTGTGTTTATGGGATTTCAGTTGGTGGTACTCAGTTTAGTGGCGTTAGTCGCGGCGGCGCCGAAGCCCCAAGCTCCCCGCCAAGCTGCTGCAGCTAACCCACAGGAAGTGCAAATCTTGAAGCTCGAAACAGAGAACGACGGACTCGGCTCGTACAGATATGCGTAGGTGTTCAGTTAGAAAACTTCTTGTCATTTTGTGTATTAATGTTTGTTGTTTTTAAAGAACCTATATATGTGCGTTGGAAACATACATATGCCACGTAAAAGTTAAGTTTTACATAGTTTCCGGTAATATAATTGCAGAGAGTAACTGTTATTTAGTTTAATTTCGTACAAGCCAAAAGTTCACATTCATAATTGTAAGTATATGAGGAAACAAAAGGCTTACAGCTTTAGCACAGTGTGCTAATTGCCTTCTGAGTTAGAGATATAATATTTTTATATAATATTATATATTATCTCTGTTTATCTCAATGCAAGTCAAATACAATTTTAACAAATAAGAAAAACGTTCTAACTCTACTGTATTATATATATAATAATTTGTATTTGTTTAAATAAAGCACTTTAACGGTTTTAAACGAAAAATATAGTAGTTAAATTTATTTCTAATTGAATTATTTTAACTACGGCCCGACGTGCGACATTCGTTGCAGGAGTCGTGGTCAAGGGGATCGTCCGAAACGTCGGGCCTTAGTTAAAATAATTTTCAATCAAGTTTAACTCTTATATTTCGCGTTAAACCGTTAATATGGTTTTATTTAAATTTGTTCTACTCGCGTAAACTACAGACAGTTTTTAAAAACTTGTACTTGTATTTATAACTAGAATATATTTCTTTTATAGTTTGGAACAAAGCGATGGAACGAAGAAGGAGGAGCAAGGAGAACTGAAAAACGCTGGAACTGACGATGAAGCTATCTCCGTGCGGGGTTCATACAGCTGGGTTGGTCTAGACGGTGTCACATACACGGTTACATATGTGGCTGATGAGAACGGCTTCCAACCGACCCTAGAACAAGGTCCCGGTGGAGTACTTTCCCCCGCCCTTATAGCCTCACTCACCGGCTAATACCACTGACTAGAGTAATAAATTAAAGTGTTATTTTTACATAATATTTCTTTCATTTTTATAATAATACTTACCTACTAAAAGTATCAATAAATATATGGCAATTTTTTGCCCACGAGTTAAGACCAGGCATCTGAGATTCTTAGGCATTAGAAGGTTAGGTCTAACAAAACATTACAAAGAAATATAACATAATTTTCCATGCGTGGGAAATAATTAGGTCGTTGTTAAACAATATTATACTTTTGAAAACTTTAATATTTTTCATATATTATTGCATACATGATTGCACTATATAAATTTATTATAAACTGAATAAAAAAATACGACTCGGACTGGACTTGAACAGGCATTCAAAACATTTCGTGCCGTTGCTCTAACCAATTCTGCTACTGAGTCATCGTCGAATTCTTTGATCATAAATTGTTGTAGATAAAAACAAAAGAAGATAACATGCAATTACAAATTACTTCAGTAATTCGACATAAAAAGCTGTCAAGTTTTTGTTTGCTGTGTGTAGCTGGGTGCCGTAGATTTCGAATAGAGTATATCAACTACTAGCTGTGTCAGCGACTTCGTCCGCATAGAATAGTTATTTTGGGCAACCACATTTTTTTGCAAACCCCCTCTTCATGTTTACAAATTTAAGTTGTTATCCACGACATCGGTGGCGTCCACCGCTCGCGCTCGGGTCCAATTGTTCTTGCAAGTTAATCATCATAATCATGCTTTAAAACATATTTTTGGTCCATTGAACCGTTTCGCAGTGAAGTCATCGGAAACCCACAGAGATGTATAATGAAACGTCGGGAGCGGTTTAAACAAACCGTGAATAAAGATAAAACAAAAAGGACAAAGACATTTTTGTTTCTATTTTTAATGTGTATGACCAGAATTGTCATAGTTGTGGAAAATTGAAATACATTTTTCTGTTCTTAGCGCACGGAACACCAAAACATGAGGTCAGTTTATAATAATGACTATTGGTTCTTGGAAGTAATCTCAAGAATATCTACCTGCATAGTACTCAGTGGTGTTTAAGGAAGGCAGGATCGTGTTTGTTCTCATAAAACAATCACTAGTAGACGAAATAAGTTTATAATAAAAGTGTATAAATAAAAGTTTTGTTAAAATGGATAATCGAATGAGTGTAAGTCATAAACTATTAGAAACAAGTATTAGATTTGACAATACTTTTTATTCGTAATTGCGTTGTATATGTAAAAAATATAAACTTGAAAATGGTACTTTTTAATATTATAATTAGTTAACTAGCCCGAAAAACCAACTTTTTTCTAGGTTTCCATAATTCTACTTATGGTGCATGTATCTGGTATCTTGGCCAGAAATCGACCCTACATTCCCAGCTTTTTCGAAAGTATTCCACTGGTACCTACAGGGCGTCGCCACTTTGACATTTTTAATGAAAATGCACAAAAAATATTGTAAGTAAATTAGGCTATGTAATACAACACTTCCTTATTCGGAAATTTTAACATAAATTGAAATTTCAAGGGCCAATCTAGGTTTAAAAAGAGAACATACAACTCATGTTCCATATGAAACGAACGTTATAACTTATAACGTACTTAACAAACGAATAAATACCCAAGATGAATTAAATAGCAAAGTTGCGATAGAAGATGTACAGGAAAACAATATTGACGATTCATCAAAGACAACTGTGGAGGATGTGTTCTCTGAAACGACTACTGAGACAGACGCAAGCACTACTTTTATCTCGACAGCAGATCAGGTAAGAGACAATCCTTATTTTAACTGATTTATCAATTTTGATATGAATCGGACGCTTACATACAGACTAGTGCTCATGGACGTACTTTTGGGAGAGGGGCCAGAAAAATTTTGACGTGGTCTTGTTTACGTTTCTGCAATACCCTAGACCTTTTTGGTAGGCTTGCAATACGGTTTTTTTTTAAATTCTAAACATGAGTAAAAAGATTCCGCTTTTAAGACCCAGGGGGTCTTTCTTTCTCTTGACCCCGAGGGCCAAGGCCGTGCTTGTGTCACACAAAAGTTTCATAGCACATTTACTTTCATTTATGCCTAGCTATACAGCTCGATGTTTAAGCACATAAGCGCTTTGTGCGAGAGGTCTTGGTTTAAAACGGATTCATTAAATTACAATACAAAGTTAAGTACGGGCATGGAACAGCATGTTAATTAATTGGCTATGATAACCGCATCGCATGTAAGGCTAACGGGATATTACTAAGTAGTTTTTACATACTTCTTACTCTTTCTCGGGAACCATGTTGACAGAGGTCGGATTGTAGCTATAAGCTAAGCAACTGCCGCCTTCATAATCTATTATGATTACTTTACATTTTTTTCAGACAACCACTGAAAATTATGAAGGAGGTATAGAAGAAAGGATTTCTCTTCCAGCGCAAGCCGTCGCTTCACTACTCGGTTGAAAGGGCGATAATTAATAACACTCGGATTTCAACATAAATATCAATAATAATATATTTGAACATAACAAATAATAAAAGCTTTATTGCACTCATGCCCATTGTTACTTCCTTAAGTTTGATCTTGAAATCACTTCCTTAATTAATCAAGTTAAAAAAGTTCTTTGAAATATAGAAGCTTTATGAAATCAATATTATTCAATTCTTCGTTATAATTCATTTACACATTCCAATTGCTTTTTTTATTGCACATAATAGCTCTAAAATAATTTTTATTAAACACTTTAACTTTAACACTATAACTTTAACTTTAACTTTGCATCAGCCGGGGTCCCGGGGGGGGGTTCCCCCCCCCCCCCCCCCCCCCCCCCCCCCCCCCCCCGCCCCCCGGGGGTTTTTTTTTTTTTTTTTTTTTTTTTTTATAAAAAACCCCCCCGTTTTAAACCGTTAAAGTGTTTTATTTAAATGTGTCTACTCGCGTAACTATAGACACCATTTTTTATTGTCAGAGTTTTCTTATGCAAAAATCGATCAACAAATGTTTCTTAGTTTCTATTTATGTATTTTTTTTGCTACATGCTCCTACAGCTGTCAGATATACGTCAGCGATGATCAGTAGGCTGTACATACATAATTATGATATAGGTTTATTTTCCGGTTTACAGAATACAAAAACGTAAGGTCTTTAGAATAATTTGCTCTTCGCTTTAATCTTATACATACAAGGATAGAGATCATTAGTGTTTCGCGTTTAAAAAGGTTAAAAAAATCACAGTGAGGACCATCTAAACACGACACAGATATTAAATATGGGAAGAATGCGGATTTACGTAAGTAAAATAAATAATAAGCCCTTTAGATTTCTTAAGGTAGGAATGAAATATTCAATTTATAAATTATACCTTTTAACAAAACACAGCACTATTAAAACTTCTATTATTTTTAGATTAATTTGATATTCTTCATAGCATGTCTAACATGCGCAATAGGTAGACCTGAAGTACAGAGCAGAGTTCCAGACTCGCCGTCAAGGATTTTTGGAGATGAGTCAGATTCTACGACACCTATCGAGATAAGTAACTTCAGTGAACATGTGCAAATAATGTAAGTAGACAGCAATATGAATATACGATCTAAAACAATTCAATGAATTTAAACATAATATCAAAAATGATATGATCCGAGAAAATAATTTGTTTAAGAAAAATGTAAGGAAAACAAATTACAGATTTTTTCTTGGCCTTTAATTGAGCATCTAAATATCTACACATATTGCAAATTTTAGACATATGTGCCTAACAGAGAAATATTTATCACAATTTTTCCGGGACTTTTAACCAAGATTGAGTATCTCCACTTAATTAAGAGGTTGTTAGGCATATTTCAGCAGAACCATATAGACTTAAAATATAATTAAAGTCTATTTCAGGCCACAAATTGAAAATGATATGAATCCTAAAGAAGAGAAATCAGAAACTACTAGTGATGAAACTACGACTGAAGATGCGACATCAAATTATGATGAAAATTTTATTGATGATTCCTCTGTTACAACACTGGAGGATGGCTTCACTGAGTCTACTACTGAAAATACTATCATTACTTTTGATTACACTACAGATGCTTGGGTATGTAACGTGATACAATTGTAATAAATGTCAATAGATAATTATATTGCGTTGAAAAACAATTGTAGGTTAATATGTAATAGTCAAATATTTAGTGACGACTATTAACTTTTATAGAGAACTACAGAAGAATACAACGATGTAATCCTGCAGTCGGTTCCACTACCAGCTGGAGCCCTTGCCTCTCTACTTGGATGAATTATTACTTTTATTGCTGAACACATATGCCACTTTATGTAATTTCATATTTGTAGTAAGTATATTCATTAAAATACTACTCAATATACGAAGAAATTAACAAGAATTGTTTCTTTACTCGCCCTTTTTTCGTTTATCTCAAAAGAATAACTTATTTTAATATACGGTTTGGAGGATAAACCTAGGGTTAAAATTTTTTGCGTATGTCATAATTTATAAAGTTGGTTTATTTTCCTGTTTACGGAACACCAAAACGTGAGGTCGCTTCATAAAAATAATAATTCGCTGTAGAGCACCAATCGAGCTTCAAATACCTGCATGGATAGTCATCATTGGTGTTTCTTGTAGGATTCGCGTTGCGATTCGCGTTAGCAGGAGGTTCGATTGAATTTCATGGCAGTATGGCAACCACACAATTTCGGGTAAGTCTTATATATATATTAAATACTAATTTATGACAGCGTTCAAAATAACGCTTTTTATATATCGCTTTATTTTTTACTTAGCAACTGTTACACAATTTCAGGTGATTATGTTCTATTTTATGGCGTGTTTAATATGCACCATAGCTAAACCAACTGTAGAGAGCACCGAGTTATACGATACTTCTCTGTCGGATTTCGTGTCGAGTCAAGATACCGTTAACAAAATGAACAAGATATAATGTGAGTAAATTACCGTTGTGCTTATTTGTAATTGTTAGGAAAAATTAATTCTTTTTTAGAGGACAACTTTCAGGAGAAATTCCTAATGAAAATCCCGAAAAAAACAAAAGGTATGAATAAAGAAATAGAAGAAAAATCAGAAACCAGTGAACAAGAAAAGGTGGATCAGGATGTAATTGAACTAAATACAGAAGATAACTTTATTAGTGATTATTTTCCAACAACTGGAGGAGATTACTTTGCGGAGACTACAACTGAACAAGCCACGGACACCACCATTGTTTCAACAACAGATATTGGGGTATGTAATTTTTTTAGTAAGCACTGTCGACATTAAAGTAAAAACAATAGAAAAATGGAAAAATAAATCGTTGCCAGGGAAGCTTCATAATATATATCCTACAGCAAATTTCCATGATTACATTTGCAATGCTATAGAACCTTCGAAGTGCGATAGATGGATTTTATTAACGTTACCTTTTTTACAGACAACTACTGAAGACTATGACGATGAAGATGATGATTTCTCACTTTCAGGAAATGCCATTGCGTCGCTTCTGGGATAGGATTTTTCAAATTAATTACAAAAAAAATGGAACCGTCTATTTTATCCCTTTTTTTATATCACTCAAAATAAATTAATATTAATTAATTATTAAAAATTGATGAGTCGTGTAACTGTTTTTTTTATCTTATCAGAATTGAATACATTAGAAATGTTACCGGAACCATATTAATTGTTAGGGTCTAGGAGCGACGGCAAAACTCTTAAAAAAAAAATTGATTTATTATTGACTACTCGTTAACAACAATCTATCCACAGCCACGTAGACCATAGAGCAAATGATTGTTTTTAGTTTCAGGTTTTTTTTCAATGTCTGTTAGGTATGATTTAAATATGTTCACGTAATTTTAGGTTTTTTCTTAGAAACTGTTGATAATTATATTATAAACTTCATAACAAAAACAATATAACCTTTTTACAGACAACTACGGATGATTATGACGATCAGACAGAACAAGCACTTCCGCCAGAAACTATTGCTTCGCTCCTGGGATGAAAGATATATTTTATATTTATAATTTTTCATTGCTTCTTCTGAAAGATATGCCCTGGAACATGACAAATATACGAAACCATGATTTGTTATTTATTAATATATTTTTTTTATAAAGTAAATACATCCATGACATTATTTAATGATTTCATTGAAAAAGTGTGTGGAATCAAAACTCTGATTTATCGACGATCAGATTTCAAAACAACTAAAACATATACGCTAACAACCTATATGAGATAATATAAAATGTAGATACTCTCGAATAGAGTGGGTTCGAATCCCGTGAAAAGTCCCGTTTAATCAATTATTTGTGTTTAAATGATCACGCTATGTGCAACATTTCATTTGTATGCTTATTAGTTGATTTGGGCATCAAAATATCAACAAACCCATCATTCATATTTCTTAACACACTATTATCGATTTTACTATTGCATATATGAAACGACTGGCATTCTAAATGTTAGTTAATTCTGTGGAAAACCTGTTGAAGTCTACATCGGTCACGCTTATCGCTTGTTATTTTAAACGTGGTCGCGACTTTTAACACTAAATTATAGTAAACAGCATTAGAAATACTAACGGGGAACAAAACTTGTATTGTTTCTCCAATGATATAAATAGAATAGATAGATATCATTAGTCTAATAATTAGTTATCAGTTAAAAAAACAGTTCGTACTCTCTTCAAGTATATATCTCAACTATCTCTCCTCATTCATGTATTTGGAGGGACTCAATGGTCAAATAAATTTTCATGAGTTAATATTTCAAGCATCATTGCTTTAAAATATATTAGATACAAAACGAACATTATATGGGTGAATGGCATATCAAACTTTCGTTATAATAAATATTTAACCAACTTTATTTCGACACGTTTCATGACAAATTTCCGTATCAAGAAAGACCCTGAAAAATTCAGCAACATCGTCCAGAGTATACATGTAGTATGAGTTCAATAATTTCTCATCATCGTCAAAATCTTGGTATAGGAGACTCGTTGTCTTCTTCGGATACTTTGCTCTTAGTATCATATCACTATTTACGATAAGAACAGTCTTGCGTTTCGCTTTTAATAAGTATACGCTTGCATTAGTATTGGGATTTGTACTGCAACACAAGGACACATAAATTGATTAAATAAAAACATTTTAAATCAAAGTCCAGCTATTGTAAAGTATTCGAAATGTTGGGTCGTGCTTACATCAAGTAATATGTATTTCTTTTATATTATTTGAAACAGTTAAACGTGTTTTATTTACCGAATTAATATAGCTCAAACGACACTGTACCGAAAATTATGCAATTTTCAATCACAAATTATTATTTTATTGCTACTTTATTAATACTTATAACTAAAGATATATAATGAACCCACCCTTTAGCTGTAAAGCTTTTCTCTTCTACATGGTTGGTTGAATTAAGCATTTCAGAATTACACAAGCTTATAAAAAATAAAATGAGCTGAAACATTTATCATTATTTATAAGCCTTATTTGTTATAATAATATAAAAGAGACAGATCTAATTGCAATAATTATATCTTAAATTATTTATTGTCACGGTTTAGGTTGTTCGATATAACAACCGACTTAAAATTCTAAATAAAGAACAAAACTTACAAGCCCACTCGTAATCTTCAACATGTTTGTCCTGCAACCAATTAAATTCCTAATCGATCTTTTACTAATAATTTCCGTTAATTAAGCCAAGCAACCATGAATGAGGTTTTATTGCGAATCGTAAAACTTGAAAATCTTCACAAACGATAATTCAAAATGCATATTTCATAAATTAGGTTTATGATCATTGAAACCGCATCACAGAGTTAAGAAATAAAGATGTCAATACTATATCATATTTAACATCATAAGAGCAATTTTAACTTTATTTGCTTTTGATAAGTATTTTTTTAAAGGCGTTGTTATAAATGTCTCGATGTGTGTACTTTATCAACATCAAGGCTTATTTTAATGTTTACTAAAAACCATTCAAATTTGTAGTTTAGTCTTTTAAATCAAAAATATAAATGGTTTATCAGTTTGATCATCCGTTATCGCTGCTGAATATTTGAATGCTAATAATGCCAAGACCTGAATTTGAATACCAGGCTAACAATACAATCTTTTGTTTGAAACGAACACTGAAATGTGTCTGTCCCATGCTCCCAAGGAGATTTCACTTTTTTACCTGTGTTCTACCTGTCTCTGTTTCTTGACACTAATTTAGTGAAACATAAATAGACTGCTACAACAATAACGAATTGTCAAAGCCCGCCCATCCTTAGTTTTGAATATATCCAAAAGCAAGATGTTTCTTTATAGAATATATGTTGACATTCCAACAACAGCGTTTTAAATTGATATTAAAACAAATTAATACTTTAAATAAAACACTTTAACTTTAAAACGCGATATATTAGTTAAACTTATTTAGAAATGATTTTTAACTTCGGCCCGACGTTTCGGATGCTTTGCAGCAGCCGTGGTCACGGGGAGACGGTCTCTCTGACCAAGTTTCACTAATATATCGCGTTTTAAACCGTTAAAGTGTTTTATTTAAATTGTACTACTCCAAACTAGACAGTATTAAATAATATATTTAAAAATAGCTTTTATTTAATAATAATTCTTATCAAAATCAATTTAAGGTTTAAATATTTTAGTATGACTTCGTTGATTCAATTGGTATTAACCGCCATCATAAACAAATTACTTCACTTACCTCAAAGTCATTAGTTCTTTACGAGCAGAAATCAATGTTTATTGTACTTACGTGTTTGTTTGACTCTCTAAAGGGTCCAAAAATATGTGCTATTATGGTTTTTTAATTTTTAACTGAAAATAATATCAACTCACAAAAAAATCTAAAACTAAAATGCGAAACACGTTTACCTGTTCCCGTGGGACATTTACGGAAGACTTTTTTAGCAAATATAAAAAAAATTTCAATACCCTGTGTGGCCGAAAGATAATTGTTTCCCCGCCCCCCGCAATTTGAATTCAAAACCTCTCTCTAATTTCACACATTATGACAAAATGCATAAAATTAAGTCATGGCGGTAGTTATTTTTAATCTAATGTAAAATCACTTCATTTTCTTGCTTGATACAATAAAAATAATTTTTCCTTCATTGTATTTTTTTCAAATACAGATAGTTTATTTGAAAATTATTTTATCTACGGCCCGACGTTTCTGATATTTTGCAGTACTTGTGATCACGGGGGTCACGGGCTAATATGTATTGTATTTTAAACCGTTACAGTGTTTTATTTTAATGTACTACTCGCGTAAACTACAGATAGTATTCAAATACACTCTTAAAACCTCTTTAAAGCAACTATTGCCGATATATATATACATATTTAATTTTAGTGTATTAGAATCGTTTTATTTTCTGAAACAAAACAATGATAGTTGCAAACTTACAAGTCAATAAAAAGACTATATGTAATTATTTAGATAACATTAGTAACAGGACTTTTACCGTTTTGATGCTTTTTCTTTACAGAAATAGTCAACACGTCGAGCTTAACAAATTGTTTCCAATTAAATCTTCTGTAAATAAATTGCGTGACCGAACATTTTTGGGTCAATTTGGTCTGAACTAATTGCTGTTAGTGGTGTCAGACGAAAAAATAAAATGTTATTTTCTTTTCTTCTAATCAAAATACATAGACATATACTGTGTGTAGTTTACTCGAGTAGTACATTAAAATAAAACTCTTAAACGTTTAAAACACGAAATATATTTTTTATTGATACTTTATAATAAATTTATGTAGCAAGCAACCGTGGTAACGGGTTGACCACGTGAGCCGTTAAAGTTTTTTTTTATACATGAAAAGATTTCAAGTTCATTCGTGAATTATTGGGTAATTTAAAACAGAGCATGACATTTACAATATTATGAAGTGTAAACATTCCACAAATAACAAATAAATAAACTACCTACAGCTGCGGTTCACGATAGTTTTTATTTAAGATAACGTGTGAACTCAGCTTATTAACAAATTACTATAATCTATGTACATATATTTGTAAATTTTCATAATTATGTTTTGGTATGTTAAAGGAATTGCGAAATTTAATGAAAATGGTTAATGCGCATGTTTTTGTTGGAGTATTCGAGTAACCCTGTAAGTGACAATGAAATTAAGATTATTATCGAAATGCAAGTTTTTACCATTCAACTATGCCAAGCTAGTAAGTAAAAACCTAATTTAATATAACAATATCTTTATTCAATTTAAGCAAGTTTTTTCCGTGAATTCCGTCCATTACGGATAAGGAACTTCATTACGGATTCATATCATACTCATATTTATATACATATATAGGTTTGACAAAATTATAAATTAGAAGCATCTTAAAAAAATGATTCCCTCTTAACAATTAACAATAGAAAGGTTTTTATTGAGTTTAAATTCGCTTTAGACTCCTGAGAAGAAAGGACAAATGTATTAACTATCAACAACATAGGTATCTATATCTTAAAATGAAACTACTCACTTAAAGTCACAAAAGTCCGATCAACTACTTGCTTATATGTCCCCCGTGACCCTGAAAGATCGAAAGTCGGGCGAGTTAAAATCATTTTCAAATAAGTTAACTAATATATCGCTTTTAAACCGTTAAAGTGTTTTATTTAAATACTTGCTTATATGTATATAAAACCGATCTGTGTTCGGACACAGAAATATGTTCGCTCTGCCCCACGTGATTTTACAATGAAACTACATTTGTAATTACAAATCCCTGGGAATACAGCGACTTGTTTCAGTACAGCACAAAAATGAAATCTATACTAATATATAAACCTGAAGAGCTTGCTGTGTTTGTTTGTTTGAATGCGCTGATCTCTGGAACTACTTACGTTAGGGAATTTATCGAGATAAGCTTTAAACGATAAAACATCGCGCTGCAACTAATAAGAAAGACAGCAGGAAATGTGAAAAAACGGGGATTATTAATTCACCTGTGTGGGTTTCCGGTGCGATGCGAAAACCGTTCAAAGTTTTGTGTGAAAGAATTTAAATGATCTAAGAAAATGATCTAAAATAATCTTTTAAGATTAATTTGAAGGAACGACGAGACGGGACCGGCGTCGTGGATAACCGCTTAAATTTACAAATATGAGAAGGGTTGCAAATACAAAATTTTGATGCACAAAATACGGATTTCCTCCGCGTAGAATTTTTATTCTGGGCTGACAAAAATGGTCACTTTTATGTTTAAGACAAACATAATATATAAAAATCCGTATAAAATAATATTCACATATTCGTGCCAATTGTACGGTGTCCACTGCTGGACATAGGCCTCCCCCATAACTTCCAGTACGACCGGTTGTTCGCTAGTTGAATCCAGCGTTTCTCTGCTACCTTGACCAGGTCGGCGGTCCACCTGGTAGGAGGTCGTCCAGATTCCCGACGTCCGGCACGTGGTCTTCACTCCAGAACCTTTTTGTCCCAACGTCAAGTCTACGAGCGATGTGCCCCGCCAATTGCCACTTCAGCTTGCTAATTCGATGACAGTGACTTTATTTCTCCTACGGATCTCCTCTTTTTGATTCGATCACGCAGGGTAACTCCGAGAATAGCCCTTTCCATCGCACGCTGAGCGACCTATACACATATTGTACAATAAATAACAATATAAAAAGCAAAGTTTAAGTTGCATTTTAGAGAACCACTTACTGAAAGCTTATCTCTACACTGCATAATAATAATTCTCCATCTAAATGCATATTAAATGTTTGCAGTGGCTTCTTTCGAGCCTTGTTTGGAAACATTTAGATTCGTTTGATAACAGGATTATGTGAGCTACTAAAATATAACTGTTTCAGTTAACTCGAAAGATAATACTTATTTTAATAATGTTGGTGTAAACATTGAAATTTCATTACAAATATCTGAGGAACACGTTTGAATACATCTCATTAATTTATTCAATAAATGACTCATGCGCACTTTTTTACGCAAAAATATTAATAAGGTAATCTTTGCATATTTGTGTAATATATATTATTAGTTATTGGTATACGTCCTCTGTTTCAAATGGTTCACTTTACAGTTAAGTATACTTCAAGCTAAGGATAAATACGAATGGTTTAAAGAGAAAGTAGATATAAAAGGTTGCAGTCATTATACAATTATTCTTTATATGAAACGTTTGATAGGTTTTCCAAAACACGTAAACATCCGGAACCATTCAGGCATTGTCGTTTATAGTCATAAAACGTGTGTGATTTACCTGATAAAAATTACGTAGGTGTAAATAATAGTGTTCTATTAATAGAAGGGAACAATAGGATATAACAAGATATAGCTACCCGTCAAACAATGTATCATATAGTTAACATAGTTATGTGTGCTGAATACTATATCTTAGTTATATGTACTCAATACTGTAATATATTTATTTATTGTATTACACTTAATAAAAAAAACATGAATAAAAACTTATGAACTAGCTTATAAATAAAGGGCGGCATTATCGCTAAACATAATATAATTTCTCGAATAAACGATAAATCCCTTTAAAAAAAAATTAAATAACTTTTTTCAGGATTCGAACCAAGGAAGCCATACTTGATTAGCCTAGGAGGTGTTAAAGCAAGCAATAAACAACCATACCAGTAAGTCCAGTCTGTGCCTAGCTGACTTAAACTATTTATTATATTTGCCCGGGATTCAAACCCTGTATCCCTCAATCAAAGGCAAATGGTATTCTTATTTAACTGGTCGTTAACTCAATAGTAAAGCCGTACCTTTAGTATAAATAGCTTTTAAATTATGACGTTTGCTGATGAATATTTTTCTTTGGTTCATAACTCGTCTTGCGTTATCATATTTCTAAAAACTTAATCAACGAAGTATTTGTAGTGATATCACCCCGCAACGCGTTATGGGCGAAAACCAATAAATATTTTGCAGGTATGTCTTGCAATGACGTAAGCTAGTGGTAAATCCTCTGTCCATTCAAGTGTCGATCTTGTTACCTAATGGACAGCTAAAATTGGCTCAGTCTGCTGCAAACAGACTATAGCGCGCGCGGCCAGCACACACCGGGTTCTCCGTATATAAGGAGATCTTGCGAAACCGTTAGCACATTCGGACCACACTTTGTCCAGGAAATCACCTGCTCTCGTCTTCGTCAGCATGACGCAAATGGCTCTGGTAATTAAATTGTGTAAAGTGTAGAAGTGTTCGAAATTCAAAATTTAAACTTTTGCGTTCCCGCGATGTCGCAAATACAGTGTTTATGTTTAATTGCGCACAGTAAATGCCATTAGTATGCAATGTGACCTTTCCTTCAATACGCTTGTACGAATCTTACTAGTGACGAAGAGAGTTCTAAAACTCATATTATATTTAAACTCATAAATAAAACTCTTTAACGGTTTAAAACGCGATATATATCTGTTAAATTCATTTAAACATTTTTTTTAAACTACGGCCCGACGTTTCGACTGCTTGGCAGCAGCCGTGGTCATGGGAAGACTACAGATGAAGAGACCATGCATCCAAAACGTCGGGCCGTGGTTAAAAATAATTTTTAAAAGGCTTAACTAATATTTATCGCGTTTTAAACCGTTAAAGTGTTTTATTTTAATGCGTATTACTCGCATAAACTACAGATAGTATATATAAACTTACCTAAAATGATAGTTTAGTTGAAATGTCACCATTTGTTTTGCTTTATTTTGTCGTTCTTATAAAATGTAATAAAAGACCGCACCTCGATGGTATTTTCTTTTTTTATAGAAATACCTTTACGCAAAAACAGGATGTTTATTGCCATATTAGTATTATATATTTCTATGACAATTTCAGATTGTTGGACTGTGTCTGCTCGCTTTGGCACAATGCAGTCCGTACATCGCCAACCAAGCAAGACCGCAAGTTCTTCAGTATGAAATGGAAACAGCTGATATGCCTAACTCTTACAAGTTTCAGTAAGTTTTTATTTATTTAGTTTGAGAACTTTATTATGTGGGTTGAAGAAATTGAACGACAACGAGCAGTATAACGACGCAACACTGTGAATGGCGGTTCAAGTCCCGACAGTGCCACCTAATTTTTCAAACTAAAGAGATGTTTAAGTATTAATACTATTTGTAGTTTGCGCGAGTAATGCTTATTTAAATAAAACACTTATAACGGTTTAAAACACGATATGTAGTAATTAATTTATTTTAATTCACTGGTAATACGGCACGGCGTTTCGGATGCTTTACAGCCCTGGTCCCAGGGAGTCCTTTAAGTCTTAGTTAAAATCAACTGTAAATAAGTCAAAAAATTCGTTTTGCGTTTCAACCGCTAATAGTGTTTTAATGTCTAAGCATTTTATTGCAAAAATTCCAAATTTAAAATAATTTAAGCGCCGTCAAATTTGGTGAACCGGCCTTTGTTGGCCATAACACGTGATAGATATCGCTAGGACACTATTTATAAACAAAACAGACGCAAGCGGACGCCTTGAACTTGGCCTTCAATGACAAACCTGATTATGACAATTCAGAATATTGCAAATCCGTCATTAGTCAGAAATGTTATAGACTGTATTCTAACATTATAAAAATGTTATTACAATAAATAAGAGACGGCATACTTTTTTATTATACCACATCTGCTTTTAAATAACATACACTCGTAGTTATGTACGAAATCGCGGTTTTCACTAGCTCTAAATACTTCTGTCTGTAGTTTACACGTGTAGTACACATTTAAATAAAACACTTTAACGGTTTAAAACGCGAAACATTACTTAAACTTATTCGAAATTGATTTTAACTACGACCCGACGCTTCGGATGCCTTGCAGCAGGCGTGCAACGAGAAGTCTCCCTCTTGGCTGCTGCAAAGCATCCGAAGCGTCTTCTGCTTTTATTTTTTTTATTAGAGAATCCAAAAAAAGTAATTGATAAATATCGTACAGATAACCAAATGTTTTATGTGTCATCAATTTAAACGACGACAAAAACATCCACAAACAAATTACAAGAAAAATAGGACGTAACGTTAAAACGAGAATAAAATTTTAAAGCGCTTTTAATTAAATCCTGTTTAAATAATTGTATATTTATTTTTGTACTAAACGCATTATAATTGCGTCCCCTTAATTGAATGTGTCTCTATAAGACCATTAATTTGTTCACACGCGATCCTTCGTTTTTTATTGAAATATCTAGATCCGGGGTCCTGACTCACATATTATAATTCGTTCTTTGACCCGTGTTAAATAAGAAGCATTTTTGGGAATATCTTAATTAAAATAAGATATATATACCTTCAGTTGTACATTCCGAGAACACAATCTCACCTATAATCAGATCATTTACTTGTTCTTAAGCATTCGCGAAAGAGAATTTTTGTAACATAGTTTATTCAAATAAAATAAAGGAAACTTCATAAGATCTTTAGGCGATAGGTTCGTTTAAAAATTCACTTATTATCAAACGAGTAAACATTGTATAGAACCATAAATCATGACTTTTTCAACCATTTTTAAAATATTGTCAGTTTGCAATAATTAAAAGATATTTATGGAGTATTAGGTTATCGATCGTCGTACATATTTATTGTTTTTAATTCGAATTTATATTTTAAATGTTTTTATGATAAAACATGCTTCAAAAGTATGTCTGTAGTTTAAAAGAACACAGTGAAAACCCGTATATAATTTTTTTTCAACTATAATGAGTTGTCTTTGATGCTTTCCTGCGACCGCGGTCGGGTCGGGATAGGGTCATTAAACGAAACCGTTAAAAGTGTTTTATTTAAATATGCTACGTAAGTTTAAATAATCTGTCTTCGTATATAGGTTTTCGTGTATGTGTCATTAATATTGACAGTGTTTACATGAGTCATAAACGGAGGGCTGTCAACTCTACTATAACAATATGTAGTATTTTACTATATTTCGGGTCGTTGTTCTACATATTGCTGAAAAATAATATATATTCAATACGTAACTATATCCAACAAATCCTTTTTTTAAATTTCTTTGTCTTTGAGTATGGATAAATAATTTTCGCAAAGTACTATATTTTTCTATGTGTATGAGGAAATGTTGGCAACCCTACATAAGGGATACTGTGTACGTCTTAGCGTGATAAAACTTAATATGTTAAGTCTACACAATGTTGGACTTGCAGTATTATAGCCTCTACGTGATCTGGGCTTCGGGGAAAGTCAAGGTACCAATAGCGGCGAAAGTAATTTTATGTTTTGAAGAAGCGTGTGCCAGTTAAGAAGAAATCGGCCGTGTAGTCCTTTGACATTATAAGACATTGACTCATAATAATCGGATACTTTAGTGTAAACAAGGGAGAAAATTAATCAATTTCCATCTTCATACAACGCTAAGGTGAGTTATATACCTAGTGTTATCAGGGCCAATAAAGTGCGAAAAATATTAAAGTGTTTTAAAATTACGAATTAATTGAATTCACACAACGACACACTAGCTCAATTATTAGAGTTACGGTTGGTATACCGTTCGACGTGGGTTCAAATCCTAACTACATTATCAATTTTACTATCATTTCAAATACTTCTTTAATCCTCTTACTCTTCGACTTAAATAAATGATCAATTTAGTAATAAGTAGACTAGAACATAACAAATGATCTAAATGACTAAGAACAAAAAAACGTATAATGAGAAGATTAAAAAAATACGAAATAATTAAATTCACACAACGACACATTAGCTCAATTATTAGAGTTACGGTTGGTATACCGTTCGACGTGGGTTCAAATGCTGACTACATTATCAATTTTACTATCATTTCAAATACTTCTTTAATCCTCTTAATCTTCAACTCAAATAAATGATCAATTTGTAATAAGTAGACTAGAACATAACAAACGATCTAAATGACTAAGAACAAAAAAACGTATAATGGGAGGATTAAAAAAATAAACAATTTTATTATAAAAATTTCCTAAAAACATCAAGCTCAACTTGTGCTTAGCACGGCTTGCTAAGAACTGATTTTCGGTCTGTCCTTTATCAGATAACAAGTAATACAACGAATCTTTGTATGAAGAATAGAGTACAAAGATAAATTGTAAAAACATGCGTGCCCTCGGGTTGACATCCTAAGAAAATACGATTACTTGTAACAGTTGGGTCAGAATATCCTGAATTCAGAAGATTTAATCACACTGTCTGTAAACAAAAGTCGTTAACAGACAATCAGACAATGAAACGTGTATATGTATGTCTAACATAAGGAAAACACAATTAGTTTTCAATCACAGAAACGCCTGAACAATATATTATTGTTTTCATTTCTAGTTAAAATTCAACTCATTACAAAGCTGTATCTCCAAACTTTATTTTGTTTGTTTAACAAAAGAGTTAATTGTACGTTTAACCGTTACTTATGATAAGAAGAATGTTAAACGACGTGCTTCGCATTCTGAAAGCATAATTAGGAAGAAAGTGTACCAGAAACACAATGTTTTGCTCACACGAGCCTTCTTTCGAGTCAAACTTTTGAAATGTCATATCCTTAAATGGTTAATGAATCTACGGCGCGCGACAATGATGCTATAAAAAGTAGAACGACTGCGGAGGGCGTAAAAAGCTGACGCCCGAGCTATGTTCGTTTGTTTAATGCCCTTTTACAGAGATTATTGTAAAATACACCTCCGTTTCAGATGATTATGTAACCGTATAGGAGCTATCAGTACCCTATTTTGTGTGTATGGGTTTAAAAGTGGGTTTGCAACAGGGTTTTTTTAACGGTGTGATACATTGTAATCAAGGCTTTAGGTTCATGAAAAGAGGCAATAAAATGTAACAAAACCGCGAAAACCACAATGCACAAATATTAAATGCCAACCTATTTAGTAAAAAAATATACCTTTACAAACATACTAGCTGCAATCAAGTAAGACTGCTTAAATGTTGTTTTAATGTATTGGAAAAAGTTTACTTTTCACAGCCTACAACCAACTAGCATAATGTCTATTTTGTTAAGCGAAATGTTGAATAATACTTCTGGTCACAGAGTTCTGATCAAGTATTTGAGAACAAGTCATTTCTTTGTCTAGCTGATTCCGATAGAAGAGGATAGACATTGGAATGGCATGGGATACTTGATAGATGATTGATAGAGACAATGCGCTGTCGTACGTCGAACTTGGCTTTGGATTAGCGATATAAACGGCATAAAGTCAACGCGTGATTAACGATTTTTTCATGGGTGGACGGTGGTTGGTGTGGTAATTCGATATTCCTATTATCCATTTAATATCCAGATTTGCTGACGTAGTTCAACAAGTTAAAACATCTAAGTTAATTAAAAACATGATAGACCCTGTGGGGATTGGGGGACCAACAAACCCGTCAGACTACGTACGGTTATTATTTTACGGTTTAAATAAAACACTTTAACGGTTTAAAACGCGATATATTAGTTAAACCTATTTTGGAAATGCCTTTTAACCCGGGCCCCGGGTTCGGGGGTTTTTTCGCCGCCCGGGTTCCGGGGGAAAACCGAATATCGCGTTAAACCTTAAAGAAAGTTAAAATGTGTACCGCGACTGCCACAAAGTACCTACCATTATGGAACACACCCAATAAAACATTTACCGTGACATCAAAACTGTGGTATTGGTAAACAGTTGAAGATTTGAATAAGTAACCAATTCAATATGCATAAAACGCTTCACCTTGATGCAACTTTTTTGAATGGACGCCAATTATTTAGTTATCTAGCACCACCTTACGCAATTGGCGACAGATGTATATTCTCTCTAAGCCCATAATAATAATAAAGGCAGTATCTGTAGTTTAAGCGAGCAGTACACATTTAAATAAAATTACGTTAACGGTTTAAAACGCGATATATATTAGTTAAAATGATATTTTAGCAAGGCCCGACGTCTTGGATACTTTGCAATCTCCATGTGACCACGACTGCTGCAAAGGATCCTAAAATATGTTTGTTTTCTTACTCCAAATAAGTTTAACTAATATATATTGCGTTTAGAACCGTTAAACTGTTTAAAAATAAATGTAGTGTTTAAAATATATCATACAAATAAACATTATGACGCACCATCGTTAATAATTATTTTATTGATAACGTCGGGGAAAACTAGTAATATAATAGCTTAGCTTCTAGACATTATACAAGTATCTACCTACTTATAATAAATCACCACATACTCCCCACTAATAACTACTATCAAAATATTCGTATTAATATCGTTTGTTTTAATTTTAAAATGTTTTTGTATTTTTTTATATAAACGTGAGCTGTAAATAATAAGTCGGATCGTAATTTAAATTAACTTAAATTGTTCGCGTTTTACACAGTTAAAAGTTATTTTCCTTGTAAAATTAAGATAATACCTTAAATTTTATGTGTTTATGCAACAAACATGGAAATCGTTAGACTTATAGCTATTATAGTCAACTTAAAAAAAAATATTCACAATTAACTTCTATAACATTTCTGATCTAATATTATATATTATGTCATATGCCATACTTGGTATGTTTTGAAAATCCGGGAAATATTATGTGATAATTGGGTATTAAGATTTGAGTCATTCGCATCACCAAAACAGGACAGTATATGTATACATAAGCCTTAAGTAGACATAGGTGCTAATTGATATTTGTTTCATTTCAGTTATGACGCAAGCGATGGGTCGTCCCGGACCGAACACGGCGCCATCTTGAATCCCGGAACGAAAGACTCGGCGCTCGACGTCGCAGGCGCAGTTAGATGGTACGACGACAAAGGACACCTCTACCAAATGACGTACAAAGCGGGGAAAAGAGGCTATCGAACGATAATTAAGAAATTATCGTAGGACCACGGAATACTATTGCGTTATAAGACTGGAAATTATTTTTATTTATTACTTTCCTAAACTATTTATTTAAGTAAATTATTGTTATTCGGTTTGTAATAAACATTAGACTAAAGGTTATCTTTTTCTTCTCATACTTTTTTTACTAGCTTGCCCTCGCGACCTTGTCTAGGTACAACGTTGTGTTTTAGCAGTACCTACATAGATGAAGTAAGGTTAATATTTTATTAAGTTGAGGTAAAAACATTTTGTATCTTCACAAGAAATCGAGGTCGTTTTTAAAGGATACATTGTTCTTATTGTATTTTTAACAAATTACTAAAATTAATATATATTTCATTTTGAGATGTTCTATGTATAAAATCACTTTTACCTACACTAAAGTTATACCACATATTATAAATGTGTTATTTCATACAGATTTCTCTGATTATTAGTCAGAGGTAATACAATACTTAAGTGGTCGACCTTATGTTGTTTAAGTTTAAGCTTAAATACTTTAGAAGCCTCTAAATTGTTAACATATTTTAACTCTATCATTTCAGAATTATTACTTTTAGAATTAACAATACGCTGATGTAGAGAAATCTTGAACTAAAGTAATGGTTCATCGAAGGAGAATCTCTTTTGGGCCAAAGTTAAGATATTTAAAATTTAGTTTTTTGTTGACTTTATAAAACAGTATATTTTATATATATTGATGTGAAAACACCCCGGGTAAGAGGTTCTAAATTCTTTTTTTAAAAACTACTTACTTGTTCTTCCCACGTCCCTTCCCACCTCCTTAGTCATTTCTTTCTCTTTTTACCTTCACATTTGGTTGCCCGAAAATTAATTGTTTTCGCGATAAGGTCGGCTTTTATTTATAAACTAGTTCTAAGTTTTTTTTTATTAACCATCACCATGTACCTTCCTTGTCTTGTAAATAATAAAGTTATATAAATAAATAAATAAAAAATGTATTTGCTGCTGACTCATCGTATATTTGAAGAAGAGTGTCACAATTTGCGTTATAACTTGTCATATAACCTTCTCCAATTGTCACCAAAATACCATATTGCCAAATGCTGTTTCAGCAAACAAAGAAACTATTTAAGAAGAATATTGTTTATTGAAATAATCATTCAGTCAGTCCAACTGTGTTCAGTATTCAGAAGTCATCATGATGTTCGTAAGTTTAATATAATAATTTTAAAATCTTTTCAAATCAATTCCAAACGTAATAAAACTTTTTTTTCAGAAATTATTCTTATTTTCCTGCTTAATAGTTGTAGCAATTGCAGAAAAATCAGAAGAAAAAGTGGAAATACTTACTGAGAGAACATTTGTTAGACAAAATGGATATGATTTTGAGTAAGTGATGTTTAAAAATGGAGAACTATAGAAAGAGGAGTAAATCGTGTAAAAAAAGAATTGCCTGTAGTTTACGCAAATAGTACAGATTTAAACAAAAAAAACTTTTAACGGTTTAAACGCTAAATGAATTAGTTAATTTTAACGCAGGTTAATTAAGTTTAAACCGCTAATGTTTTTTTAAGTTAACATAATATATAAAATATGAAAATAAATCCTTAACTTTTTATATACTTAATTTATTGACATTATCTATTTAATCTTTTTGACACTGTAACGTAGAATCTACCGATGAATAAAACTTCTTTAACGGGTTTAAACAGGAATATTAGTAGCAATAATAGTATTCCCGATACTATTATTTCTACTATTAATATATATTATATAATATTGTAATATTATGAATACTATCTATTTCTCCTTAGTTGGTGACGAATTAAATAAGATAATATAACTAAAATATAATTCTGGTATCAATTGATTTATTTAGGTAATTCGATCTTTGTCTTGTTTTCAGATTCAAAACAAGTGACGGCGCCTCCCGAAAGGAACAAGCTGAGCTGATAACAGTTGGTGATCATCAAGGTATCGGTGTGAGAGGTTCATATTCATATACAGCACCAGATGGACAACAGTACGAGGTCACTTACACCGCTGATGACAAAGGGTACAGACCAGAAATTCGCATTATATCTGGAGGTTCCCAATAAATTATATAAATAATATTACTTTTGTTTTTTTTTTAATATGTAGACTTCAAGTTTGACAATCCTATCTAGTTTTAATACTACTGAAAAGTGTAATCCTATCTCCGGCACTACTGGTTCGTGTTGAAAATTTTGTGTTACTTAGAGCATTTATCCAGAAAGGCTATAAGCTTATTATCATCGCGATATGACTAATAGGAGCAAAGAAACAGTGGAAAATGTGAAAAAAAGCGGTGAAAGTTATTCATCTTTGAGGGTTTCCAATCCGTACGCTGCGAAAATGGTTCAAGATACCCAAAATTTATTTATTAAAATTGTTTCCCTTTAAACAATCTAAAAAGTCCGCGACGCTATATGTCTTTATCTTTAAGACTTCAAGCTCAATGACGCGACCGACGTCTGCAGTGTTAAATTCAAAGTTTTGATGTCCAAATAACTTCTACGCAGACGAAGTCGCTGACACAGCTAGTTTACAATACGTAGAGAATGAGACATATTATTATTTTTTAAGAAAGAAACGATTTTACAAGAAAGCACAAAAATGTGTTATGTATCTTGGTCCCTGGCGAATTGAACCAAAAATTCTCATCAGTCCCTTAAAGCAATTTACAATTATTTTGTACGGTATGACTATATTATAATCAATATTTATATATGTTAACTTAACCATACTCCTTCCCTATATATATTTGTGCGTATTAATTTCGTAAACAGTATATTTTGGAATCATGTAAAGCTGCTGTAATTCTTAGGGAAAATGTCTAAAAGTAATAAATAAATTTATTGTGCATTTGAATTCTCATGTTCAAAAATTTCTATTATGTCATTCATTTACTGGTTTTTTTATCTAATCAGGTTTTTTTACACAATACATTGACCCCATTCGTATCATAATATACATCACTAACACAGTCATGAATTTTAGGATAAAGATCACTTATTTTTATAGCTATAAACACTCTATTTTAGATTTAATTTAAAATTAATGTCTATTCAATAATGCATACTAATATTAATGTTTATATTTGAATTCAATATTCTTCTAAACGTAAAAAATCAACAACATTCTGTAATTCAAAGTTTTACAATATACTAGTACTGTTGACGTTGACGAAAACAAAATAGCAATAATTAAAAAAATAAATACCTTCTTCAAAGATGCAGAAAGACTTGTTTCGACAATGACAATGAAAAATACCTAATTACCCTTGTAAACATAAGGTTATTTTAAAATTAAATAAATATTTATAAAGAGCGTAGATAAGATCTTCACTTCATAATAAAACCGATAAAAATAAATGTGCAAACCTTTGCGAGACCATCACACAAGCAATATCAAGGTAATTATTAATTAAGTCCAAGAAGAAGAAGAAGAATTTTACTTTACAATGTTATTTTTATTTCATAAATCGATGTAATTTATAAATTAAAATTGTAAAAATTGAAAAATACCTTGTAAGTTAAATCAATAGAAAACTGGATTCAAATTATGTAAGTTAGAAGAAATAGACGTTAAATTAGATAACGGCTTGAATTTCGTAGCTTTATCTAAAATATTAAGGCGAATTAAGGTAACATATTAAAGCTGCTTTATTGTATTAACCCATATAAAACGCAAACTACGCCTCACGTCAAGGGACGCAATATAGCATCAATGTTATTTTATTTGATCTATACTAGTATTTTTTTTATTATAGAGCTGAAGAGTATGTACGTGCTAATCTCATAAATTATTTTATATGTGACGATTAGGATTGAAGAAACATCTTTAAGGAATGTGCTTTGCGAAAATGAAGCAAGAAACCAAAAAATATGTAAGAAATAATGATTTCTCTTTAAGTGGACAAAAAAAAGGTTCCTTGACAGTATCTCTATCTTATAAGATTCAAGAACGACAGGACGACGGACGATGTCATGGGTAACAGCTATAGTTTATAAAGCTGAAATAGTTGTTACAAAAAAAAATATGCCAAGTTTTAAAAATGATCATTGTCTTACATTGCTTAGCGAACGGAAGAATATCGACAAAAAAAAATCATACGTGCCAGAAAGATAGGATAGTGATTAGTTAAACGGCCACAGAACTGTGTCTGTTATAAGGAAATTTAAAGATTTATGCTGACGAACCAAAGCTGTGTGTGAATACATAATCAATTTATGGGTTTTTTATTTAGTCTTATCTATTAGGGTGCAAACAAAAAAGACTCCAGTAGACCTTAAGAACTATATTAATGAACACAATAACAAATCAATCGTACTTAAATGTACAGGTACTTTACATCTTCATATTAATTAGTGGTTACATGTCACATATTTGGTTTAAGCGATGTGTTTCGATGTCATTGACTTAAGACTGTGGGTTGGCGGCATCTTCACCAGTGTGTTCAGTGGGCTGGTAGCCATTTTTGTCAGCGATGAAGGACACTGATATATGCTGACCGTCAGGCGCGACGTACTTGTAGCTTCCCTTGATGGAAAGGCCTTGCTGGTCAGTGTCATTCTTGTATTCACCTTGCTCTTGCCTTGATGTTCCGTCGCTTGTTTCGAACCTGAAACCAGATTTAGAATGTGTAATGGGTTCGTTCAACTTTAGTAGTATATACGTTATAAATAAGGGTGATTACAAAAGCGGCGTTGACGAACGTTATCCATCGCTGCACTAATTTTTTTTTTTTTTTTTTTTTTTTTTACAATTTAAAAAAAAAACTTTAGCACGGTATCGTTATTAGTTATATATAACTAATATATCCCTTTTTTAACCCTTTTCCCAAGTGTTTTTTTAAATACATCAAGACACAAAGCTTTTTTATTTTATAGGTAAACTTATAAAATATAAATGGACGTACATGTTATATATTATGTGTGCCGAATATTATACCGAAGGTCGATTAGAAAATATTTTTTTTAAATTAATATTCAACCAAAATCAATACTAAATGTACAAATCTTGTGGAAAAAAGCACGTATTAGTTTGATAACTTATTTCAACTATTTTATACGATATTTCCGATTGAAGTAAAAGCTTAAACATTAGACACATTTAGAATCTTAAAAAAATACGTCCCGAATTATGTGTTATGTGACAATAAAAGCTATTGCAAAAAGGCTCAAATATAGATCTATGCTCAGTATGTAAACAAACTTAACTAGTCGCCTATTAAATAGAAGCGAAATAAAAAATGTTTCATTAATTTTGGAGCTAAAATAATACGTACCTCCTAGTGATTTTAATTTTCGATTTAATTACATTTTAATACATTTCAAATTTAATTCTGTAGTATACGCGAGTAGAACACATTAAAATACAATAAAATATATTTGTACAAAAAAATACTTCAACGGTTTAAAACGCAAAATGTATTAGTTATAAACTTATATTTCGAATTATATTACTAAACGACTATTCACTATGTATTTAGTAACTATCCGATATTAATTTATTTCAAGTTTTAAGCCGACACAAACACTAGTACTACAAACAACATTATCTTGCATAGATACCTTTATTGTTGCCGTATTATGCTTCAGCTATCAAGAGCTAAGTCTTAAGTATTTGACTGTGAACTTACTCGAAATTGTATCCGTTAACGTCAACTTCCGAGTCTTGCTTTACAATAGCAACAGGCGCTTGTTGTTGCTGTTGTTGTGGATCCTGTGGAAAAGCTAACGCAATCGCGAAAGCTGCCAAGGCGAAGATTGTCTGAAATTAAATATACTTAGAGATTAAAAAGATACAGGAGTAAAAGAAAGGTCCATACAGATTATATTAGGTACTTTCTGCCGTTTATTGTTAAATTATTGTATGGCAAAAACAAAAACGATTAGTCGCTTATAAGACGTACTAATACGTACAATTCTGAATTACATTTGTCGTAGATTTCCTGAAAAGCGTAGAATATTTCCTATGTTATCGTTAACCGTAATTCGCGTGATTTTCTTCTCAACTGGGAATTTAACCTTAGACAATGATATTACATTGGTTCACTCACATCTATCACTAAAAATAGTGTTAAAATTTCTCTTATAAATTGAATATTGCTATTTTAAATAAACTTATACGTTTAAATTCTTTGACGTCAGAAAAATCCTCCATCTTTAGTCTCCCAGTGACCCACGGCTGCTGCAAAGCTCGGAAACGTCGGGCCGTAGTTAAAAATAATGTTTAAAAAAGTTTAACAAAAATATATCGCGTTTTAAACCGTTCAATTGTTTTATTTAAATGTGTACTACTCTCGTAAACTACAGACAGTATTTTATTGATAGTTTCACAGTTAATATTAAAATATTTAAAAATTAATACATTATGTGTTAGTCTAAATATGGAAACAAATGAATTGACACAAAATAATAAACAAATCGCATTTTTGTCTATGACAACAGCTACCAGTTAACCACAGGTGCATCTATTTTACGATTTCATTGAATTATTAAGCATCGTAAACGACAAAATATAAGCTATGATTTATACCCTACATAAAAGTTATTACGCAATTAAATTATAAAGTTGTATAATCGAATACGATTAGGCGCAATCAATAATTATAATTTAGTTTTGTAGACATTTATGACACATAATGGATTATTATTAGTTTAAGATTATTTTGTATAGTTCTTGCATGTTGTCTATTTTACTTAATAAGTTTCTTTCTAGATGGGTTGTCTGGAAGAGACAACTTAGAGCGATAAGAGGCCACCAGGCGCGCTTTATGGTTGTATAATTTCCGTAGGTATCTGTATGTTTTGTAAACCGAATCGTGGAATAAATAAGTAATAAAAAAATGTAAACGAAGTTAAAAACTTACAATTTTCATCATTTTGGGTGATTTTTTGTGGTGGAGGTACTGACAGATAGAGGAGTCCTGAACGTCTACAAACTGAAATCGAATCATTCGCTATAAATATTGCATTCTGTTGACAAAACGCCGAAGTTTCTTTGGAGGAAGGTGTTAATCATAATCACACAAGTTCGAGATGATACGTTACGAAAACGTTACAGGGTGACTTCGAGTTGTGTAAATTGTTTGCCGTCTGGGGCATGGGCCTTGTAACCTACTTTATAAGAACCTCTTCAAATGACAATGTTGCTAATAGTTTCATTGTTGCGAGTATGAAGGTTCGAGGTGTACTGTGGGGCAATTATTTCCAACAACTAATTGGGGAATTAAAATCGACAAGTACTGGTCTGTTAATCATTATAAATAAATACTACGGTATAATAAGAAATAAACTTTGTGTTTTAAATACGTTCAAACACGTTAGTAATAGAGTTACAAATAAAGAAAAAAATAGCAGAGTATAAACCCTAGGGAAAGGCTGTATTCGATTAAACAACAGGAGCTGAACCGTTTCAAACCTCCATACTAGTCCAGTGGTATATGCACTTGTCTCTTATCCGTGTGGTCGAAGTTCGATCCCCAGTCATGCACATCGTGAAAAAACCAGCATGCCCTACCAAAAGTTCAACATATATTTAAGTCACAGCAAACATTTTTGCCACAACAGGCATTTTTAAAGTAATGTAAATGAAATCTTGTCAAAATCAATCATTACTTTAAAAGTTGCCTTGTGACCTTTCGTTAATTCGAAGTCCAGTATTGATTCTCATTAACGAATAAATAGTATGTGTGACCTTAGTTTAAGATGATGACTAATAATTTAACTAAGATACCAACGTTCTGGTACACAGCTAATGTTAATTGTTTTGACTATTTCACTATTAGACTTTTTCGTTAAAAAGACTGGAAATATGACACTTAAAAATAATGTTTGACTTGAGCATTGCACAAATTAAAAGCGAGTTAACATTCGATTGTGAGAATGTGTGTCTTAGTATGTGTTTAACCATACATAATATTTAACTAGGGTGTTAAGTATATTTTCAAACAATTTAAAAAATAAATCGATTGTTTAAATACTGTCGGTGTAGTTTACGCGAGTAGTATATTTTAGTTAAACTTGTTTGAAAATTATTTTTAACTACGGCCCGACGTTTCGGATGCTTTGCAGCAGCCGTGGTCACGGGGAGACTGTCTCCCTAACTAAAATATATCACGTTTTAAAACTATTAAAGTGTTTTATTTGAAACGATTGATGTTTGGCAAGACAAAAGGGTAAGATTTCAAGCTCTAACAAACATCATTACTTTTCTTCTGTTGGTTTTCGTTAATTATCAAAAACGAACAAACACATATTGTTTGATTTAAATTCAGTCATTGACAATCTATAATACAGGCGAACTGCGCAATTTATAATAACTTCGCCTTTATACATTAAATGCGATCTTATAATTGTTTTAATTATTTTTTTTATAAAACGCTTTTGTTTCCGCCTATAACTGTTTCTGCCTCTGACCGCCTCTGTAGCCAAATGGTTAAACGTATTGCCTAGCATTGCGTTAACCGCGAGAGGTCCTAGGTTCGACTCCCAGGGAAACATAAAATTGTTTCGGTCGGACAGGGCACAGAGTCTAATCAACCATGCCAACTTAAACGACACAAATGTGTTTGCCCCATGCCCCACGAAGGGGAAATGGGCTTTCACTTTTTTTTACCTGTTTAATGGGAAAATATAATATATTTATACTCATCTATGACTTGACATTTAAGATGATTTCGTTTCAAACTTAAACTACAGACAGTGGGTAATTTATAATCAAAATATTTTAAGTATCTAACAATACCGATCCATAGTAAAAAGTGTCAAAAAACGAGCTATAACGATTCCGTTCATAATATGTGCTATACAAACATAAGGTGTTTAAAATTACATGCTAATGCGCATATGCAGCGAAGTATTTATCACGTGAATGAGCACGCTTCGACAGCAAACATCTATAAATCTCGAAATGACCACAACACATGCTCACATTTTATGAATAATTAAGCTAATATATTTATTTCAATATTGATTTTAGTATCATACTAATATAATTTTTCACGTTAGAGAGTGTGTATGACAGTTTGTTATCGGCCTCTGTGGGTCAGTTGGTCCGCAGGGCACAATCACACACGCGTAACTGTTAGTAAATAAATAAATCGAAATAATGTGTAGGCCCTACAAAAGTCTTTGTTCTGTAAGACTAAAGTGCCTTTATCAATTATTTGGTTGGATGCTCAAATAGCAACGCTGCAGAGTTTTATTTTTTGTTTGAACATGCTAATCTCAGGAACTACCATTTCGAATTTAAATTATTTTTGTGTTGGTTGGAGTGCTTTCAAAGGAAGGCCTTATTTTAAACATCAGGCTGCATCTAAAAAAATACCACGTCAATATATATTTATCTTTTAAGATTGACTCGCAAACTAGTATGGAAGTTAATATTTATTTTCAAAGATATGCTCTGGGACCAGAATTAGTTTGTTTTTCTATTGTTATGTATAATCTGATCACTATAGTTAGATTCTGAGTGGTATCTTGTTATAAAGTGATACATACGTGACCATACATACAAGTGTGTTTTTGAATTATATTACTATTCAAAAAGACGCAGTCACTTAAGTGTTTACCGTAAAACATAGTCTTTATCTAGACGTCAAGGCGTCACAAGAAACCTTTTCAAGCCTATAATTACAAGTAAGCCAATCAGTATCATGATGATTCATTTGATTATGTACTTATAAGGCATAACATTTAAAAACACACGCATTACATAATAACTAGAGTGGGACTTCGGTCGGACGAAGTAGTAAAAAATCTTTGATAAGCTCGTTGCCTAAGAGCACGAGTAGCAATGTGTGGCCAACGATCAACGAATCGGAAGTTCGATTCCCGGGTATAAAATTTTTCTTCATTTATATTTTTTCCGAAACATGTTGAACTGTAGTAGGAATGTCGTCCTGTTCACGAACCAACATTTGATAAAGCCGTTTTCAGTCTATGGATTACAAAGTCAAAAAATAATTCGACACAGCATTTAAACAAAACACTTTAACGGTTTAAAACGCGATATATTAGTTAAACATATTTGAAAATGATTTTTAACTTCGGCCCGCAGCTTTGCACAGCCGTGGTCACGGGGAGGAAAGCATCCGAAACGTCGGGCCGAAGTTAAAACTCCTATATCGCGTTATAAACCGTTAAAGTGTTTTATTTAAATGTGTACTACTCGCGTAAACTATAGACAGTATTCGACACAGCATCTTTTTTAGATGTTATATGACTGGGGTATTACATCTAACATATAGTGAAATGGGGTTGGCTTGTTTGTCCAAAAAATTAAATTAAACATTTATAGAATATACAATATTTTTACCTATACATCAACCGTTTACGCGTTTAACAAATCTACAGTTTATAGTGTTTTAAATGACGCATTTATATTATTTGCCAGATTTGTGGCCGTTTTACTAGCGGTAATACGTAGTTAAGTAGAGATGGGCCGATACTCGGTTAATACTCGGTACTTTGCGTACTCGGCGGGTTTTTTGAGACTCGTATTCGACCGAATAACTCGGTTATACTTTGTTATTCGATAACGAGTATACTTTGTCTAAGGAAAGCAGTATATTTAGCTAGATATATTTAAAACAACAGTGTTAATCTAATAATATTTATTAGTAATTTAGGATATCTTTGAATATCTCAATAAATAAAATCAAACTTATGCTAATGAATGAGTTAAAGTAATGAGACAAAATTACGAAAAGAGTAATCGAAAATAAATTGAAAAATTTTCGACTCGGGCGGGAAAAAAATTTTTTCCAATTATTTTCGATTTTTATATTATATAGTCCTTTATGTAAAAATATTAATGTTTTCAAAGTAATAACAATTATTTATATTTAAAGTTTAATAGGAATTTAATTGAGGAGCCGAGTAAAACTCGGTACTCGTTACTCGGCAAAAGTGTTAGTTGGCGCATCTCTACTAATAAGAACAATATCATTGCGAGTACATGTATGAATAAGTTTCAAAAATTAGACGATGAGGTGTACGCCTCGGTAGCTCAATTAGTTACAGCAACAACGCAACGCTGACGATGCCGGTTCATGTCGTGCCGGAGACGCAATTTTTTTTTCAATTTTTAATAGATTCTTAACAATATCGTCATCTACTATTAACAAAAAGTAAGTCGACTAGTCTGTCCTTTTGCGGATTAGTAGTCTATTATCATCTAGTTGGTAAATGTTCATAAACAACAATCTATAAACGATATTTCAGTTACTATAAATTTCTATCCGTAGTTTTCGTCGGTTAACGGAGAAATGTTTAAAAACTCACACCATTTATTTCACAAGACATAAATAACTTAAATATTGGCTTAATAACAACACTTAAACAAAAGAAGAAAAAAAACACGACGAAGAGTGCTTGGGAAAAGGGGGAGAGCACTCGACATGTGCTTCACCACCAAAGAGTAGTCTAATCTACTTACCTATTATTTGCTAAAAGCTATCAATAAAACGTCCACAAAAACAAACTTTAGCAAATTTTAAAGAAACGGTATTGCACTCAAAATTTTATTTTCTGTAGCGTTACTTCTAGATACTTAAGAAACCAATGAATCATATAAAAATATAGTCGATAATTATAACAACATATATGACACTGTCTATAGTTTACGCGAGTAGTACACATTTAAATAAAACACTTTACCGGTTTAAAACGCGATATATTAGTTAAACTTATTTGAAAATGATTTTTAACTTCGGCCCGACGTTTCGGATGCTTTGCAGCAGTCGGTGGTCACGGGGAGACAAATAAGTTTCACTAATATATCGCGTTTTAAACCGTTCAAGTGTTTTATTTAAACATATATGACGACAAATAAACATAAACAAAAAACATACAATACATATAATTACGCTAAATTAAAGAATCGAAGTCAATAAAAACGTTAAGTTTTTACCGCTGATGAAGCATAGACAATATATCTATCAGATGATTTAAAACTTTATTGAAGGATGATACTGGTAATCTCAAACATTTCCGTGATTTAAAATTAACGATAAAAACTATATAGTACTTACGATATAAACCGTTTATCTCAACAAAAAATTGTAAAGGATTCTTTTTTAAAAGTTTTATTTTGCATACGTCATATGTGCTAATACCATTTAATTCTGTAAAGTAACCAATGTGAGTACGAAATATGTTCCGTTTTGACTAAAATGCAATAAACGAACTTGAAGGAGACTTAAAAAATAATATTTAAGTACGAGTAAAAAATAAAAATGATTAGTTTAGTAAAATGTTTAATTAGAAACAACATTATTTCCATTTTTAAAACATATTATAAAAAGTATTACAAATATAATATTAACTAACTAACAGATATAATCTATATCTATACTAATATTATAAATGCGAAAGTAACTGTCTGTCCGCATTTAACTCCGAAACTACTGAACTGATGAAATTTAGTACAATGTTTCTTGTAGCTGGGAATACTACTTATGAGGTGAAAAGGGGTGTTTGGGGGTGGCTATGGATGGGAGTGGGAGTAGGAGTGATCTGAGGTGAGAGTGTTGCGGCAAAGTAGCACTTACAACATAGATAGGTTGCCTTAAATGCGCCCTTACATAAATTAATAAAAAGCCTAAATAATTAAAAATTCTACTTCAAGTCACTATTCCACGCGGACGAAGTCGCGGGCACAGCTAGTACAATAATATAAATATAGTACTATCTGTAAAGGAGAACACTCAGATACATTGGGACTATTGTCCCAAATATACGGCCACCGTTGACCAAATATAGATTATAGATTACATTAGCTTAGAATTCGTATTAAGAGTATTTTCGTATTTATTACGGTTTCTTGCAACTAACTGAAGTCGTACATCTTTCACGAAACGCGTGCCTACTAATTTATTCTTGTCTAGACCTTTTAAAAGATCAAGAAGAGTTAAGAACAAAGGTCAAGGTTCTAAGCGTATTCCGTTAAATACAAAACTGATACTCGATTATTTCGGATACTATAATTATATCTGTCTATTGCTAAGAACGTTTTGTTTATTTTTTGTTTGTTTTGATAGATGATTATATGGAATCATAAGGCACAAAACCAAGGTCAAACTTAAGAGCTTTCAACTCGTCAAGTTGTAGATATTACGGCGTCGTATGGTAATGAGTAATGAAAGTACATCATTTATTGTATATTTTAAAAATAACGATACTTTAAATTTTGAAAATAAATTGAAAAATTGTTGATTTTTAAATTATATAGTGCCTTCATGTGAAAAATAAAGTTTTCATAGTAACGATACTTTGAAAATATCACTATTTTGCAGAAAAACAACACCATTTACATATAACCAAGTCCCACTGTAAGTTTAAGAAATTGCGTAGACCAAGAGACAGTGTCGACATTACCATGTCAACTTTTTACATTCTCTCAGATGAGACGTTGCGAAGAGAATCGTAAAAAGCGATACGAAGTTATGAAGCTTGCAAACGAGTCCATTGTTTTCACTCACGCGCTATTTCTTAACTCCTTCTAATTCGTGTAACTGCAATTTTTAATAAGATAAGAAAGAGATTTAATCGTTGCTATTCACATTACAATAAAGTCTACATACAACTTTTTTTATTATAGAGAAGGACAGACGTAGATATACCTCAGCTATAAAACATCTAAACAATACGTTAACTAACAATTTTTGTCGATACGAAATTTAAGTTTTTTTGTAACTTCTTGACGCGGATAAAATTACATTAGACACAACCCTTTTAGTATCCTCTTCCCGAAGTGTATATAGAAGGTGAGACACGTGGGTTGGTAAATTCAACAATAAACAGTAGTTGTTAAATTTGATCAACCATGTGTTACCCTGCTTTAACGTGAGTTAACACAGTCGTTTAACATAACTTTTATGTTAGAAACAAAAATGTAATTCAAATACGAAAAAAAAATTACAACATTGTCTTTTGAATATTATTAACTCCTTTACTGCAATATTTTGCAGTAAAATACAGTTTCCAACCAATTGACCTACCGAGTCCAGGTAGAGCATCAGCACGGAACGCTGACGATGCCGGTTCAAGTCCTGCCCGATTCCCTTATTATCTTTTCCATTCCTTTCCATCCTATTTCCCCTTCCCTTTTCCATCCTATTTTCCCTTCTTATTATCTTATTTCCTCATGATTCGAACCTAGGCCTATTGCGTTTTACCCGGTTCTAGGCTACTGGTATATGTGGACATCTATTGCATTATCCCAATAACGTATTGTAAGCAATGACAGAAACATCAAATGTCAGTTCCATAGCCGTCTTGCAAAATAAGTACACAAGAACCTTTGCTCAAAGACTTCCTAATTACACAATGCTTCAATATTGATTACAATGTCAAAGAGGCATTCTAACGGTCGCAACAAAAAATGCTAAACCACTTCGCCTGAAGATGGGTAAGCGTTCCCCTTATGATGTCAGCAAGACATGCATCTCGGAGTACGTATATAATGAACGATCCAATACTAGTTACTCATTCGTTAGTTTGTGTTCAAGACGAAAACTAAACACCATGCTTAAATACGTGAGTCTTTACTTGATAAAATACGACGGAAAATATTTTGACCTCAACGTTAGCTAATATCTTTACAGTGCAGTTAAAATTTTAATTTTTTTTGAGCGAACACCGTGAGCATTATATTTTAACTTTGAAGCTGAAATGGGCTTTCATTAATATATGTAACAAAACTTTTACGAATTACTTACATCTTCACCCCGTAAATCTACAACAATTAAATAAAACACTTCAACGGTTTAAAACGCGATACGTAAGTTAAACTTATTTGAAAACTCCGGGAGACGGAAAGCATCCAAAACGTCGGGCCGAAGTTAAAAATCATTTTCAAAAAAGTTTAACTAATATATCGTGTTTTAAACCGTTAAAGTGTTTTATTTGAATATGTACTACTCGCGTAAACTAAATACAGTATTTAAATCTAAAACAATTCAGACACGAAATTCGATTTATATTGTTCTCGTTACAACGTAGGTTTAAAACCTAAAATATATTGTTTCAGGTGACCGTTTTATACTTAGTAGCGACCCTATGCGCTGGCGCTCCACAAAATCCCCAAGATGTCCAAATCCTCCGATTCGACAGTGATGTACAGCCAGATGGATACAGCTTTGCGTATGTATACATTTAAACAGTAAAAAATCTAAGTTCTTCTTAATCAAAATTAATCTACCGTAGAGAAATTAGTTACACCGAATTTTAAACTTTTCCCGGCCGTATCTACGTTTTCCAGGGATTTGAACCCAGATCCTCTCGAGCTTACCGCAATACGAGGCAACACGGAGGCGATCACACATAATATAAATATAAAAGTATACTTTTTGAAATCTGATTAGGGGGGACGTATGTATTTAAATAAAACACTTTAACGGTTTAGAACGCGATATATTAGTTAAACTTATTGGAAAATGATTTTTAACTTCGGCCCGACGTTTCGGATGCTTTGTGTCTTCCCGTGACCACACGGCTGCTGCAAAGCATCCGAAACGTCGGGCCGAAGTTAAAAATCATTTTCAAATAAGTTTAATAAATATATCGCGTTTTAAACCGTTAAAGTGTTATATTTAAATGTGTACTACTCGCGTAAACTAAAGACGGGACGTATGTATATTATAATAGAAAAAAGTTTTTAATTATCCCCACACATTTTCATTCTACATACAGTCTCATAAAAATAATATATTTGTTATTAACAACCTAATGAATTCAAATATATACAATGGTTCCATTACGCATAAAGATTTGTTAAAAAGATAAGCGCAAAATTATGCAAGTTCAAAATTATTAGGTAATCAATTCATTGACAAACACTCATTATTAAAAGTCAAGATTACTTACCTAGCTTTGTATTTGAAAAGGTCATTTATGTACTCGTACCAAAACGTTGTTAAATAACATTAGGAAAATATACATTTATGCCTTTTTATGTGCTATTAAACTAAGATCCAAAAACAAAACATGTACTTTTTGGCCAGATAGAGCAATTAACTCTATCTATATTAATATAAAATATAAATAACTAAACGATTTAGTTCTTATGCCATATTCAAAAGTTGCTTTAAGTTCTTTATTTGAAACTGAAAAAAAGTATTTTTGAAATGTAAATAAATTACCTAAAAAAATATGGAAGTAGGTATTTAAAATCCATAGTAATTACTTCGTAAAAACCGATATCTTAGTAGAGGTATTATCTGTAGTTTACTCGAGTAATGCTCATTAAAAACAAAACATTTCTAACAGTTTAAAACACAAAATTCAGTAGAAATATATTTCATGTTTTAAATTGTTAAAAGTTTTTTGTCGTTAATGAGTATTACTCAAGTAAACAACAGATGACACATCTACTAAGAGATCAGTTAAGGAGGACATTTCTTACAAACCTTTGTATAGTTTTCGAAATGATTTAGACGAGTACATGTTTACGTCGGTAATCTATGTTCTTATGAGCTATGAGCACTAAAACCCTAAAAACCTAGTCAATTGACATTAGAGTTTATTGTGTAATCATAGATGGCCTTTGTGAACTTCAACCTAGTCACGATTTCGACTCGAAGATGCATAAAATCGGAATTCAAAGGACATTCGTATTAGGACGTCATTGAAGATGCGTAGTTTTTGCATTCTAAAACGTTGATAAGTACATTTATTGAACTGGACCTTCCTAATCTACTTTACTCATGCGGAAGTTCGAAGAATCTAGCGAAAGAGGAATAAAAGCTAATTTTAATATTTATTTATGAACTACAGACTCTCTAGTTTACTTAAAATTGCTTCCTTCTTCGATCGCTTTTTGATTGTTAATTCTCTCGTATAGGAAAGAAAAACATTAAGATAATATCATATAATATAACCGACCTCACTCTGAGAGCGTTACGACAAGGCAAGATATACTATAACCACAAAAAGTTTAACCTTCGACCTCTTGTAACATCCTTGTGTTTTGTTTATAGATATGAAACAAGTGACGGCACATCCAGACAAGAGGAAGGCAAGTTAGACAACCCTCAATCCGAGAACGCGGCCCTCACAGTTACTGGACAATACTCCTACGTCACACCTGACGGCAAACACTACACAGTGACATTCACAGCTGGACCCAACGGCTTCCAACCCAAGACATCTCTGGGACAGAAGTAATCTGGGACCATCCACCGGTTCAACGTTATGAGAAATGAAATACCGATCTCAGTTACTTGATAACACAAGCACAGAACATAAAACATGGAACTTCTAAATTCTTGTGCCATAGACTACAATGTCTGTATTTTTGTAATTTTATACTCAGTTTTACTGCGAATAAAGTCTTATTCGAACGCGCTGGTTTTATTTTAAATATTTTCTAAATTTAAACATTTTGTTCTAAATTCATTAAAAGGTATTTAGATATTTATGTGCACTTAATCAAAGTCCAAAAAACTTTGTTGTTTGTTTTCAAAATAACCTGACACATATTTTGAACACTTTTTTAATACTGTTGTAAATCACACAGTACGTTATAATACTCGTAAATGCATTGCGTAATTGAATGCACATTCAAAACTCATATACAATTTAATAGCATGTTATAAAAGACAAAAAAGCAATAACATAATATTATGAATAGATTTTCATTAAAACATGCGTTTGCCAAATAGTCACAATACTTCGTTTAAGGCAAAGACTAGTTGGATTTTAAATAAAACTAATGTACTAAGGTTTATAATAAATTAAGGTTATATTTAAATATTTTAAGGTATTAAAAATCAGAGCATTAGCTATCCGTGCCACTTCTCTAGCAACTGAGCTACCGTGTTAATCAACCCAATTTGAACTTTAATACCATTGTAATATATTTTTGTATTGAATCTGTGCATCATTACTTAAACATTTAGTTTCACGCGATTTTAGGCACTTTCTTAGACAACACATACAGCGCATTTAAGTGCATTAGCAACTATTACACGAAGCTAGGAAATTTCACAGTGCTAGTTGATTTCGTCAACAGTTTAAATGCCAAACCACAGACATACGCGTATGCGCAGTCTCGTATGTACAATGCCTTTTTACAATCAACCTTCGACCTCTTACTAACAATAAAACATTTATATAACCGATATTAACAATTACAGATGTAGTAAATCATTTTTGGCATTCTTAATTAATTTGATATGATGGTAAAATAACTACTAGCATAATTCAATCCTGTCCGTAGTTAACGCGAATGGTACACATTTAAATAAAACGCTTTAACGGTTTAAAACGTGAAAAAATAGTGTAACATCGGGCCAAATAATCAAAAGCAAAATAATCTTCAAATAAGTTTAAGTAATATATAGCGCGTTTTAAACCGTTAAAGTATTTTATTTTAATCTACTATTTAGTGTACAAACCTCTTATCTCTTGTATCGGGTACAAAGCCCTGTGTTTTGTAAATAATATGTTTGATTTAAACCTATTGTTTGTTAACTTCTTTATAACGAAATTTATTTGTGAATTCATATAGTAATCCTCCTTTATAAAGTCGGTTGAAAATGCGTATTTGATTGAATAAAGCCACGATGAAGGTAATTTAGCACGAGCAAAACAAATTATTTTTGAAGGACTTTGTTTTTGTATAGATGCTGTGTGTAAAGATTCAGACTTGCTTATTCTGACGCTCAACTTATAATAATCATGAACTTTAAAATTACGACTTATTCTGACATTGTTTATAGTTTTTTAATCGTAATAAAAATAAACAAATATATTTCTTTAATGCGAATTGGCTCTTTCTGCTATAGAAATACAGAAAATATCTTACCGAACGACAAACATATATAATCTACAGTGTTTTCTTAGCATATTGTAAACCTTAGACTTAGACCTTATGTTATTATTTTTTAAGTCCACTAACAGTTTACTCGATCTCACGAAGCCGTGACGTCATTAGGTCACGGTAATACAATGTACGAGTAGCCGGGCATTTAAAACCATAACTTTTAAGGCTTTCAAACAGTTTTTAATATTGTACCACTAGCAAAATAGTCAACATCCCTATTGCTTAAAATTGTAATAATCACACCAGCTTGGTCCAATTTTTGCATTTAACACTGCTTTAGTATTTACTGTATACATCATTAAATGACAAAACAAAAGTTTTATTAGATGTAACTTGTTGTTGTCTAAGCACATAATCGTGCGATAATATATTAGTTATTGTGTGATCAAATAGTTTCTATAGTTTACGCGAGTAGTACACTTTTAAATAAAACACTTTAACGGTTTAAAACGCGATATATTAGTTAAACTAATTTGGAAATGATTTTTAACTTCGGCCCGACGTTTCAGTCTCCCCGTGACCACGGCTGCTGCAAAGCATCCGAAACGTCGGGCCGAAGTAAAAAATCATTTCCAAATAAGTTTAACTAATATATCGCGTTTTAAACCGTTAAAGTGTTTTATTTAAAAATATTGTGTGATCAATAAAACGAAATCTTGCGTCACTGTTTGTTTTATTTCAGATCAATTTAGGCAACCGGTAAAGGTTCAGGAGCTTTCGGCAAATGGTTTCCTTCCACCTTCACACCGTCGATACCCGCTGTGAATTTGGTGACGTAGAGTTCACCATCATCACCGATGTACGAGACTTCGCCTTCGGTGATGAGTACGTAACTCTTTCCATCTGGGGTTGGGACTAGACGGCCTCGTTCAGATACGACGGTGCCCTCAGCTGTCACATAGCGCAAAGCAAACTGACCGAACTCATCATGAACTTCTTCATGTTCCAAGGCAGGCAGTCTCCGCCGAGCAATCAGCTGTGCCAGCTCAACGTCTGCTTCAGGATCAGCTGGTGCGCACAGGCAAACAGCTGCGAGTGCTGATAAGACTACGAACTGAAAAAGGAAAATCATTTAACATAAAACCTACGTGTATTATGTGTATGTATTATTAAGAAAAATATGATAAGGCACTTGTTATTTCCTTTTTATTTCTTTAGAGAAAGTCAAACTAGCCTGAGTATTACAGGATGGTAGGTGAGATACCATCTAAGGAATCATATAATGTAAAATCAAAAGTGGGGTCAGTTGGGGAAACAACTGTTACAATTGACAGATTCAAACAAAATATATTCGGAATTGAACCAATGCGTCATGGGAGCTTATGTAGTAAACAATAATTTAATTAATTAAGTAAGTTTTTAAACAGAATTAATAAGAAAAACATTGAAATTAAATCAATTGCTATTATCATTTAGACTTACCACTTTCATGTTGAAGGGGCTGTAATAATTGCGATGAAGTTCTGAAGATTTGCTGCAAGCAAATACTGCTGACTGATGATAGATCAAAATTTCACTTCGTTTTTATAAAACACTAATGACAGTAATTACTTCATCGACTCAACCTGTTCCAAAATAGTATACAATTACCTAATGTTATAATATCTAATTAATTATTACTAAATTCCAGCAATAGCCAAATATTTGAAGGAAAGTGGCCTATCGTTCGTTATTTTAATAAAAAAGAAATTATTTAAAAAATCATTCTCATCTGATGGACTCATTAGTGTAATGGTAACAATGTATGCCTACTAATCAACGGGTCGTGGATTCGAACCCCACTCGGTCCAATATGTTTTTATTCAACTATAATTTTCGTGAAACATTTTCGACTTTGGAAGTCTGGATATTAAATTAGGTATTTTGAAATACCCTCCGGGTCACGAATCACCGTCCATGGACGAAAAAGCTGTTTCAATTTGTGGATTTTCAAATATCAAGTCAAAAAATAGAGCATCTTGTTTGGTATTTTAAGGCAGGGATATTTGACCTACCATCAAAAACCCGTGTTAGTCTGGCCTTCAATATCAGAAGAACATTATTTTTAAATAGCTTTTAATTTTTATTTACTTAAGTAGACGCTAAATTGAGATTAAATATAATGCATATCAATCAGTTTTACTGCATGTATGTGTACTTTGGTATTTTGCGACTATTATTTTTTGTATGTTTTCAGTACTAAAAATATATATACAGTGCGGTCACTATTCACATGTGTTAATAGTATATATAGAATATCATAATAATAAACTATCTTAGACATATAATACTGAATAAAGGCTTTTAATGTAATTCTTACTACATACAACAAAACACGTTTATATTATAGTCATCATTCTTATCACGCGAAGATAAAGTTATCGTGTGATAAGAATGAGCACATCGGGACTCGAACCCTCAACGAACAGTTTAACGTGCAAAAGCTCTGTCATGTCAAGTTGGTGATCATTGCTTTACGCAATAAACGCAACTCACGAAATATGTAATTTCTACCATAATAATTACTTCCTAAATATATAATATTAAAATAAAGAGTTATCGTATTGCTTCTATATCGTTTCAAGCTGTATAGTTTTATCCTGCAAGACATAATAGCAAAAACCCAATCACTCAAGTAATATAAAACTTTACTTAAAGGTAATCTTTAATTATAAAAATTATTATAACTATTCGTAACCTACCTTCGAGAAATGTTATGAAAATAGAAGGAGAAACCTTGTATTTTCTAAGGCATAAATGATCCGACAATATTTTTTGATTTCCAATTAATTGTTTTATTGCAATTTTATAGCTAGTCTCGGAATAGTCGTTAATAGCACAAATGACATTAATATAGGAATACCTTGTCAAACACTATGATAGAGAAACATCGACTAGATTGGGGCAAGATATAAGATCAAATATCCCAATCCTATATGATCAAAGAAGTAAACTTTATTGATTCGTTTTGCCATATATATTTACCATAATTCGAAAAGGTAAGTAAATTTTATTTTTCTAGCCAAAACACCTTGTCACCTTCTAAAATGACACAGGCAAAATTTAACGAGACCTATCTATACTAATGATAATATAGGGTTTGTTTATTTGAAAATATATTTTTGTGTTGGTTCAACTAACGACTTTTCGAAACCATAGAGAAAAAATTGTGGGAAACGGGGATGGGGACACTATAGGGGACATTATAATATTTTATAATTAAATCACAAGTACCGTTTCGTGATAGTAAAAATTTTAGGTCATAATACTAAATGTAGCAAAATAATGTGTGCTAGGTCAGCTAGTATTTAATAAAGTCAAAAGTACACTTGCCCTACTAAAACTTTAAAAGAAGATCTCAAGACCCAAAAAGGAGAACAGTTGAATTGTAGGTTTCTGTATTATTATTTTTATGATACAGAGAAGCATGGGTTTTTGCCAAAATGTAACATCTTTGCAAGATTTTCTGTCAACCTTTTTACTTTGATTTTGGATATTCAAAATTAATTTTATTTGTTATAGAATAACGTATTGTAATTGTTAGATAATTGTATCTTCATTTTTAACATATCAAGATACAACTTAATATGAACCTATAAAATCGTTACATACGTATTTATAACAATTTGGCAAATTAAAAGGTGGCTTGGTAATTGAAACAAACTGATTCATAAAACTCAGGAATTTAAGAAAAATAGCATATTGAAGGTTCACTGATTTATTTCATGTAATTCAAGGTCTGTATTCTTCGACTTCGGGTGCTTTGGGGAGGTGATCGCCTTGCACCTTAACACCATCAATTCCAGCGGAGTACTTGGTGACATAGATCTTGCCATCATCGCTGACGTAGGACACTTCACCCTCGGTGATTAGGACGTAGTCCTTACCATCCTTGGTAGGGACCAGACGACCACGTTCAGACACGACTGTTCCTTCAGCAGTCACGTACCGCAGGGCGTACTGGCCGAAGTCGTCACGGGCTTCTTCGTGTTCCAGCGCTGGTAGTCTACGGCGAGCAATAAGTTCAGCTAGCTTCACGTTGTCTCTAGGGTCTGCTGGGGCGCAGAGAGCCACGGCTGCTAGTGATAGAATGATGAACTGAAAAAAGACAATTTATTTAGCCATACAATGTACTAAGAATTTACTCTGTGGAGTAAAAGGACGGGCCGTAGGTAAGAAAATTTTCAAACAAGTTTAAATAATATATATCACGCTAAAAGCAGTTAAAGTATGTTATTTAAACTGGGTAATGTTAGTCAAATGTACACCTAAGATTCGCTGTTGTCCACTTACCACTTTCATTGTGTCTGAAGAATTGAATTTGAAATTAGAATTGAAATGAACTTCAAAAGTTGCTGAGCACAGATGTGACTGATGACAACTTCGACTTTACTGTCTATTTTATACAATTGCTAATTACCTAATTAGAATTAGCTAAACTTGATATTAAAGGAATTTTAAGCTTGCATAAACTAATTGAATCATAATATATTTTAATAATTGTGTTCTCTAGGGTCGACGAGTTAAAGCATTGCTTAGAATTGCTTTAAGCCCTGGGTTTGATTTCAGGTTATAATAATAGTTTTGGTCCGAAACATCTTTACATTTTATCTTATAATTAAAATCAATTTGTGAATATTTCAAAGTAATATTTATCCTAAAACCTAATTGGGGGAAACGCGATGTCTCCTTCAATAAATGTTATGGTAAGTTTAGGTTTTTAAGCATTTATAAAAATAAGTCAATTCTCGATAATTTAAAAGATGCAATAGTTAAACTTGAATATAGATTGAACTCATAGTACACTGAGACATAATTTTAAAGGCAGATTATTTTCTTGGTATGGAGGACTATTCATATACGAAGAGGTCACGTTCGATTCAAAATTTTTAATATATTGGAAATAAGGGGTGATAAATAAAAACGTTTAAATTAAGCTTAATTAAATTAAAATGGTCTCACGAATAATTTTCTTACCTGTCAAGAAAATATTAGCAATGATGTCTATATCAAGAAATTTCTGTTGTAGTCTTATTAAAATCGCACAAAAAATATTATAAACATCTATTATCTTATATCCATTCCATTTACCTCGTAATATAAAAAAAAGAGTATGTTTTTTATTAGTTAGCGTTACACGTAACCTACCGTGAGAATAGCGTTATACTTATAGCGTAAGTAAAGCTTAAAAACTCTTCTATAATAAAGCCAGCGTTAAAACATATACCAACTACAATATATATATATGATGTATACATCTGGAACATGGCGTGTTAAAAATATAGGGTATTTGACACTTCTTTGCCTTTTAACTGTTCTATTTAGACACGTTAGCAGCTAATCAAACCTTAGTTTCATACCGCAGTTATTATATTTTTCCCCGGGATATCAGTGCTCGTGGACAATGAACGCAAGTAATCATTAAGCTATGGAGACGGCAATGAGATATCTTGTGACTCTCTTTATTGCATCTTATTTGATTAGTACGAAATTCTTACTTAATGAAAACTTGTGAAATCTTCGAACAAAAGACATCAACGTGAATGTTTTCTCGTTGATATCTTTTACTTAAACAATTCACGTAGCCGTGCTTGATAAAGAACTTAAACACTTTTTTGGACCCTATATTTATATGAAACAGTCCTGGATGTTAATTCTAGTTGTAGAACTGAATAATGTTACAACTTTAATAGTACAATTTGCGATTAATAAATTACGCGACGACATAACGTGATTTCCTATATTACAACGATTATCGTACATTGATCTAAACTTTAGATTCTAAAGTAACAAACTAACAATAAACAATAGGAATAACATAGTATTAATAATCGTGACTATTTCGCCTTCTATCGTCTGGGCTAAAATTTATAAGTATACCAGTACATATTTTAGCATTGGTAAATACCCATCCTTACTAATATTATAAATGCGAAAGTAACTCTGTCTGTCTGTCTGTTACTCTTTCACGCCAAAACTACTGAACGGATTTGAATGAAATGGTATACAGATGGTGTAGACCCTGAGAAAGAACATAGGCTACTTTTTATTGCGAACCCCTTACAACCCCCTTGGTTGTAAGGGGTTAAAAGGGGGGGCGAAAGTTAGTATGGAAATTCGTGGTTTTTGAAGATTGAAACTTTCTTCTTTGGCTTTTTGAGAATAGGAGTGGAAGTGGTAGTGTGAGTGTGAGTGATATGTGATATAACACAGATTGGCTGCGATAATGCGCAATTACATAAATTAATAAACAGCCTAAATAATTAAAAATTCTACCTCAAGTCACTATTCCACGCGAACTAAGTCGCGGGCACAGCTAGTACTATATAAAATTAAAAATTATAACATTTAAAAACTTTACTTTTGCGCGATAGGTGCATGTATCTTTTTTTTCTAACTTCACAATATAATCAAATATTGCATAGATACTTTGCAGCAGCCATTGTCAAGGAAGGAGGCATTTCGAGTTTCAGTCCGCTAACAAGCTAACAATGCGATGACATTCTGTAGCCCGAAACTACGAATTCTGCTCCAATAGTTTTTTTTGCAATATTTATATACTTAACCTATCTGCAGAGCAGATCCTTGTACGAGTTTCCTGCAGTCATTTATCATTATCAGTCAAGTAAACAATTTATTTATTACTTTACGCTAGTTAGTCAGACCCATTATAGTATTATAATATAATGCGTTAGTCTCAAAGATCAGTTGCTATAATTAATTAAGTACTTAAATTCTTTTCGACCTACAATATTTTATTTATTTATAAAGCTTTCAAAAATGTTAATAGATTTCTTTTTTCTACTAGTCTTTTCCTCTAGTCTGGATAACACCTGGATACTAACACATCGAAATATTAATTAACTATCTATATTAAGATATAAAGCTAAGGAGTTTGTTAGTTTGAACCCGCTAATCTCAAGAACTATTGGTTCGAATTGAAAACTTGTGTGTTTGACGCTGTGACTAATAAAGACGAGAAAAATTATTAACCTTTGCGGAATCCCGATGCGTGCGCTGCAAAAACGGTTCAAGATGTCCAAAAAATAAGCATTAACGATTATAATTCCTCTTTAAATAATCTGCAGCTTTAAATCATCATCATCATCAGCTTAAAACTATAAAAAGATAAGAGGAGAGGAAGAGGAGGTTTGCAAAAACAAATTTTGTTGCCCAAAATATCTTATCTAATCTACGCGGACGAAGTCGTTAACACAGCTAGTAAATGAATAAAAAACACGAAAATTATCATGCAGTAATGTAATATTTGCCCAATGCAATAATAAAAACTGTAGTCGCTAATGTATCAAGAGTATTTATTTACTTGTCTGTTACCACTAACCTTCCTAACGGTATAACAAAAAACGATAACACGCCGAGAGTTCCTAAACTACAGCCTTGATTGTCGCGGTAATTGGTGAATAAACATAAACACTCGATTATGACCTTATCGATGTATTGATTCCAAATTTTATAATAAGTTATATTTCTATACACGGATTCTTACATCCGTTCTATTATATAACACAAAACTTCAAATCGTGAATGTTAAGATCAAGTTGTTTAATAACCATCTCATTATTATACCACTACCTGTGCCAGCGACTTCGTCCGCATGGAATACTTATTTTGGGCACTAAAATTTATTTTTGGAATCAACATTGGACATTGGACATATACTGTCACGAATATTTTTCTAGATCATTTAATGAGAAATTATTTGTTCATACATATATTAGGGCATCTTGAACCATTTTCGTAGCGTACGCAACGGAAACTTACACCGAGGAATAATTTTCCCCGTTTTTTTTCACTACCTCCGCTGTTTCTTCGCTCTAATAAGTTGCATCGCGATCTTTTATAGTTCCTGAGATTAGCGCGATCAAACAAACAAACTCTAAGCTTTAAAATTAAATATAGAAAAAGATTTAAAATACTAACGTAACGTCATTTGTTTTTGACAATTGTGGTTTTAACAAATTTTTATTTAAAGATGTTTTTTACAAGTACAAATAAACATATGACATTAATAATTTTTGCTTCTTATAAAATGTCGATGGCATAAGCTGCGTTTAAAATACTACAAAATACAGGATATAAACAGTAATTAATTTAACACATTTTATCTTCTATCGCAAAAGACATATTTGCATGTAAAAATAATATTTGTTGTAAAAAAGTGTTAAAAGACAATTTTTTAGCTAAATACCTCATTATACACATACATTTATATATACACATAATATTAAAAAAGATCTACATGTCCATTGTATATATAGTAAAATTGAAAATAGCTTTTTTTAGATAGTGTAATCACGCCGTATAAGGTGTCTGTTACTAATCGATAAATATTTGTGCACTGGTCGAAGTGAAATTATTATCTTTGTGAAGGATTCAAAGCTACGTCTTGCGCGAGGAACGCGTTTAACTACAATTCCTCGGAGGCGTTTAGGATATTTTTGTAAAGTACATCTCGGTAGCTGAGTTAATAAATTCCGTTGTCCAATGTATTAACACAGTCTCGTGCGGACATTAGCGCAATAGGCCGCAACAACGTGTGCGCATGACCATAACATAAGGTAAAAATATTATTGACGTTACTTGTTTAAAAAAATAAATTATAGTAGTTCATTTTATTAGTTTTCATGTGTATTGCGTACTTGTGATAATTATTATTTTAAAACCATATAATGGAATTATTTGAAAGAACAATTTAAGTTAAATTAAACATCTGTATGACAACATGGATGGGAATTGAACTGGCATCCACAGCAATGCTGCTCCTCCAACCCACTGAGCTACCGCGTCGTCAATAGCTTAAAGTAGCAACACTGAACGCTCTTGATGTCGGTTCAGGTCCTGCCTGTGTCGTGAAATATCAACCTAAGTAGATTTTTAATGTCACTGTCACCATGTGCATATAATGAAATTAGAAAAATTATATTATTTTCATGAAGTTTATCCATCATTTTATAATATGGGAAGTTTTTCTTTCAGCCATAATGTAAAACAGCTCATTTGATATTATTTTTAGCAAGTTCTAAACACAGATATGTACGTACCTATCTGTGAATTTCTACATAATTTATAATAATTAAAGATTACTAATTTTATACTCTATATTAAGTTTACTACTAAAATTTCAAAAATCAAATTAAAAATAAAACTTTGGATATTGCATGTTTTATCTGAAATCGATTTTAATTAAACCAAACCATTATATCTCGCATTAAAATATTTTACTATTTGTGTGATGATAAGTAACATTATTTTTCGCAAAACAGATATATTATTTACGTTCTTATACATTGTAATCTTTTTAAAACGGTGTAAAAAAGAAATATCAGTAAAATTGATAGAATTATAGAATCCTGGTCATGCGTTTTATAAAACTCCTCCAAATTTTACATTTTTAGTGTTTCGTTTCATTTTACACAATATTCCCGTTATCTCGACAAATTAATCTTTTATACGGAAACTAAGACATCGCACAAGACGTTTTATTCAATCAATTTCTTCCGATAGTCAAGGCAATCTTCTAATTTGCAATTCATGAGTGATAAAAATTTGAATATATTTGAAAAAATTAAAACTACAATTCAATGCGCATGGGCCATTTTAAATATTTTAATTGTAGTCATAAAAATGTTTCTTTATGAGAAAATGTTCGTATTTAAATTTGTGATTTTAATAATGAAACATATACCTATATTGGTGTAATTTATTCACAAAAATAGAGAAAAATTGCTACTAATAAATAAACAGATATCCAAGGAAACAGAACTTAACAGTTTATTTTTAACATTGAACAACTATAACTATTTCGTCATCGTTCAATAGACTACTGACTTAACCATATTTTGTGTACTTTATTACGAATGAGCAAACATCCTTCTATTCTTTAAATTTATAGGTATAAATTCATATTTTTATCTATGACTATCAATAAGGATCCGTTATATTAAAACGAAGGTCATGTCTATTAGAGACATGTTTTATACATGGACGAACGAGCATGATAGAAGGGAAAATATCCCAGCCGTATGACAACTAACCAAGATGCCTATTTGTGACATTGGGACATTCAACAGGATTATTAGCTCTCCCTTGGCTTTGTTTCCTTTAATGGGGCATGGGACATACATAATGCAATACTGGGCCTGTTCAGATTAGATTATGTGCCCGACCTGCTTTCCAAAAAACCTATATTATTATAATTTAAAAATCGAAAATAAATTGAAAAAAATTTCGACTCGGGCACGACATGTGCACATGTAAATAATAATAAAGTTTTCAAACTATATTATTATATTTAAATAAAACACTTTAATGGTTTAAAACTTAATAAATATGAGTTATACTTATTTGGAGATCCGTCGCTAAATAACAACTACGACGGAAAAGATGGCGCTAGCGTAGCAGTTTTTTACTTTGACATTAGAGAAATTAAAAATTTAACGTTTTGTTGGTCTTAAAAACTCCTTCTTAACTTTTTTTCCATGAGTGTCCATGAATAATTTTAAGGCCGTTTTTTCCTTAATTTCAGGATGGTTCCCGCTAGAGCCATTTGTGTTGCATTGTTCATAGCCTGTCTTACCAATGTAGCCACTGGTGTTGATAAATACACAGATGGAAACAGACCATACGAATTTGGATTCACAATAGATGGGGAGCAACATCGTCATGAGAAGAAAGGCAAGTAAAACCGTTAAAAATATGTTCGTCTATACTAACTACCAAGTCGTAAATTCGCTTCCCACCGGGCCTGTGATTTTTAAAACTTGCTCTGAACTTTAATGTATTCGGAAAAGCTGTTACAATCTGGACGGAGGTAGGTCAAAAGAAATTCCGAAACTCCGTCCGGGTCATATGCCACCCTCCACTAATGGAAATGTTTTGTAAGTCTGTATGTGAATATTTTTGACCCTTACATGCTTCATCATATAGGGAGGATCAATAAAGGGAGTTATAGAAAAAATGACACTAATTGTGGTGTCATTTCTTATCTAAATAATTAAATAGATATAGAATGCTATACATGCCAGATGAGTTACAAGCCTAACAAATAATAATATTAAATCAAATTACCTTGAAATAATTGTTCGCTTTGTACCATGACCATTGTTGGGGCTTTAGTCAAAGCTCTTAACGTTATATCACTCATATTTGTAAGACGACGCTATCTAAATAATTATCTTGAAAATTGTAAGCTAATGCCCGTTCCGTTAAAAATAATTTGTAAATTAATAATATCAACTGACGTAATTATTAGCATGCTTTACTCAAACATTATGAACGGTTTAAAACACGTAATAGACCACAGCTGTCTGTTATCATACTGTCAAGTATCCAAAACCTCGAATCTTAGTTAAAATTAAGAAACCTGATAAACTTCATATTTTAAACCGTTCAATATATTATTTCGAACTGTATATTGTGGACGTCAACATACGAACGCAAGCAGTTAAATAAGCTTTATATTTTGTTTTACAGTAGCATTGAAATAAAATATATTTGCGCCGTCTATTTAAGAACGCAATGACGAAATCTGTTGTCTTTGCACAAACGTGTTTGTTCAATTATTTTATTTATGCTAAGATCTGATATAGACTGAGATAGACGTATTAGTTAAATAATTTTATAAGTATTAATCTTGGTTGATATTTGCAAATAACTTACTAAATGAATTATTTACTTTTCTTCTATTATTTCGTATAAATCAACAATATCCCCCACCCAAAAAGAAGCTTTAAATTAAATTACGATGAAATAAACGAGATGAAACAAACTTTGCCTTACTCCTATTTCTATAAGAAGCCTAATTTCTGAGACTAGTCCTTAGATATTATATTTAATGTATAAGAACTAGTCTAGAATACATATACAATTTTCAGATGAAAATGGAATTATAATGGGAGAGTTCGGATTCATCACAGCAGATGGCGTCTACCACGTTACTGTGTATGCTACTGATGAGCAAGGACGCTTCAAAATATTGTCTATGAAAAATATACGCGTTAAGCCATGTAAGTAAAACATTATTTATTAGTCAAACATGTATTTGTATTTTTTATGTGTAGTTAGCTTGAGGTGACTTTGAGATTAGACCAGGAGGAATACGTGGTACCTCACCTTCACCGACGACTATATGTCAATGCTTTATAGTCAATATATGTAAAGTTGTATGTGTAAAGTATCAACTAATCAGGAATAATATTATACATTTACGTACATATCAACTTACTTCGATTTCAAATTATATTAACTTAACTTATATTAACGACAAGAGAACATTGTAGATGTTGATTTTGGAACCTAAACTATAGAAATGTAAATATTATTTTGAATATAAATGGATACAATTTCAGATAGGTTATTCTTATTATTAGGATACGGTTTATTACCTTTCGGTAATTAAATGTAATATGTTATACATATAATGACTGACATAACATGGGCAATATATGACACAGGGCATATGGACAATAGTATTATAATATTTAATTCAGGATATTCATCATTCACAGATCCCACGGCTGCAAATCAAAATGCACGCACTGGACACTCGTTGTCTTTAACAAATTTACCCAAAGAATCAGACGATACTAAGAAAAGTAATAAAACGCCTGATATAGCTCCGCCGCAATCCCGAACAACGCAAAATCTATCAAACCAAAATCTAAACCCGGCGGTCGATAATCCAAATACTCAGAACAAACAAATCGCGCCGCTAGGCCCACGACCGCCGGCGTCCCCTGCCAAATCTTGCTCACATTGTAGTTTACCAACAACGACCACATTGGCACCTACGAAGATAGAAAGCGAACAATACAATTCAAATGATCAGTCATCTAACTATAATGTAGGATATCAAAATACACCAATATCCAGAGAAGAAGAGAATAATTATGCAAGTTCTCAACAAGGAGGGCATACAACATCAAGTGATCGACTTGAGAAATCAATTAATAGAGAAATTAGTTTACCAAAAGAACTTGAACCCCCAATCCCAAGCAATGAAGATGTGTCAACCAATAAACAGATTTTTGAAAATACAGGAAGTGTTAAACAAGTAATAAATAAACACAGTGAAGAACAAAGTATTCCTAATACTTACAGTACAAATACTTATTCTCAAGCGCCCAATACACCTTTCAACAATGCTCAAAATACTCTATCTAGTCAACAGGGCACTGCCATAAATACCCCACTAAGTCATCAGGAACTAGAACAAATATCAGAAAATAATAGTAAAGATGCTGAAAATCAATCGCGAGATCAAAATTCTGACAGTGATCAAGGACAGAATGGATATAAAAATAATCCACAACTATTCAGTAATCAACCAGGGAATGTAGAAGATGACACAGCAATTGGAAAAGCCCCAGTAGGATTCCAACCTCAAAAACATGGACTCAGCGACGTAACTCCAAATCATGATAAAGAAATTGTGACTGAAAATAGAAATAATTATGCTGACAATGAGAGTAAGGCTGGAGAAAGAGAGGCTAACGAGCCCGCCAAAATTACATCAGGCGAACGCAATGCAAAGGCATATGAACCAAACTTTGAGCCACAAAATGCATTACTTAGAACAAATCTTAATGTATTTAACACAACTCAAGAAGCGCCAAAAACACCTGAGCTTATTTCAGCACAGATGCAAATAGTAGATAGAGACACAGACATATATCACAAAAGTCCAGGTGAAAGCGACGGTCTTCCTGAAGGGGTAACAAAAGACTTTATGATGCGAGTGTTGTATGTATTTAATTACACAGTTGGTTTCCATGGACATTATGAAAAAGGATTCGCCGACGGGTCCAAACAAGGATATTATTATGTGACAGGAAGAAATGGAGTCAGAACAAGGGTAGATTATGAAGCTGATGAAAAAGGTTTTCGACCCAAAATCTCCCAGGACGTGCTTGACTTACTATCGGATGACGTGCCAAAACCAGAAACAGAGAAAGAGCCAAAGTATGGTCTCAAAAGTTACGAATTTAAGTGGTTTTATTTCCCTGTTGGAGACAAAGAAAGGAGATAAGTAGTTATATATTTAGGCTAGTTTAGATAATTGAATATCGCAGAAACATCATTTAGTATTTCAAAATAAATTACTAAAGAAAAAAGTAAACAAATATTATAGTCATAGAATGTTTCTGCAATAATGATAAATAGTTTTGTATTGACGTCAACGTCATTCTCAAATTATTTTGAAGATTGAAATTAAGAAAAGATAGCATAGATTTCCAATACGATGTATGCCAAATAAAACATCTAGCCTTTTCTTTGTCAAAGTTACAAAATAAAACTCCTGCGCTATAGTACTAAGCAAATTTTACAAACATGAAATTATAATACTCCACTACTCTTCTGTAATCACTGCCAATACTCACCTTACTATACATATGATAAAAAAAAAATATATTATAGAATAAGTTATAAAATCGTATAATATCTATTACTTATTAAATAATATTTATAAAAGTGTTTGAAAAAAATAAAGTATGTACTAAAGAATACGTTCAATGTTTCATGTTATTTATAAATACATAAAAAAAAGATTATGATACGAGAATTAATAAGTACAGAGGCTTATTGAACTCGGGCTACCAATGGCTGTGTGGCAGATAGAAATCTTCTCACCGTGCTTAGTCAGGAAGTATCGCCTTTTACATCCGACCCTTAACCTCACAGTAAAGCTAAAGCCTCTTGTATTATGTTGAACCTTGCAATTCAAGTCTAAGTCCGTGAGTTTAAGAGAAACTTCAATACACTAATATTATAAGTTCTGAGGTCCTTATTATTCTTTACGCATTAAGAAAACATAAAATACACTCGGTTATTCCTGTTATGAAAATGTCATAAATATTATAAGGTTTATTCGTATTTTTTTTTTATTAAGATTTAATAAATATAACTCATTACAAATCCGTTCCTATTGCCTTGTTACTGTATCAGAGTTTTTATTACTCCTTCCAATGTCTTTCCAAATACTATAAATCAGTCAGCACGAGGCACATTCGCCAGAGTCTCTGATAAAAAGATAACCTTGGAGTTGTGGGTCAACCGTGAATATTTCATGACCTGATCTGCAAGAATTCAGTAATGGTGGCAGTAAAACCTTGCATAATATCGCGATGAATGAGATAGTAGGTATAGTCGATATCGCCGCGTGGTTTTGGCGGGAAATCTGAAGCAGTTACAGCAGAACCGGCGCGTGCGCAACACGCGTTCGTTTTTCAAATCTCCAAGCCCGATGCGATCGCGAACGCGACGTTTTGTCTCTTAATCTTTTTGTTCTAACAATTTGTTTAAATGGAAGTATTGAGGACACACCTCATTTCCTATTGTTGCGATTCTCTTTAACATGCTGTGAATATTCTTTGTTGGCTTACAATAGCGGTGTTAATCTACTTTCGTAAATTTTGAATGCAAGCAGTCCCCGTGAACAGCGATATCGTACTATATTTTATTGTTGACACAAAATCAGAGGCTAAGTGAGGTTGGTATTAACTGATCAACCGTTTTACTAATTACTCTGCTAACGCATCCTAAAATACACAAAACTATGACGCACGACATAGTAAAAAATATAAGAAATTCCAAAAAAACAGTTGTTTAAAAATGCTAATAATTAATTTATAATTAAATTAAAAAAAATATATATAATTTGTTCCTTAACACCTCATCTTAATTATTTCATGAAATTAACATATTTTAACAATATTTTCGTTTTAGAATAGATCTTATATAATAACATATTAATGTACTGCAGACGTTTTTAAATATTTTTTATTTAATTTTAATAACATTTTAGAAAAGAATACTGTCTATAGTTTACGCAAGTAGTACACATTTAAATAAAACACTTTATCGGTTTAAAACGCGATATATTAGTTAAACTCCCCGTGCACCCTCCACGGCTGCTGCAAAGCATCCGAAACGTCGGGCCGAAGTTAAAAATCATTTCCAAATAAGTTTAACAAATATATCGCGTTTTAAACCGTTAAAGTGTTTTATTTAAACATTTTAGAAAGCAAAAATACACTATATTAAATACACTACTATTTTAAAAGATCCCTAAGTGTGTCTGGTTATTTAATTACCATTTATTCCTTAAAATGGGACCAAAAAGTTGGTTCATAGACAACGAATTTAATCGAAAATAAACATACAAAACTAAACTACTAGTCAGAAAATAAAATAAAATATACCTTTTTTCTCTTTAAAATTTAAAAAATATTTAGATTTGTCAAAATAATTTTTTGTTTGTCTGTCTGTTCGTCGCGATTCTACAGAGTGTTCAAAAGAGCAACATTACTAAGAAGAACACCCAGAAACTCAGTCCGGCTTTTTTAACATGTCTTATATAATATATATTTTTAAATTATTTTAACACATTACATTAAAAACCTCCTGGTTGTTGTTTGAAACTTACGAAATTATTACGCTAACAGCAACCCTTTGGGTTTATAAAGCTAGTTTGTACAATGCACATTTTAATATTATATTTTACTATAAAATCCAATAGATAAAGTAACACATGAGTATACTTTATCTAAAAGTATTATGGGCCCTGAATTTGTTCTTTATTTTTCACTAAGTGATCTCATTAGAGATTCTTTACACTTTATTTTCGTTTACATACCTATTTTTTTCGTATTCGCGCATAAATTCATTTGATTCGCCGCAAGTTTCTACTATCTAGTAGCATTGAAAGTTCAAAAGTTTTTAATTAAACGCGAAATATAATAAAGTATTTATTATTTTAACTAGAACTTGACGTTTTGAATGCTTTCCAAAAATACTGTAACTAATATTTATCGCGTTTTAAACGGTTCTAAGTGTTTTATTTTCTTGCGTAAACTACAGGCCGTATTTAAATAGTATTAGCAGTATGAATGCTGTAATAAGTGTATATGATGTTATTCTACATAGTAGGTTGTATGGTTTAAATATATCAAGGAAATCCTTTACACCTACGACATATCAAAGGCCCTGCTCGTCAATGTTATAATTGGAGCTTGAATTAGCGCATGTTATGTCATTACAATGAGATGTGAAGGTCTTGTATTTACCTATGAAATGGCCTCACATGAATTATTACAGCGTTTTACCGCAAAACATTTGTAACTTAGCGAAGAGTATTTCGTTTAAAAACAAAGAAAATATTGAAAGACGGGATAGTTGCATATTAATCAATGCAACTAGTGGGTATTTATTATTGGTAAACATTTCAAAACTTGGTAATAAAATTAGAGCGCGGTTTGGCGGACTTTTTATGTCAAAAGAGGACAGATGAGCATGGAGTGTAATTGATTGATGTAACACCCGAATCATACAACAAGATGCACTAAACCCTATTATGGCTTTGTATATTCGGATTTCCACAGGCTGAAACCGTAACGCGATCATATTCCTCGACTTTTTTATTAGTGAGCGGTTGTCGTGCCCCAGACGGAATTTTTATATTCCTACCACCCATTCAACTCAATGTCGAATCGCAGTTCTTGTTTTCATTAAAAATGATTAATTGATTAGACACATGTTAGACCCGGTGAAAATCGAACCGTCGACTTCTTTTAAATATTACTATTAGATCAACGAAATGTATGACATTCTGATGACTATTTTTAATTTAAATTATACTCATACTAATTCATGTAAGTTTTTATATGCATTTGATAATTCAACTGGCTCTAATTTTTAAATAAAACACTAACGTTCTTAAAGTTTTTACTAATACTCTAAACTATATCGGCTTTTATTTAAATGCGTACTAAACGCTTGTCTCTGAATTCATTGAAACTCGAGTCCTGTTGGACTCATTACATTTTAAGATCAAATGAAAACTACTATTATGTCAAATTGTAGTTTGTCACAACGTACCTAATACTTCTTAACATTTCCTTCCTTCCCATACCCAATAAGCTGTGAACAATTAATTCATTATAATTGGCTTAAACGTGACAATGCCGCACGATTAACTGTTCCACTTGACCGCCGCGGAACACAAAAAGGTAATGAGATAATTGCCTACGTCAAACATAGACGCGGCCTCGTTACTGCATCTTTGTTTGGACATTCCATTATTTGATGGCGTTATTTAATTCCTTCTTTATTATTAAATACCTTTAACCGTTTAAAATGCGACATATATGCAGGGCGAGGCCTTCCATGACCACGGCTGCTGCAAAGAGTCCGAAACGTCGGGCCGTAGGTAGTTAAAATAATTTTTAAATAAGTTTATCATATTTCGTTTAAAACCGTTAAATTGTTTAAATGCGTACTACCCGCGTCAAGAAGTACAGCCAGTATTCAAACTAGTAATCGTCAAATCACTCTTATTACTAGCCTTATATAATATTCAATAATTACCAACGATTCAAAGCGAAACAAAAAAAATCCGTTACACCTCTTCGGAAGTTAAATAAGCTCATTGATTAATTAATTATACGTCTGATTGCTTATTATTTCACTCAGAGCATAATATGCGGAAATGTGGATGATTATATGTTACTGTAGATAATCAAATTAGCATATAATTTTCCTTTGAAAAGCGTAACAAGAACAATTATACCTTTACGTTTTAGTGACTTGTGAAAACCATTTTCGTAACCGCGAACACATATTAAGTTATCTTAAACGTGAGAGTTCCCGAAGTCTAAAACTAGGAAATAATTATAAACATAATACAAATCTTATAGATTTAAAAACATTTTTGTAAATAAACAAGTACAATAATATAAAAGACGGGTTTGATACGAAACAAATTATGTTTAATATACGCAAAGTTAATTAAAAGAAGCATTTCCAATACAGAAAAGTCTATATATATAGACTTATTATTTAGATTAGATTTGATTCAATCATAATAATATTATCTGTACTTAGACTTTAATTGACACTTTCTACTAGTTACCGTTTCTTGTATCCTACGAAATTGATAAATAAAAGATTTGTTCCTAAAGATTTTACCTACGCAAACTATCTAGTATGGATATAAACATTCGATGTCAATGGACACATTAAACCAATAAGGCAAAGCGAAATGTATTTTTTAATAAAATCACTAGATAACTAACAGTTCTTCGCCTACATAAGCTTGTTACTAATAAAATTAATTCTGAATCATACTACGCGAAATATATAGAAACCCACTTAGTGCATGTTAGCAAACATTTTTTTAATGATGTCCTAATAAAAATCAAATAATTCAACCGCCCCTGTAGCCAAATGATACGTATTCCCTAGCATTGCATTTGGCTCGTCCTGGGTACAAATCTCTAGAAAAAAAATACACATTTAAAATTAACTTATCGAAATAACAACTTACTTATTCTATCTATTCATCGGTACTAAAGTATATCTCAGTGACCTCTTATAATTAAGGAAATTTATATCTAATTAATAACTTAAATAAAACTAACAAGCTGTTTACTAAGTTGCGAACCACGTAAGTAAACCACAACGCTTACGCTATTGAATTACCCATCCGCGTTTCAATACAGTGTACCACTTACATCAAGAATGTTACTCAAGAAACGGCCATTTCTAATGACGAAAGAATTATCTTGTTTTAATGAAACCAGCCAAATTGAATGAGTAATTATTTATTGATCATAGGACTTCCTTTACGCAACCATCCGGCGGATTGAGCAAAATTTATTATAAGATAAACGAATTTTTATTTGGCAACCATTTTCTGAATTAAATCAGCCCTACTTATTACTTTGCGCTGGCGTAACAATAAACAATAACAGAGTTTAAGCAGTTAAAATCACAGGGGAATTATTGTTTTGATTAATAAAAAATAAATAAAAAAACGAAACACAAGTATTGTCTGTAGTTTACACGAATAAAACACTTTTTTTACATTCCCTTAAACCGGAGGGTCACCGTGACCACGGGTGCTGCGGGCCGTAGACAAAATAAATTGTAAATAAGTAAACTAATATATCACACCTTTTAAACCTTTTAAGTATTTTCTTTTTTAACATTTCTCATTGTTGTAACAATTTAATATTTATAAAAAAGCGAAATATTAATATAACTACGGCTCGACGTTTCGTATACTTTATTGCGCGTTTTAAACCGTTCAAAGTGCATTCGAGCGAAACATTTGAGTGTTTTGTGTTGAATACTTTTTTACCGAAATAACAGAAAGTACGATCGGGAAAACTATAGAAGTCTGATAGTCTAGTTCCGACTCAACGTTTCGTTCCGAGTAAACGATATTCTTCTACGTGTAAAAGACGCTAAGAATGAACTTATTGTAGGTTAGTTGGAAATGAATAACAATAGACAACCTCTATTGAAATCTCTGAAGGTGATAAAATATCGTTAGGGTTACGTATGTCCAGATGTAAATAACATTTGCGGCTTTATTACGTGTACAGTATAGATAGCAGATAATATCAACAATTTTAATTTTCATAAAACGTAACAATGGTTCCCATAACTTGTTATATAATCTGTGAAAACAACCAACTACAGTAAAACAATTTACACCTACCTATGAGAAGACATTTTTCTTAATTATTTATTGTTGGATGTTCGTCTTCACACATATTTTGTCTAAAAAGGGGGCAAAGTGTAAATAAGGCATAGAGTTGAGTTTTACTTGTAGCTGTTTTTATTAGAACTCAGCTCATATACATACATACAAATATTTTAAAAAAGAATGTATGTACAATGTTATTTATTTTTAAACACTGTCTGTAGTTTACGCGAGTAATGCACATTTAAATAAAACACTTTAAAGGTTTTTAACGCGATATATAACACGGCTGCTGCAAAGCATGCGAAACGTCGGGCCGTAGTTAAAAATATTTCTCGAAATTTGTTTTCTAAAATATATCGCGTTTTAAACTGTTAAAGTGTTGTATTTATTTTTGGGTACCCCGTGTTCTTGGCATAGTAAAGAAAGTAACATTTCAATATTTTATTTATATGGAGTATAGTCTGAAAACTTTATTATTTTTTACATGTTATTGCACATGAAGGCACTATTTAATTTAAAAATCGAAATTAATTTATAAAATTTTAGGACTCGGGCAGGACTTGAACCGGCATCGTCAGGGTTCCGTGCTGTTGCTCTACCAATTGAGCTACCACGTCCTATTGTCAATATATTTTAGATTTTTAAATTATAGAGTATAGTTGTAAATAGTCACTTATTGGTAGGTGACATACCCAAGTCTTATAACATGACCTATTTTGGCTTTGGACATTCGGAACTTCACGAACTAATACCAATACGTGAAACTTTACGCGTTTTAATCTGTGGACTGTGAATCGTTTTCCGGAATTTCGATATTCTTACCACCCATTTAATATCCAAATTTCCAGACAAATACCAACAACCGAATCTTTTAGAAAAATTATTAATTTATTAAAAACATGTAAGACCCGGTGGGGATCGAATCCACGACCAGCATTATGGGATATCGTCTATAAAATCTACATGGGTCGCAGCAATATCTAAATTTCGTCCGGGTCACAAAACGAAATCTGTTCCGTTTCAGTCTGCGGGTTTCCGTATTTTACCTACCATCATGAAAACCTTCTCCTCTGTCATAAAAAAATGTGGTGTAAATCCTCACAAATTTGTAACATGGAATAGCAACCTACATTTTCAATGTCACGAATATTTCAACCAGTCACGACAAAGAAGAATTCGTTTGCAACAAGCGATAAACACGAGTGTTACATAGAGACGCCTACGAGTAACCTTGTATTCGTAAAGTAGACCACACATTGAATAACGACGGTTATATCGGCCCATTAAACTAACTGTAACAAAACATAATTTAGTATCGTAACAATCTAGTAATGTCCCACTATCACAAACAAGTATCCCGCATAGGCAAAGGGTTTGAGACCCACCACGCTAATCTAATGAACACTAGTTGTCGTCAGTCTTTAAAACTAACGAGAATAAGATAATCGAACATTTCGTTCAAATATGGATTCGAACTCTGGACCTCGTGATATGCATGGGGTCGTACTAAGCATTATGCCAATGAGAAACCTAATAAAATAGTTTAGTATTGTATTTTTAACATTAATCTAAAATATTATCCAAGTTTACGCGCTACACATGTAAATAAAACACTTTCAACTATTTGAAACGCTAACAATAGTTAACTTATTTACAATCTCCCTTTATGTCTCCCCGTGACCAAGTCTACTGGAAAGCCTCCGAAACGTCGTACCATCGTTACAATTAATTGTAAATAAGTTACGCGTTTCAAACCGTTTAAAGAGTTTTGTCAAACGTTACTCTTATTGTTATAGTGATAATAATTGCGATGCGTTTTTGTTTCAGACACTACACAGCTGTGATGTACAATGTATAAACAAGAACTAGTATTATTGGTGAGTAATTAGTCTATATATTATCTATTCAATTTAAATAATTTTAGTAGATGTCAAAGTTCAGATTAGCTCAGTTTAAAATTAAAAATTGTATGGTTTCATTTATCTCTAAGTGTTGTCTGTAGTTTACGCGAGTTATATGTTTAAATAAAACGATTTCAAGGGTTTAAACGCGAAATATATCAGTTATAAGTGGCTGCTGCAATATATCCGAAACATCAAGCCGTAGCTAGTATTAAATAAAAAATTAAATGTCTGGTATATTTAGCAATTTTATCCGTTAAAAGTGTTCTATTTCTCTATAATTACGGCGATTCACGTAAAAACTTATCTTTTTTATTTCAAAACTTGGAATCAAACCCCGACCATTCTCTAAGAGCTTATACTGTCGAAGCTAAACTTGTAACAAATGAAACGAATTAAAAGTCAATAAGCGTGAAATACGCGTGAAAAATGTTATTCGATACTACTGCATAATGTGGCGATAGAATTTATATCGATTTCTTACAAAATGTAATTTAATACAATGTAAGACGGAGACATGTATTTTACATTTGTCTTTATAATTTTAGTTCAGTATTTAGTTTTCAATGTTTCAGCGGTAAGATACTCCATAGTCTACTTGAATTTAACACATTCTTTATCGACCTATTTTGACAGTAGAAATTCGGAAATCCTCATGCTTGAACGCGACTAAGCTTCAAGACTTTTTTCATCTGTGGTCGGTGGTTTCGGATGAAATTCCAATATTCCTAAAGCATTATACCTAAGGCTTCCTATACCTAAAGCTTGCTCACGATGAATCATGTTTGAGCGAAATTCTAACCAACTTTGCATACATCCTATTTTTAGATATAGAACCTATTTTAATCACTGTATAGACGATAAATAATTAAAATTAAAATATAAAAGGCTTTATTTTTCAGCTGTACAATAAAGATGTCACTTGTATCATTGAGAAGGTATTTATAATTAATAATAACACAATTACAGCATCTCTAATATTTTCAATATTATAACACAATATCATTATTGTTGCCCTTTTTAATGGCTAATTAAATATGCCAGTTGGTTGCCCACTTCTAAATACCGGACGTAAAAAGTGACACGCGGGTTAAAAATAAAAACGTAACACAAACTTACTATGCGAAGCACCGCTACGTGCATTATTAATTATTAATATACATACTATTAGAAAAGTATCTCATGAATATATACCAAAACTTTACGCAACTAGTTGAGTTCTGCTATCTAAATGTTAATTTAACTTTGCCATTTTAGTAGGCTTTTAGATATTATCTCTTTTTTAACTTCTTAATATCTCCATGTACGTGTTAAGCGCGTTTCATATTGAACCGGAGTCACATGAGAATGTATTTCAGATAACTAAAGCTCGAAAATCTACTGCCTTCAGATAATCTCGATCAGTGTCTGTCTACTAATGGGGTAGTGGAGAGCAAATGGAATTTCACTTCAATGTACTTATATGCAACAAATATAATTTGAACGACGTGTATAAGTATTAACGCGGAATATATTGTAATATTACTATTTAAAAATAGATACAAATCATTTCCGGTATTTCGTTTTATCAGATCTCATCAATAGTTTATCATAGAAGTTAAAAATACTAGCAATCATGATAGATATAATTCAGTTTTATGCATGAGTAAGTACGAATAGTCCTCGCGACTATATGTTTTACGATTTCCCAAAAACCGTCTTTTTTGAGTTTAGTCACTTTTCCATTAAGCATGTGATGTTTCCAGGGTATCCCCATATGTGAAACGACAGAATCGAAACATGTGAATCCTAACTTACCATCACACGAACCATTGTTGCCGCATATTAAAAACGCAAAGTTTTACAACTGCTCCACAGAAGTATGCGAACCTGTAAACTTGTTTTCTCTAACTCAAATAACTCCTGCGCATCGCTTGAGATATTGCTATTATCACGGGCAAAAGTATAGTTGTCAAAAGCTAAAATACCATAGTTATAAAGACGTAGACAAGTTATTGTTTCTATCCAACAATATAGAGAATAAGGCGTTCTACTTAGTTGATTGTTTGATATACTCTGGAGGTGAGCGTGTGTGTCATAAGAAGGACGGATCTGATTCACACACCAAATTGATTGACGCTGGCAACATTGTTCGACCGAAAGAAGCAAACGTTCTATCACAGGACGAGTTTATATGCGAAGAAGATACAGATAAAACTATAAACTGCGATTACAATCGAGTTGTTCCGTACGCAGATGAATTCAAATTAAAAGATTCAGTGCAAACCAGTGACAAGATACTCTTGAAAACTGGCAGTTCTTTGGTTATTCTGGAATATGGCTGTTTGAACTCGTGGTGTGGTTTTACTGGGAGGGTACTGCCGAGTCGTAGAATGGAGCATTACGAACCACCTGGAAAAGTATATCGCTGTTATTACGCAAAAAGGCAGCAGGTTTGCAAGGAGCTCTACAGCAAAATGAGGCCAGTGTACAACGAACGAGACTGGCTGAGTTCTTAATAACATTATATAATTTATAATCTGTGTCGTGTTCTAAAATTAAATGCGATACGCAGATGTGTGGTTTCTTAAAGTTCTTTTGTTTTACAATTATTTTTGGATACAAGGATTCGCTACAAACAATGAGTGAATTAGTATTGTTCCAAGTAAGGCAGGTCACTGACGATTCACTTTTGTTTTTGAACAATACCGAACCAACTTACATACTTGGTATGTATTAATTATAGTTCATTCGTGTGAGTCTATGAATCAAAATTAAAAAAAAAATGAATTTAGAAGAAATCTTTGCTAATAAAGATACTCTTTGACTGGTCATAGCCTTTTTTTAGAACACAGATCGTAGAATGACCTTCTATGATTGCCAAATAAAAAGCTTTCGGACCTATAATGACGTCATGACGACGTTTTTAGGTAAAGCTTAATCATGCTTCTGACGCCTCCTTGAGTCACTGTTGACGCGCATCGTGATAAGCATGAGAGGTCCTGAGTTCGAATCCTGCTATAACCGGAAGTCTGATTTAACTACTTGGTAAAAAATAATCCGTTTAACACAGAAGTATGTCTTCCACATGGTCTACCAAGGCGAATTTCACATTTAATCATATATATTTGATCACGATGATTATGAAGTTATTCAAATCGATGGACCGCTTCCACCGTCGATTTGAGATTATTTATAGCTCGTATGAGGCAATATATTAATCGAGATCATGTTACTTTCGTTTGGTTAGCCAGTGAAAGTGGACGAAGTTCCAAGCACTCGGTTACCTACATACACCACCGGACATAATAATAATTACGCAATTGTTGTGTCAATTACGTACGCCAATAAAATTTGACTTTTCAATTTCCTTATGTCTACCTGCTTTTCTTATAACAATTCAATATTAATCAAAGTTAATTACCGTAGATAATAACGTTTTTAAATTAACCAAATTTTCGTATAATAATTTGTCCTCAAATTACAGTTAAATAATATAGAAATACAACATATAAGCATAAATCACACTTTTTCATTCAAAGCACATTAAGTGGTCCGGTTTGTCTAAAGAAAGGCCAAAAATTGTTGAATTAATGTAAATGTAAATATTTAAATAAAACACTTTAACGGTTTAAAACGCGATATATTAGTTAAGCTTATTTGAAAATGATTTTTAACTTCGGCCCGACGTTTCGGATGCTTCGCAGCAGCCGTGGTCGCGGGGAGACTAGAACCGTTTAAACCGTTAAAGTGTTTTATTTAAATGTGTACTACTCGCGTAAACTATAGACAGTATTCAGATGTAAATAGAGAACTTAAGGAGCATTTATAATTAAATATTATGCGCTCTGTGTTAGTAATCTTCAGGGAAAAGTATTTTTCTTTTTTTTAATATTTTCGTTTGTATATATTGGCTTCAACTTACTAGAAATTACTAGCAGATTGAAACTCACTTGATTTTTTTTTCCAAATTGATCTAGTACTAAGGTGTTAAATGTTAGGCTGTCGGTTTCGGTTATCATCACTGATTTAGTGGCGCTAGTCGCTAAACAAACCCGCACTGATGTGCATTGCTCTATAACATAGAGGACGATATACTGTGCGAGTAATAGTAGATTGGCCTGTGCCAACTATGAGACATTATATGTTGGAACGAAATTATTTAACTTTTCCTCCTCAAAATCATTCATTGCTTAATTTGTAGCAAGCAAATGCAATACACGAACAGCAACGAAGCAATAAGAAGTTACAATTAAGCAAGAGAGCGAAAATTTTAAATGAAATTATTTTGAAACTCGCACAACAACCGCTGTAAAAGTAATAGTGAAATAAAAATCGTTGATATTGTTTCTGGTATTTCATATTTGTAATGTGATAGTCAATTGTTCTTATAAGGAAACGAATACGGATACGTTGAAATTCATAATTAATTACAAAACTGATTTACCAGTTTACAATTCAGTTGGTCGGTAAAAGTATTTTTAAGTGAAGTGTAGACTTGTACAATGTACATCAGTATAAAATATCAGATAGTCAATCCTGCTTCAACAGACACTGTTTTATCAAACATATGGCCCTAGCCTAGCACAAATTGCCTTATCTGTATAAAATTAAAGCTTGCGCAAGTATATGGAGAATCAATAAAAAGCCTATGACACACAATACTTTAAAATTACTTTTGACAAAGATATATAACTACTTAAATTATAATATAATTATTTACAATTAATCTTTATGTATCTCTTAAAGAGAAGAACTTCCTTAATGCTCTTCCAGAAAATTCTATTATAGGTATATTAGATTTTTCTTTACACTCGGACCCAGCGCCTGTAACTGTGACACGTCTCATTTTTGTGTTAAAGACTAACATTCATTTGCCATCAAGTATTTTTTGCCTAGTATTATTAACGGGCCTGTGTTTGATTTCCAAGAAAATACTTAGTTTCGGTCGTTCAAGGCACAAAGATCTGTAAATAAATCGACGAGTGGACCAGAGACAGAACTGTGTATGTCATAAAATTATCTCGTAACTCGTAATATTATTCCCAAAACACAATAACTAGGTTAATAAGAATTTTCGAGAGTTCAAGACAATAATGTTGTACCTACTAATGCATTGTGACACTTATCGCATGTTTTATTTATTTCTTTTACGACTGTTACTGTACTTTGTGCCGTAAAAAATTGTACTTGGACACAAAAATCTTGATAATGGAATCGAGAGTATGTTGTTGCAAGTTGCAGGGCAGTTTACAAGTAGGCTGTTTAAAACAAAGCTAATGTGGAGCAACTGATCAAGTAACCTGCAGCTTGCGTAATGCCCGACCGCATAGTGGGGCATAGGGCTGTGCAAATTACTATTTAATGTCCTATTGTTCTTAATAAAATTAAACAGCTGATAGTGAAAAGGACCTTTATTTAATTTAAACTCATGAGAGTATTTTTATATAATCAGTATCGTTACATAATGTGTTATGGTATCAGTTTAACTGGTTTTCGTTTTTCTACTGTATACGAACTATTGATATAAAATAATTTCACTAATGGATGTTGGCCATCTCGAAAAGCACACTCGTTTTAAATGTCTCATGAACCATTTATATAATACTAGCGACCTGTCCTGATTTCACAAAAAATACACTACATAAAAACTGTGAACGTTGTATATAAAAACCTTCCTCGTGCATCTCTATCTATTAAAAAACCTTATCATAATCCCCGTTGGATAGTTTTAAAGATTTAAGCTCATATAAGGACAAAAAAAGGCGTCTTTGTTTTATACTCGTGATGTAGTACGATACATTTAAAATTAAACTTTATTCATTTTTTTTTACTGACTACACTTAAGGAATATAATTGATTATTTATGTATTGCTTTATTTGTTATGTGCTTTTTATTCAGTATTATTAAAAACATAATATTAAATAAAAAGCACAGAACAAATAAAAAGGAATGTAGCACAGAAATAAAACGTGCCAACCCTAGAGTACGCTCTGTGAGTCGCTAGTTTCTGGCAGTCTCACGCTGACCATTAGGATACACCCACTAATTTTATAAGAAACTTGAATCTATGGTATTCATTGCTGAATGCTGACCCAGTTACTAAATCGCAGATTTATGAAAGACATATCGACTGAATGCGAAGTCCAATTCGAAAAGTTATCTATTGCAATAATGTAGTTCGTATGTTTGATCTAAGATAATAATAATACATACATGACTATAGGAATTTTGACAGTTTACTAGGCTGTTTTGAAGCTAATGGCCGTGCAGTGCGCGAGAGGTATTGAGTTCGATCCCAGTCATAATTTCGGTCTGGCGTTATATTATGAAAGTAAGTGAGCATAGAAATATGTATGTTAATGTTTATTCTGTGTTAGAGGGCTCGATAGGATATCCCAACCGTAGGAATCTCTTTACAGCTGACATTTAAAAAGTACGCACAATAATACCAATCAAGATCCTTTACATTTGATTAATGTTTGCTTTTATATTTAATGAAAAAACTAATTATCACGTACAATCATGTTATGTAATGTTTGAAGTAGAGTCATCCTATAGATTGACAATTGACGACCATGATTACTTTATTTCGGTCTAGGTCATACGATAATAATACAGAACTTTATTGTAGACTTGTATATTGCAAGTTATATAATATATTGCATTAAACATGTATGCCGTTTAAAAGGATAATAACACACGCCCGTCATAGAAGTTTACTTTCACACTCGCTTGAAACTTAGCGATGTTTAAAATCGTCGTATACTCGATTATCTCTGCTTTTGTAGCTTAGCCTAAGCGATGGAACAAGTGCTTTACCATGGCGTAGGAGAAATTGACTAGTAAACGTAGAACCTCATTACATCTTAAACTCAGGATGTAAAAATATTTAGAAAGGTACTAAAATTACTCATACCACATTAATTAATCAACTTACCAAGATCTGTGGTGCTATTAAGTACGTTTCATTGGAATAAATGCAATACTTGCCATGTAAAGTAGAATATTGTTATTCGCAATACCTAGATGCAAATATCTTGTTCATAATTCAATACGTGGTCGGGTTCTGTTTAATACATTATAGTAAATTAACAATTTAAAATCGTATCCAACGAGTATTCAGTTCAATGTGGATAGTGATATAACTAAATATTTATATTGTATTTCCTTAATATGTAAGTAATATACATGTAAAAAAATAAAAAGAAAGTTAAAAATAATAGTCAAACAAAAAATTGCCTCCTTGGTTCAATGGTTAAGCGCGACAGGTCCTGGGATAGTACCCTGGGGAATGACGTATAATAATTACGGCAGAGTAGACTTCAAAAGTCGAAATAATTACAAGAATATTAATTAATTTGATCAGTGTAAACGACTTAAAAATTAGTCTGCTTCTTGCTCCAAATAGGAAAACGGGTTTACACTATTTTACTTTATAATGCAATAGAAGGCTCTGTGCAAATTATAAAATTAATTGTAATTATTTTATTAATCACTTTTGTAAGAATGATACTG